GTGCTATTTGTGGTGGTAAATCTTTCCAAAGATGCTAGAATCAAATAGTTTTTCCTCACCTGACAGTATTTGTATTAGCTGTTGTTGGTTCACAAGTAAACCTCGCCAGAGTCAATTAGCAGTGTAGCAGTGTCAATTTCCTGCTTAAAGACCCAAAGGCCTAACATGAATAGTGGGAGAAGTAGAATTAGAAACAGTGATTTCATCTATTGTCCTAAGCAACTGAAGAGCCCCGTAAGATACCTTACTGGCCAGTGCTCATCAAACCTGCAAGCTTTCAGGAGGCCAATTCCATCTGAACTGTGATGAGAGCTAATGTGGTGATGCAACAAGTTTGTAATTTATGAGCTTTTATCAGATCTCCAGAAAAGTCACCCTGAACTTCCATGTGGCTGATCACAACTGTGAGCTTACACAGCTAAAGCATTAATCATCAGTATGAAATCTCCTCTACACCTGGAAGATAGGTAGCAGGCACTAGCAAATGTGATAAAGTTATGCTTTCTGGCATATGTAATTTACTAATCTACTTTGCGTAATTCTTCCGATGTCTGACTTGTTACAAATTCTATGTATCTGAAAACTATGAAAAAGGATGGACTATGTTCTGTTCAAAACAATTCTGTCTGTACCTCCACTGAAGTATTTCTTTCATATATATCCCGTCTGTTTTTCTGTTTCAGAAGTATGAAGCACAGACAGTTTCTTTAAAGGTCTCTAACACATTGTCTTTTTTGCTGTTGTTTTTCCTGTATTTTATGATCAACAATACAATATGATTAGCCAAAGTTCTTGGGGGCAACCGAAACATGTGAATAATAAAGATCAGAAATGCAAGCTGCTTCAATTGTTCCAAGCAGCCCCCAGAACCAGCACTTTTGTCTGTGCAGTACTAAATGTCTTCTTGAGAAGATTAAATGACTCAAAGGCTGAAATTACTCAAAACAAACTCATGTCCCTAATCCTTGCCTCTGAGATTCTTCTTTGCACTATGCAGGCTACGAAACTCCAAAGTTGGGCAGTCTTCATGTTTATTCTGAAGTTTCACTCTCTGTATACCCTCAGGCAACACTACAGTGATCCTAATATTGAGTGGCCTTTTCTTTAGGGAAGTTCTGAAAAGAAATTCAAGTGCATCTTTTCTGAAATGTTAGGAAAGGAAGAGAAAATGAAATTGGTATGTAATAGAAGTCATTCTGCGTAGCTTACGTGACACTTGGTTGAAGATGTTAGAGAGCTGGGACTTGTATAGAATATTTCACAATCTCAAAGCCAAATAAGATCTTTCCCAAGAATTCATATATGGCTTCTAAGGCTACAGATTGTTATTTTTTAAATGATTATTGTTAAGGACTGGTGGCAATCATGTTCTCTGAACTCTCCTTGCTATTATTCTAGAATAATAAGAATGCCCTAACAGCTGGCAATGTATTCATACATTCTTTATAATTGAATTTGGGATAGAGTTAGAACAACTTGGATCGATTTATCTTCTCTTGAGACAATTAAAAGCACAAGATTTCTAGTTAGGAAAAAAAATAAATCAAAAATAGGGTCATGCCTCTGTCTGCTTTGAAGGAGTTTGAATGTTACTATGTTGTCAGTAAGGCAAACAGTTCAGGCTGTGACCAAACTACAGCTACATTAGTTACTAATTCACTACAATAGAATAAAATCAGTACACAGTGTTGAGAATACCTTATATACAGTTCAGGAGTTGTAGCTGAGAATAGTTTTAGGCTGGTCCCCTAAACCAGCTCACACATGGTTCAAAGCCACCCCAAGGACCAGCCATTGTTTGGAACTTTTTAAGAAGTGGAGCGTAGTTGGTGCTCAGCTGTGACAGACATGCTGGCTATCCAAACCAAAGTGGCACACAGTAGGTGAGCAGTCTGGAGATTCACATCAAACCTACAATAAGACACCAAACCGCTATGCAGAAGAATTAGGCTGTATAAAAGACATTTTCAAATGCATCACACTCACTTGTCTGTAGTTCTACTCCGTGTTTTTCCCATCAGAGGGGGGGGAAAAAAAACAAACAAACAAACAAAAAAAAAAACAAAGAAACATGTACATCCTCAAAAGAATTTTGTCACTGTCTGCCACTGAGCATGGAGCCTCTCTTGCATACTCAGTTTCTGCTCTAAGCTTCTTCTAGCTACAGAGCAGCAAGGAGCAGCTCACCTCATGGAATATGTGAACAATGACCATTTTTCAAACACTGAATGAAATTATCCTTGTATGGTATGGTTAGCTTGTAAAGCCATTCTCAACATTTTATAAGGAATAACACCCTAGTGAGATACCGTATTTGTGAATGCTACTACAAAGGAGATTGTACTTTGATTTCCTCGTATCTATGAATAATACTTGCTATAAACTTATTTGGATCTTTATTTTAGATATACCTAAACCACAATCAGTGAGATACAGCCTAAAATTGATCTCATGTTGCAAGATATAAAATTATTTCCTTGAAATTGGGCACCCCAGCACAATAACTGAACATACAGGTGTTAGGGAACATCAGAAGCAGGGCCACTTCAGAGAAGCCAGCAACTAATTACAAACAAACAGTAGGCAGGGATCTTACCAACCAACCCACAGTCTTACAGCAGTTGAGCAGGGCAAAGCTGGTGATGGTACCAGGTGTTTTCTTAAAAAAAAAAAACAAAAAAAAAACTTACTCAGGTGTAAGGATGAGTAGAACCAAAAAGTCTACAGAGCACTTCAGAGCAAATCATAGCCAGCATACATACGTGCTACAGCACAACTCAAACAAAGAGCAGAGGCCCCTTCCTGAGCTAATTAAAATGGGGGGCCCAGACCAGTCAGCAGGGACCAAGTGAGGCTGGAAAGGGTGGTTAAGGGTCCTGGCAATCAGGACAAATCAGCTGAAATCAATTTTATCTACAGTATTTAACTCTAGAGGATATTTAACAACTGCTAAATACAAAATTAGAATATGTGCTATGTTTCCCTGATCCTGGGTAAATAAAGGATATTTATACAGCCTCAGAAAATGAAATCATCCAGGAAAATCTTAGATATGGTCATCATAATACTGCATTAGTCAAATTAATAATGGGGTTTGGGACAAAAACTTTGGTCTGAAAAATATTAAAGTGATCTAATGGAGCCTGGAGCATCTTCCCTATGAGCAAAGGCTGAGAGACCTGGGTCTGTTCAGCCTGGAGAAAAGAAGACTGAGAGGGGATCTCATCAATGTGTATAAATACCGGAGGTGTGGGGGACAGAGGGATTTGGCCAAATTCTTTTCAGTGGTTTGCGGGGATAGGACAAGGAGTAATGTCCACAAGATAGAGCACAGGAAGTTCTGCACCAACATGAGAAAGAACTTCTTCATGGTGAGGGTGATGGAGCACTGGGACAGGCTGCCCAGGGAGGTTGTGGAGTCTCCTTCTCTGGAAGGAGAAGAATTCAAGGCCCGTTTGGATGCCTGCCTGGGCAGGCTGCTCTGAGGAACCTGCTTTGGCTTTGGTTGGACTCAATGATCTTTCAAGGTCCCTTCCAACCCCTACAGTTCTGTGAGTCTGTGATTCTGTAATGTTGTGTTCAGACTATTTCAGTTACAGAACACATATAAATAGATGTTAAGTTATGTATATGTTTGCAATATGCTAAACTAGACAGTTTGCTAATATTAAAATTAGTTAATCATCAGAATTTGGTAAACTACTGAGTTAGGCCATCATACTGTGCTATATCCAGAGATTGTTGATCCCTGTGCTGATTTTCGGTTAAGATCTCCCAACACTGACTCGACTAGTCAACTCCAGTGCAACAATGATGCCATGAACAAATTTTATCAAGAAAATACACAGTTTCTATATAACCTCAGGATTCTTGTTTTATTTTTTATTAAAAACAGCAAAACAGTTTGAATTCCCTGTAGCAGCATTATCCTGCTTCCACTAGATTTGGGATGGACCTGTGACTTTTCAGGTCCTGAATCCCCAGGGGCTGCAACTCATATCATGTCTCTTTCTCTTGGAATTCTCTGCCTACTTTTACTGTGGCAGAGAAAAGTAGATTCTCTGTCTTAGTAAGTCAAGTTCTTTCTGAAAGAAGCAGCACTCTACGAGAAAAAACACCCTGTTTTAAATTTAAAGTGTTAAGGAAAAATCACAGATACTATGTGTGCTTAAGATTTATTTTCAGCTTGCAAGGAAAATGACAAAACTCCAGTCAGTGCGACATTCAGAGCCCTTGACTGTGTAACTCATTACACAGTAATCAATCCTAATCTAATTATACTGATTATGTGAAGTTGCTGGTGAGACTGAAATACAGTGTTACCTTGTTAAGAAGGTCTGCACTATTTACACTGCTATTTTACAGCAGCCGTATGGAGAGAAATACTACTAGTAAATGCCAGGAATGCCTTGAAGCCCACTAGATACCTTGCTGCATGCCACAGACTTTTACCAGCTGTAGCAGAGTGCATGCAGAAGATGCTTCTTCTGCTTGTGTGATACAAATGCTTGGCCCAGACCACATGGCTTTTTTTGTTGGCAAGAGCTACAACCCTTTGTGCAGTCAGTAGCAACGTGCTATGGCTGGAAGGTGGAAGACACTTCTGACCTCCAAAAATGCCAGGGAAGCTCTTCCACTTGTAGTCCAATTATGGGTCATGTCTTAATTTGTAATTAAAAGTGATAAATCACAAGGGAATGGTTCCCAGCTTTGTGAATGCTTGATTGAGATCAGTTACTGGCTGAAAAATTAGACCAAGAGTAACCTTTGCAAAAAAGAACTCATGAGGAAAATAAAACACTCAAAACTGTTATAACAGCAGTTAGCTTCAACTCAATGTATTTCTGGAATTTAGATTTAGACTTGGCCATGATTATACACATTTTTAAACTTCTAGACTGGAATATGGCAACAGCATAAAGCAGTGAAAACACTGATGTTGGAAATGTGTCTGATTCATAAAACAGCCTAGTGTCACAACTGCAGGGTGAACTACTTACTCATTTGTTCCATTCTTGGCCTCTGGCTGTAATTGCAAGCGTGCCAGCTTCCACACCTTTCTCCTTCCACTCTCATGACTGCCAGCTTCAGTCAGAAGAACTCTTGGACAATTTAAAGAGCTACTTCATAATTTTCCATTGAAACAACTAGAAGATACCACTTTGTTCAAAACTCTTGTCTTCAATAGAGATAAAGCTTCAGCAAAGTGCTCTCTGGTTTAGGATGGAGTTTCTTATCAAGACAGGTGAGAGATCCTATCTTTTTGGTAAAAATGCATTGCAGACCTGTAGAAAAAAAACAAACAAACACCTTTCCTGACTTAGTGCAGGGAATTTGAACAGCCGTGGCTCAGATCTTTTGTGTAACCCAACTGCAAAGCTATTGACTGTATTTGGCTGGGTGTTTCCTGCTGGACCTATTGTACATTGCAGAAACAAGTAGCAGCTGAAGTGAGGCCTGAACTCTGGTTTAATGATTGCTACTTTACAGGTCCTTGAATTCTTCTGAACATATGACATAAATTGCTTTAAACTGTTAGTCTATAGCAATCTTTTTAATTGTTATCATTCTCAAATCTTCATTTTCAAGCTCTGGTGCATGTCAGAGGTTTGTACATGCATGTGTATGTCAGGTTTTGTCCCTGGCACAATTTCCCAAACCAACAGTTTTGCCCTATTGTCTTAACAATGTCGGTTGTCTATAGGGAGGACAGGAAAATGGAGAAGGGAGAGGTTGTGAGAGAAGGCTTATTGTGATCTGTCATTCTCAGAGTTGATCTTTAATTGTACAGTCTTCTATCAAATCATTTTATGTACTCAGATAGTAACAATTGCAGTAACCATCATAACTGAATTTGTTAATTTCCAAGGATTTCCATTTCTGTCACACACAGGGGACAAATGGAAGAATAAAGAACATGTATATGTTCTGGAGTGGTCAATTTCAGCATTTTGCTCCAGGTTCCTAATCACCTCACACACGTACTGCCCCTGTTTCATGCTCCATAGGTAGGGCTTCCCTTGCTATCTTCTTTCATGGCTCAGCGAAAGCATCTACTTCAAAATGAAGCAGACAAGGCCTTCTCTCTCTCTTTTTTTTTTTTTTTTTTTTTTTTTTAATTTATTAGCTTGCTCATGGCTGCAAAGCTCAGTGCCAGAAGTGATTAGAGTGTCAAACCTCACAGGCTTCACATCAAGCCATAGAATTTGCCTTGCCCTAGTTTGTCTTCCCTCTATAAATCATCTGAGACTGGGCAGAAAAATACTATATGTGTATATGTGTGAATAAATCCTATTTTTGCTAAATGAAGAATAAAATTTGCTTAAGGAAAATATATGAAATTAAGTGTATGGATAGATTTTTGGATAAATATATGGATAAACTGTGCACAGTCTACACTTTGTGGCAAGTATATAAATGAAAAATATTAAAAGGAAATAAATGCATAGTCTTGTACATTCTAGAGCCTTTTATTTCCACAGATTATAAGGTAAAAGCACTAGGTGTTAGACTTCATGCTTTTAACATTAGACATGTTAAGAAGCATTATCATTACATAAAAAGCTTAAAATATGAATTCTAATGGCTCTTACAAATAGAGGTTGAGTTAGCAGAGCCAGGCAGTTTCTTATTTAATAAACTAGTCCATTCATTTTTTGTAAAAATATTAATTTGTCATTTCTGACATTTTTATTGGAGAAGACAGTTGAAAAATAAGACTGGATTAAAGAGAACATGGGCAACGTTAGAAACGTTTATGGGTCTCTATTAAACCCTTCTTTTGGACTCATACACAAATTCAATAGAAAGAGCTAAGTTGCCATCCCGACCCCATGCTAATGGTGGAAAACAGTTTGAGTTTCCCCTTCAGCATCCCAACAAAGGGAAGCTGTGGGTAAGCCAGCATCACAGGAGAAATGTACATGCAGCAGGATTCTCATAGTGGCTTGCTCTGCCTTGGGGCAAAAAGGAAAGAGTGGTTGGATGGTGACTGTCCCGAATCTGCTCCTGCTCTGCTTTTGGAAAAGGAATGGCATCTTATACAAGATGAACTCTAGTGAGTCAGCCTTACATTTGCACATAGCATTCAAGTCACAAGAGAAAAGACAAGCTTTATAAAACAAAAGGAAATAGCCTAAATAGGAAGATCTTTGTAAGTTCCTGTAGGGGTTCAATATCCCTAAGGGGGGGAAGAAATGAAGATAACTCAAATGATTCCTTGTTTGACTTCATGTACTTCTTCAGTGCATTTGCTTTCCTTAGAACCGATTTCATTTCATCTTTTACTAAAGTACAGTGAAGTCACTAAGCTGTACAATATTTGGCAAAAAAATCATCAATAACTTTAAAAAAAAAAAAACAAAACACAAAAAACACAAAACAGACTGATTAGAATTTGAAGTTCTTGCCTTTTATTCAAAAGTCACATTTAACTCTGCCTGTTAGACCGGAGAATATTACTAGGGAAAAAATGAGAATGTTCACGTTACATTAGGTGCCAGAGACAGACTCTGTAAGTACAAACTTACTGATATTGGTAAACAGCTTAATTAAACATTTTGTGTAAGGACTGCTGAGTACGAAGCACTTTCTTAAATGCATGTTACATGGTGTACATAAACCCCCTCACATCAGCTAGAACATACTGCATTTCTTCCTTGTGAAAAATTTAGAAGAATAAAAATATAAACTTACATTTTTAGTATCTTCTTTGCATGTGTTCTTGTGTACACAAAACAACAATGCAACAACCTGAGAATTAAAAATATGTGCAAGGAATGTCCAGGGAGTATATATGTTGACATTCATGTAAGACCTATAGATGATAAACGGGAGGCAGAGCTTTAGCTCTGACCATAATTTTTGCCCGATGAATCAAAATACATGTGAGAATATAGTGCTTGATAGATGATTTTTCACTGTTTTATACACGCATGGGTTCTTTGGGAAGAGCAGTCGTGCTGCCATAAAGCAGATTCCCATGCTTGCTTTCTTCACATAGTAAATATTCTGCAGCTGGGTAGTGAAGAAACGGACCCTGACTGAGGTCCCAGACAAAGGATATGTGCTAGTGTTTAATCCTCTGGCTACTGACTGCGTGCTGCTTTTCTCTGGAGAGGTCAGATAGAAGATGAAGAGAGAGTACACACACGTAAGCATGGAATCTGAGCAAGCAAGCTTGCAGTCACACGGCGCAAGCCTTACAAGCTAATGCTGAGGAGAGATACCTCACTGCCGCCATAAGCTCTGCCCATCTTCCCGTGGCATAGCCCTGTGAGTAAAGGTGCAGGCCTGCAACTTGCAGACCTGCTCATGTTCCGCTGCAGTAAAAGGGACAGCTTAAACATTTTTGAACTGCACAAATACAGAGGCCTGAAGAAGTCACAATTTGAACTTGAGTTTCTGTATAGAAATTAAAAAAGTAACACAGGAGAATGTCACAGTATTTTATATATTTTAAATGTATATAAAGTAATAAAAAGTATGAAGTGTATAAACAAGGTAGCTTCCCCCCACCTCATTAAATATACAATTACACTGTTACCATAGCCTTTCCATCAAATCCAGTAATGCTGTATTTGTGCATCTAGTAAGAAAATGTGGAAAAGATTGAATCTCTCTATTAGAAGTTTTGAAGAATAAGTTAGATAAAAACATGTCAAGGACAGTCTAAGTCTACCTTAACTAAACAGAAAAAGAGGAGTGCACTACAGCTTCTCATGGTCTGCTGCAGCCCCACACGCCTATAGTTTCCATGAAGAAAAAGGGATTTATTTGCAACACACCTTTCCAGAAGATAGCTTCAGGTCAGAGTTCTCTTTGTGGTCAGATTTATAAAACAACACTGAAATTTCCTTTCAGAGATGCAATTATTTTCTGAAAAAACAAACAAACAAACAAAAAACCACCTCCAAAACAGAAATTTATAAAAACAAACTGGAAAACATCAGATTTGTTAAGATGGAAATATTTATAGCTGTTAGAGTTGTAAGATTATTTTTTAGATAGTTCAAATTAGGTGAGCAGAAGAAATATGTATGGGTATACGTATAACTTTCTTAATTACCAAAACTAGCACAGATAATATCTGGGCTGCCTATCCTATAAATATCATTGGGATCTCACTCAATATATCCAATAGCACAGAAAAAATACTGTGAAATTATGACTGATAAAAGAAGGGGGATTGATTTTTTTTATTTTTATTTTTAAGTAGGAGAAAGTTTAGCCTAGCCACTTAATGCAGGATTCAGTTATGCTCATCAGGTGCAATCCAGGATTGACAGACTATATTTACATGTAGGACTACATTTTTACTGTAACTGCTTAATATTTCTGCTCTAAGGGCACACAAAACAATTGTTGACAAGCTTAATAGTATATTTAACACATTAGGATAAGAAATACCTTTAAGAAGCTATTAATAAAGTAATATAAATGATATTGTAGCATATTTTTCCCAATAATTGGGGGGGGGGGGAAATGTAGCTATTAGTGCAAAAATTCTTTCATAAAAGAAATTGAAAACAAGATACATTATGCTTTTTGTGATTTGCTACATGATGCATATGAGTGGAGCCCACTGGAGGTGAAAAGAATTGGGTACTGACATAAAGAATTCAGTGGTATGCAGAGACAAATTTGCTTGTCAGTATATATATAAAGCAATGACCCGAGACTATGTCAAAATGTCTTACAAAGTAACACGTACAGAGAGGACAGAAAATTAAGCAATAATTGTTCTTTTATAAGGCAGACAGCAGGGCATTTCCTGCTCTACCTTTTGTGTTATTAACAACAAAGAAGACAAAGTGCTAACTAAAGTGTTCCCCCGACATCTGAGAGCAGAATATAATAATATTTGGCAGTTTCATATGAAGTGAGAAAATGATTTTGATTATAGTGGACAGAATTGCCCCGTATTCATTACTCTAGCAATATTCAGAAATACTTTAAATTTTATGCAACAGAAAAGTGAAAAATAAGGTTACCCATGCTGTAAGAATGAATAGATTTTTCTCAGTATCAGTGCTGTGCATTAGAAATATGAGACCTCAACAGAGACAAGCGTCCTGTTAGCAGAAGCAAGAGAATACGTTTTTGGCATGTCATGTAATACAGCTCTGTGCACGGATATGTGCAGTGTTGTGTGATGCACACAGCGTTTGTTTTGCATGATGACATCTTTTTTTACAATGCATCTCAGTAGCGGTAGCTTTTGGAGAAATTATGAGATTTGTAAGATTTCAAGTTAATCCTGCTAAATGAGATACGTTTTGTGAATTCTCTGGTACAATGGACAAATCACCCCATGTCTTGAAATGCATACTTTGTTTTTTGTGAAGCTACATCTGAATGTTATCTGAATGCTGTTTAGTTTCCAAGCATATCTTTCTGTTATTTTTTTCTTACCTACATCATACAAAGGACGAGAAATACATGAAACTACAGGCTTTTTATGGTCTGACTCCTACCTGATTGCCTTCTAAAGTTTTCCAGTCATTTCAGCTTGGGTCTTCATTGCCTCTGTCTTGCAAAGTTGCCATCAGTAGGGATTTGCTGGTGCCCAGGTGGGTGGTGAGAAGCATGGATGAGGACTGCAGGTGTGCAAGGAGCAGTGAGGGGATGCCATGACATGTCCTCTTGGTTACCTGACACTTCTGACACCTGTGCAGACAGCTGGATGGGATGCCTTAGTCATTGCCTTGAGAGGAGTGCTAAGGGAAGGGATTACGGTGGTGGAGAGACTTCAGGTGCAAAATGCTGTTCACAAAGCAACTTAATTTCTAAAGCCGTTAATTGTTCAGCATTGCAAGACCTGGAAAGGGCTTTAGAGAAAACAGAAGAGATTGTATAAAAATAACCAAGATAGAAACATTGTTTTCTGCCTGTGTAAGTAGAGCTCACATAATCTGAGGTAACGTCCTCTACAGTCATCCATAGTGGAATGCATATGCAAGAGATGAATAAACTTGACAGTTGTGTAAGCCTGCATTAGTAATTAAATTATGTCAACAATCAAACCTGAAGTAGCTGTTCCACAGTAGGCACATAACATCTTTATACTACAGGTGGTCTCAGGCCACAAAAGCTGTAGAAAGAAATGGAAGAACTGGTGGGGTAAGGGGAATTAAAGTGATACGCAAAAGGAAAAATTAAAGCTTTCCAGTGCAGCGTCCTACTAAAATAATGAAATAAAGAGTGCTTATCAGCCATGTCTCCATAGCAATGGCAGCATGGAATTGGTATCGATCTTTGAGTTGAAAATAAGGTAGCGTACATGCAGCACTGTATCCTTATGTAGGTAAAATCTCATCAATGCCTACAAGAGGTACTATTAAGCAAAAACAAAAGTGGAGCCCAAGGTAACTGGGATGATGACAGTACTTGTTCCTCACTTTGATAAAAAACAGCTATCAAACAAAAAATAACACAAATGCATTTACGATTTTTTTTTTTTTAAATATGCTTATCAGTGACACACAAGAGCAGCTACCCAACATTAGGAGGGGAATAAATTTCGGCATTAAGAAAACTTGTCAGCCTTTCAGCCACAGCTCAGGCGAGGACAATGACAGAACTTACATTCATTGTGTCATAAAAAGGAAGGTGCCCCCGGCTGGGCAGCAGCCCCCTCCGGGCACGGCGGCTCCAGGGTGCCCCCAGGCCCCGGCCCCGGCCCTCGCGGGCCCCCGCAGCCCCCCCAGGCCGCCGCCCGCAGCCCCGGCTCCTCCCTCGGCGGCCGCGGCAGCGGGAGGGCGCTGGGGGCCGGGCCGGGCCGGCCATGGCGGCGGAGGAGGAGGAGGGCGAGGTGGACTGGGTGGTGGACACCATCGCCGGCTTCCTGCGGGGGCCCGCCTGGGCCGTGCCCGTCCTGGAGTTCATGGAGCAGAAATGCGAGGGTGAGCGGCGGGGCGGCGGGGAGGCCGGCCCCGGGGGGGGGGGCCCAGGCGGGCGGCGGCTGCCCGGCAGCGCGGGGAGCACCGCGGGGCCCGGCCCCCAGGGGACGGAGGGGGCAGCCCTGAAATGCGCGGCCCCTAAGGCTGAGCCCGGGCAGGGCCGTGCTTAAACCGCTTCCTGGCCTAGCCGTGCTGCAACAAGGCGTGTTTTACCTTCAGAGGGAGGCGTTTCTGAGCAAAAGGGCGATAGGAAGGGACAAAAAAAATCTTTCTGGTTGCTTTAAGCGACCCGAAATTGAGCAAGTTGTTAATAGCCTTGATGAAGACAGCTCGGCTAACAGTGCGTGTTGATTTATCACTAGTGCGTGATTTTTCCCCGCCAAGTTATACTGTAATGCTGTGTCCAAAACCTAAACATTTTGAGTGAAATTCAGAGGGCTGGACGTGTCCTGAGATCATCCCCCCCCCAATGGAAATTTCAGTTGAATAAGAAATTTCAGTGTGTGCGTGGAAAATCCTTAGTGATGATGAAGATACGTTGTGGAACAAAAAACTCGGCACCGGTCATCTCTCCTGAATTATTTAAAGTGAAATAAAAGTGAACTTTTATTTGAGGAGATTGATTTCTGACCTTGTCAGTAGTTTTAACTTTAAAATTCTGAAGTATGTCCCAGAGGCTTCCAAATACGTTTTCTTTCAAGGAGTTCCTAACGCAAAGCTCCCAGGACAGACCTTGCCATTCACGTGCTCTACCTGCTCGCATTTCTCATTTCTCCCGTCCATCTGCAATGGTCGGCCTCTGCGGGGCAGCCCTGGTCCCTTTGCTGTGCTCTTGCTGCTGAGGTCTGCTACGAATTTGTACTTGATGTTCAGAGTGAAACAAATGCGTCTGTCATTCAGATCACAGCTTCCAAGCAAGGTTCTTCTCACTGACCCTGAATTGTTCCCACCCTTTCCAATCTTTTTTTGAAGCAAGATCACTGTGACTACACACACTTTTCCTGCTATGCTATTAAACAAGACAGACAAGACAGGTAAAGTTACTACTCTGCAGGTAGGAAGTGAGAGGGAAACCTAGGCTAGACGTTCTGTCAGGGGAAGTCTGCCTAAACTTTGTCCTTCGAGCATTTTGATCGCCATGGAAATGGGCTGCGTAGGGCTGCCTCTCTTGTTTTAGGAATCAGGGGAGCTCATTATCCCTCTCTGGAGCAATGATCTCTCCTTAGAAGGTTGAGTGGAATTTACTGGCAGTAAGAAGATTTATGGAACCTCTGTAAATTTCCACGTAGCGTGAGGCAGGCTTATATAATGGCCTCCTGCCAGTTCGTTTCTGTGTGAGAAATTAGAGCAGCAAAGTAGAGACATCACTTATCGCAGGTGGTCTTCCAAGGTATCATTTGTGCTCCAGAGTTTTGTTGGACAACTCTCAGCAGCTATTGAGAAAAAAGAAAAGGATAAAGAAGTGTTGCTGCAGTCTTGGTTGCTAAGAAGCACAGTTAAAGACATCTGAAATTTTAGTTGCAGTTATCTGTGCTGTTTGCTTTTCCTTTCAATAAATACGCTGTGCTATTTTCATTGCTGTTCCCGAGGTGTTTTGTCAGGACGGAGTTAATTCTCAAAACATTTAAAGCCTTTGGACTGAACAAGCAAATTAGGATAATTTTGATTAACTGACAGTAATTTCTGATTCCTCAAAACCAGAGTTTGAGTTTCGGTAATAGGTATGTAAGGCACTGGTTTTGGAACTGTAGTCAGGAGTCAAGCACTTGCATTTACAAGAGTCCTCATACTTATAAATGCTTATAAATGATTCTACTGTTTTTGTATCTGTTGGTATTTTCTCTCTTTGTGTCTCTCCCTCTTTCTGTGGACTTGACTAATTTCTTGTAGCTTCATACATTCCTTATATGTGATTGCAAAATGAAGTTGAAACTGTGGGTATGCCTTAAGGGGAGGGGTCTGTTTGAGGGGTCCTAGCGATGGTTTTCAACTTTAACAGGAAATTATGAGTTTGACTCTAAGGATATTGGGGTCCCCTGGCTTATTGTGAAGCAGTGGGTTCTTCAGGTTGTTGTTTTGCTGGGTGACCAAAGACTGAGCCAAAACCTGAAGGAAAAACAATCACTATGTGATTTAGGAGTCCTAACGTGAGAAAATCCAGGATCCCCATTCAAATACAGAACTCCTTAATGCCACTTAAATCAGAGGCGATGCTGACTGCAGCTTGCTTTGTTTGGCACTTGGCTCCACTCTTTTTGTTCAGACCCTGAGAACACAGAGCAGTTTGTGCAAGCTTTCCACTCTGCTTTCCGTGTCATCCTGAAGCTGTGCGAGGAGGAGGAGGAAGGACTTGGAGGCAATCCCGTTGACATGGGCAGGAACAGTGAGATCCCTTTGTCAGCCCTCTTTGGGGGCTCCAGGAGGGTCAGAACAGGAGAAGGTAGAAGGGAACAGCCACCAAGACAAAGGTTGGGGCCTGCAAGAGCTATAACAGAGGTCCCCCAGAGGGAAGGAGATGTAGAAGACAATAGAGGCAGTTAAGTAGCTTCACCCTCTTGGATTTAGTAATACTGTGGCCACCACAGAAGCTGATTTTTTTTTTTTCAATTAAGATTTATAGTACTTCTTTGTGGAACAAGCATTTCTACCATTTGAATGTATTGCTATGTACTTTTAAAGTCTTTTTTTAAAAAAATCCTTTCATTAGAAAAAGCTTTCCCTTATGCAGAAAAGACAGAAAAGCAAACGTTGCTTTTCCAAATTATGTCACTTAAAAAGAAAGTTTCCCTTTCCCTTGGTTACTTAGAGGGCCTGAATTGTGTGATGGGATTTCTATACTTGCACTGCTGTTGGTTGTTACAACTTGATGCAGGTGTTTTCTGTTGTAGGAACATCTTGCATCCCATCGAGGTGCAGTGACATGGCCTCAGCATTGTCACAGCTGGAAAGTGCTTTCTAAAAGGTCACTCTGAAGCCATGTGACCGCTGGATTAATTCCATGCACATGAACAGCATCTCCATTGGAGATGTCATATATGAAAAAAAATCACACCCACTGACCAATTTGTTAGGCAGAACTCCCATTCTTCAAATGACTTCAAAGCATGCAAATGAGAAGGGACTTGTCCAACATACGGTGGCTAATCTTGACGGGTATTGAGGATGTCTCACTTCTAAGCCTCTGCTTTAATTGCTAGGTTTTACATTACATCTTGCTCATTGCTGACGTGATAAAAATGTAAATGTTCCCAAAACCCCCTAGGTTTCCACACAGCCTTCATTTAAATGTATGTAGAGAAAAACATCCTGATTCATGTGTCATTTGCCATATTAGAACAACATTATCCAAGTTCACAGGGTAGTTCTTATATTAAATCTTACTTTTAAATGTACCTGTCTGCTGAATCCTCAGCTTGCTTAGAAATCTGCTTCTGTTATGAAGATGTGTTTTTCTGGTATTAAATTGCAAAAGTTAATTACAATAAGTTAACAAAAGTACATGGTTAGCCTGAATGTGTGGAAAAAAATACTGATCATGTCCCTGATTATTGCATGATTAAATATATTAACTTGTAAAAGTCTCTTAGAGAAAGTGAAAAATGAACTACATGCCACAAATTAATGTGCTAGTACTTAAAACACTAACTCAAAAATGTTTGTTTTTAAGTTTTTGATGATGAAGAAGAAAGCAAGTTGTCTTATACAGAAATTTATCAGGAGTACCAAGCGTTGGTGAGCATTATTCACTATTTGTGGTAGATTTCTAAAAAATAATTTTCAATGTTACAGTTGGAAACTTAGATAAATACTACTTTATTATCTTTGTTATTCAGAATTTTCTACAGTTGTTTGGCATAAATGTTTAGATGTTCTTGAGCCATAGCTGTTATACGTGTTTTTATGCTTAAACACCAGATACGCAGAAAATTTATCCCTCTTACGAAGTTATTTCTTTTTCATATATCCGCTAGATAAAATACTGTATTAATAAGCTCAATAGTCTTTATATTTTCTGGCAAGTTAAAATGAGAAATAGCACAATGTCAGAAAAACGTGTAACTTGTATTTTGTTTGCTAATGAGTCTGGTAAATCTTTTGAGTGGTTTCAAATATTGTTTCCAAAAAACTGCAGAATATTTTTGAAGCGTGCTTGGAAAACCTATAGATAAATGCACACAGTTTTCTAAAATATTTCCTTGTAACAAAGCTTGGTCATATTTGGTGTTGAAAGTAGCACTTGAATGAATACAGGCCAACATTCATTTTTGCTGTGACTCTGAAAACTACTGTGCATGCAGACTGGAAACAAACAAGCAAAATTAGTTACAAAGGAAAAAGTGATGAGGAATACTAGCCAAGAGTCTGGGGAAAAAGGTAGAGAGGTGAGATTCCTGGAAATTGCAGAGGCTAAATTAAGTAGTATCTGAATTCAGCAACAAAAATACCTAATTTAATGGTAATTTAAAACAGGTTATCAAAGCAAATCAATCCCGAAGTATTGCATCAATTTTCCTGTGAATTTAAGAAGTACAATGGCAGCAGAAAAGAATGTACAATATGTACAATTACAAAAAAAAAATCGTAGGGAAAAGTCTCTTAGAAAGTAAGACTTGTATTTTCTTACAGGTTGAAAAATTATTAGAAGGTTATCTTAAAGAAGTTGGCATTACTGAAGAGAAATTTCAAGAAGCTTTTTCATCTCCTCTTGCAAAGACACATACTTCACAGGTATATTTTCCTTTGTTACAGAATCTATAGATGTAATTTTTAGTTTTGTATTTTAACTAATATATCAGGGCAGAGATGTTTAAAAAGTTTTTGTGTGTGTGTGTGTGTTAAAGCTTGAATTTTCTAAAATCTAATCATAGAATCATTAAGGTTGGAAAAGACCTCCAACGTCACCTGGTCCAAGCATCAACATATCTGTTTGTACTATGAACTTTGATCAGCAAAATGTGCATCTTTAAAATAAAAACAGATACTTGTGTGGGGTTGGAAACCTTTTGAGATTTCTTCCACGCTTTATATTTTTTTAAATCAAACACATAAAGGTATGCCTGACACCTTTATTTGCATGTTTATCAGCTTCACGTTAGTCTTCAGTTCATTTGCAGTAGTAGACAAATTTGAAGATTAAAAAAAGATATATTCTGTAAAGGTAAAGATGTTTTCCTCTGATTTTTTAAAGGCAAAAATTGGTCTTGAGGAGAAAAGGCACGATTCTGCAGTACTTGCTCAAAGATGTCTTTCAGAATTGTCTTGGGTATATGAGGCAGAGAAGTAGGAGCTTCTACTGCCTGTGTAAATTGTGCTTTGTTGACATATCTCCTCCTTGATATGCAACAAGATTCTTCAGAGCACACATTCCTCACACAAGCTTACAGATTTGTTCAGGAAGTCAAACAAATTGTAGTTGTAAACTTACGCTGGGAAACCCTCCAGGTCTTGTGATAATATTTATGTAGCCATGATGATCTAAGGACATAAACCCTCAAATTCTTTTCTTGCCTATTAGCTCAACTTGTACAGCTGGTAAAAGTGGTCAGATAGGAGAAGGTAATATAGTTATTAAAACCATGCTCCACAGAATTTAAATCTTAACATCATTTCAAGCAAACTGGGATGGTTATGATTTCTGTAGTTTAATTAGTTTGTGCAAATCTTCCCTCTCACAGGCGATCTTGCAAACAGTGCTGGCAGCAGAAGATTTCAGACTATTTAAAAAAATGATGGTACAAAAAAATATTGAAATGCAATTGCAAGCCATCAGAATCATGAAAGAAAGAAATGGTAAGAAGTGGTAAATATGGGGTTTCACTTCTATTCATCTTTGTAGTTTGTACTTGTTTTCTTTTTTTAAAAACTATGTACTCCCATTCATAAATGAGTATAGAATACTGGTCCAGCCCAAGTTAAGGGAGAACACTGATTTTGCTGAGACGAGGATTTTAAAATTTACTTCTTGACTTGTAATCTCAGACACAACTATCTATTTTCCTTTCTAAAATAACAGTGTCAGCTCTATAGAGTTTCCTGTGAAATTTGATTTTTTCTGTTAGAGATTCTTGTTGATAATTAAGTGTTAATTGTATCTTTTCATTAACAATGATAATACTTATAACTGAATTAAGCTATTTGCAGAGCAGCAGTTGTGTACCATCTGCCATACCTACCTTGCAGTTCACACTGTACATTTATACTTGAAAAATCTATATACACAGCAGAAGTTAAGGACTTTATCATTATCACATTTAAATTATTTTCTCTTCTTTAAAGGCACTTACCCCTTACTCTTGCTGCTCCGTTGATGTTTCTGAAAGGATTTTCATCTACTCACTCTTTCTTGCGTCTTCAATTTTAATATTTAGTTTTGTCTTCCTACTGCATATGTTTTGTTTTTCCAGAGACTTTTTTTAAATGTCAAGTTCGATGTAACACCTAGATTTGAAAACGGTTCAGTAAGCACTGGTTGATTTGCAGTCTATAGGAAATACTATGTAACAGCCAATGCAGAGTATGGTTTATGCTGTACTTATGCTTAGATATCAAAACTTTTGTGTTTCAGAAAGCTTTGCCTTTCTGCCACTAACAACTTGATGCTGAGGATCTAGAATCTTTTTGTAAACAGCTTGTAGCAAGGAAGAATTAGATGTCTCTTTTCTTTCCTCTGCCAAAAAAGAAAAGGTTTCTTTCTTGTCTTTGGTTTAAGACTGATGCCAAATAGAACACAAAACAACTTTCTTTGGAGTAATGCACACATCTTGTTATTTTCTTTTGGTAGGTGTATTGCCTGACTGTTTGACTGAGGGTTCGGATGTGTTCAGTGAAATTGAACAAGAAGAAATGAAAATACTCAGGGAGGTTCTAAGGTAAAAAACAAACAAAAGAATCAATCCTACTTTCCACCATATTTTAAAATAAAAGTATATGGGACCTAATTCTTCCAGCCTTTTCCAGGAACCTACCTTCAGCTTCCAGATGACATGAACGTTTTTGTCGAAATCCTATCTGAGAGGAAAAACAAATGGTACTTGACAGTGGGTGTGCTCAGGGATATTTAAAAACATAAGGATTACCACTCTGCCATAATGAACTGTCTTGGTGATGCATGGAATGATATGCAACTCTAAAAGTCTGCAAATCCTGAGTTAGAACTGTATCCAATGACTCTGGACAATGGGAGCAACACTAACTATAAACTGTTCTGGGAACATCCTAAACACAGGTCCAGAGAGACAGGATCAACACTGTAGGTCTGCTTAAAGCGGCTTTATTACTCCTTAGCACTGCAAGAATTACATGCTCTGTTCCATATCCATTAAAGCCTTGGAAGGGCAAATTCTGCCTTTGCAGTAGTTCTTACTCCTTTCTAAAGCGTCCTCCTTAGTTGTCAGCAATGTCTCTTGTTGTGATCTAAGATGAGGACCAATACAACTTCTACAGATTCTCTTCCACTCCCAGTTCTCACACACACAGAATTATAAACGAATAATAGCAGATTAACCCATTCCCCATATATTAAATGATGATATTTTTCCGCCGTGTTCTGGAAATACTTCCCTTCCTTTAGCAAATGAAACAAGGGATGGATAGATAAGCCCTGGAAATTTATACACAATTATTTTTGCACAGGGAAGGAAAGACTGAGGGCTGAGATCTGTGTGTTTATCGTAATTCTTTCAAGAGCACATTTTCGTTTAAGTCATGAAAGTATTTTGGATGCTTTAATAAATTCATATTGTCTTGCAATTGTTCTGAAATTCCTCAAGTATTTAAGCAGTGCTAAATTTACATAGAAGTCATTAATACTTACGAATTCTTGTGTATCTACTTGCATTTTATGTTACAGAAAATCTAAGGAAGAATATGACATGGAGCAAGAAAGGAAAAGGACCGAGGAAGTGAGTATCCTATCTTTCTAGGTGGTTTGTGCTGATGATTAAGAAATACTTTGATATTCTCGTCCCAGGCATTAACTGTGTAACTTCAAGGCAGTAAATAAAATAAAAGTAAGTAAATTTTCCCTCAGCAAATAAAAGCTATCAGGAAGGTCTTTATGAAAGGTCTGTTCTGATGTTTAAATTTTTCTTGATGTTAATGCTATATATATTACAACGAACCATCAGTTGTTTGGTGCAGCTCATAAGCATATTTGCTTCTCAGCATCCAAACTCCAAGATTCTGGCAATGGGTATCAGCCTTTCAGATTTAGAGAACATCTCAATTACCAATATTGTCAAGATCAAAGACATTTCAAAGTATAAGCTTCTTAGTGACTACAGCATTCATAATCCCTCAGGAATTTTAAGGATCACTTCATAGACAGTGCTGCCAGAACCTAATTGCCAGGAACTAGAAATCCCCTCCAAGTTAGGCCATCACCCAGTCTCTGCCGGAGTAAACCACGTAGAAAGGTACTGCATGTAAGTGGGGACTGGTTAAAGTGTCTGTTGTTAAGCAACTGAGAAACAAATAGAAATCTGAGCAAGGTTGCTGTGAGGAAGCAGCAACAACTACAGTGGCTATAGTTTTTACAGTGGAAATGTGGCAATAAGGCTTCCCTTCACCAGGAAAACAAACAAAAATAGGATTGTAGGCTATTTCAAAAGGGAGCAGAACTGCTTTTCTGTTTCTGTCATTAGGAAATTGAGCCTAGTAAGTTTGAAAAGGGAAAGAACGGTCTGTATCTTCAGCCTGAACTTACACAGGAAGCTAGCTGGAGATCAAATGTAACTACTGAAGTGGTTGAGTCACCATCCCTGGAGGTCTTTAAAAGACACTTAAATGTAGAGCTTAGCGATATGGTTTAGTGGAGGACTTGTTAGTGTTAGGTCAGAGGTTGGACTGGGTGATCTTGGAAGTCCTTTCCAACCTAGACGATTCTGTGATACTACAGAGGTCTGCATTTCAAATCCACTCCTAAATTCAAACCCGTAATAGGTGCAGATGATAGTTATGCCACTGTTATTCCACCAAATTAACCTCTCCCGTTGTCTGGCAGTTTAGAAAAGTGGTGACAAAACTCTGTTTCTCATGTACATGTTTCCATGATACATTCCAGAAAATGAGTCACCCATTTCTTACTAAACAACCTGGAAACTCAAGCCTTGGCTCATTTTAAGAATTTATGTTCTGTCTAGATACAGACTTACCCACATCTTCATAGACCAGCCAAGAATATCAATATTCTTGATAAATGAGCCAGATTATGGTAGCATTGTAGTGCCCAATTCATTTTTTCAGCCTAGTCACTGAACAGTTTCTTCTTGGCATAGAAATGTGTCCATGAAGCTGTAATATCTCATAAACTGCATTCTAAGAATTAACAGCATCTAGTTCCATGTAGTATTTCTTTTTTTAAGACATACTCCCCATTAGGTTGGCAGGCAGAATAATAGATACTTAATTATTAGAAGATGCGACTGCGTATTTCATAAAGATAAAACTTAACTCTTAGCACTTCAGCATTATTTGCTCAGAGGTGGAATTTTTAATCTTTCTTTTTGTACAAAGAAAACTATAGCAAAGAGCACGTGGAGAATGCTATTTAAATTTACCTTAGTGCAATTGATCCGTTCAGGATGCCTTCTGCCACTCCTGTTCAGTTACAGGACCAGACCTTACGAGTTTAATGATGCAAAACTTACTTGGTAGGCATTGGCAGGATATCTGGCTGCAGAAGTAATGTGAATTCACTCGGTACATCAGTTCACCTGGACAGAAGAGACGGAGGGTTCCAGCAGGAATTAGAGGGTTGATGAACAGCATAGACTTTTTCTGAGTAAATCCCAGCTAGCCTTCGCTTTCAGAGGTGGATTGCGTTGTCAAGATTTCTCACACAAGTGTGGAAGTAAAACAGTAGCATCAGAAATTATCCAAGCCCATTGTTTCCATTCAGCTGATTATTGTCGTTTCTGTGGTAACCTCAGTGTATGCTCCTAGTTCTCTTTCTACCTGCTGTATTTTTATGGTTGGTGGAGGTTTGTTTGAAAGTCTCATCAGAGTGTGGGAAAAAAAGACAACACCCTACATTATCTCTTTGTAGATGGGAAATAAACTATTTTTCTAAAAATAAAAATAAAAAAACTAATATTCTTAATTTTGATTGTTGATAAGAGAACGTTATGAACCGAAATAAAAAATACTGATTTATGACTATAAGCTAGTATGAACCCTACTATCAATAAAGCAAAATAAGTATGCTTTGTTCACTTTGACAATGCAATACATGGTGTAAACAAAACAATTTTAACTAGAAGTTGTTTGGGGAGGTTTTCTTTGAGTTGATAGTTTAATGCCTGAAATGAAGTGCTAGGAAGTGTAACACTTGGTTTTGTCTGCTTTTTTAAATTTAAGGCACATACCCTTAAATCACCAGATGTGACCAGTTTTCCAGGAGATTCAAGAGAAACTGTAAGAGTTAAGGAGTCTACTGAGGGAGCTGATGTTTCTGAAGAAACTCCAAAAATTTCATTAGGTAATATTTCGGGAAAGCTCAGTACTGAGTATGCAATATTTACGTACACACAGACAATCTTCATAAACAGGCGGTGTTCTCCCAGTGGGATCTACTCTCATAAGGGTTAGTGAAAAATGTGTAGCTTTATAGTCTAAGGTCACTTCAAAGAATATACTTCAGGAAATATTAGGAAATATTTTGCACATTTTTTTTTCTTCCTGCATCTAGTATTTGTCTTTGTATGCATTCGCACTAAGTTTTCATATCACAGACACTTGAGCTGGATACTTTTAGCCTTGGTGGTATCTGTGGGCCATACTTGCTCTCTTCTTTCCATGTTATAGGCGTTAACACATGAAGTGGTTGTAGGACCCTCGATTCTTTAAAACTGAATTAGTGTCTTTCACATTAGGAAATTTAAAAGAAAAAAGTGTTACCTTCAAAATATCCTTTTTACCTTTCTATCTTTTGTATGCTTCTTGTGAGGTTTCATTACATTTATTCAAACTCTTCTCTGCTTTCCACCCTTGGAAACATGCAGAAGGCCTGCAGGTATACTTGCATTCTTCTCACAGCTTGCTTTTAATCCTCTTATTTTTGCATAGCTGTGCCACCTTGCAATGGCACCATTAAATTATGCCTGTCTGCAGGACTTAATCCCGTGTTTGAGAGACAGGATATCTGAGAGCCTGGGAGTCAAGACTTCTCTGCAGTGGGCGCAGCTCTTCATTGCTGTCCATGTACCTGCTCAGCTGATGCTGAGCATTCCCATGCTCCTTAAAAGCCAAAGAAGAGGGAGGTCTACAAACAGCTCTTTTAGAATCTTCTTCAGCCTCATAGAACTGGAACTGTGGGACAACACGCCTGTCCAAATAAGCTAGTAAGAAAGTTTGCCACAACTTACCCTCCACTACAACTGTGAAAAAGTGGTTTTAGGTAGTAAAGGCAAAAATCAAGAACATTCACTGTGAATCTTCTCACAGACCCTTTTCACAACCAGAACTGAGGACTGGCCACCAGACTAGTCCGTTAATATGTACCTCCAAAACATGGGTTTCCAACTTAAAGCACCATCTTGGATAACGGGATCATATCCTCTGCTTGAATCTCTTCCCATTGGTACCAGATACAACTCCAGGAAAGGACACAGCAGCAACTTGAACAGTTTGTGCCTCTCCGCCCTTCTCACTGCTCTCACTGCCTTCCAGATCCTCCCAGCTTCTGGCTCTGTGTTCTCACTTGCAGGGTCTTGTTACTGCAGAACAGAGCAGCTCGCCATTCTTGACCTGAGTATGAGGAAGAATCCCATACCTAGGGAGTATTGGCTGCCTTGGTAATATGGCCTCTTGCGTGAGCCAGTCTTCATAGCCAGGAAGAAGGACTCCTCCAACCCCTTTCTGTCAGGCATATATTACTTTTCCTTCAGCTACGCAGCTTTTTCGTTATCTTTTGCTATTTCCCTATTACCTTGAGACCCACGATTTCAGTTTGTGAACCCCTTACAGTTTTCCACTGCATAATAAATCTGAAACTAATGGCAACTGCCTTAATTTTCCTAATTTCACTTTGGTGAGCCCCTCATGAGTAGTTTAGGTATTGCAAAACCATTCCTCCCGTATACTGACCATCCAGCTCCTTGCACTACTAGGTGCAAAGAAAGGTTAATTTTCCAAAGACTCTGAAGTAATTGCCCACATCAAACAAATGCTGCTTAGTCACCCGCAGTACGAACGTACATATAGACAAGTTCTCAAAGGAGAATAGAGGTTACATACCAGTAACTGTAATTCTTTGAGATGTGTTGTCTATTTGTATGTTTGCTGTCCATCCTCCTTCCCTTGTCTTCTCAGTATCTTTTCAGCTTTGTGGGTTAAGTGAAACTGAGGGTCTTATGATCACATCCTACAGGTACTGCTAGGACATAAACATCTCCAGCTTGAGTGTTTGCAATATGGACAGCAACAGTGTAAATGTACATACACACAACACATTTCAAAGAACTACTTTCTGGTAAGTAGCTTTCCTTACTTACAATGTTGGTTGTGAGGTAGGTGTTCGGCATGCAGTGTGTGTTCTTTGGATTTTTTTCCCCTGCTTTTTAAGGAAGACAGTCCTGGCATGAGGATTTTTTCTTAGCAGTTTTAACTCTCATAGTACCTCTGAGGACTTTTATTCATCACAACAAGACATTCTTTGGAGCATCTAGACTTCTAGCAGTCAGATTTCAGTGAAATGGAAATTCTTCAACTTGACCTTTATTTTACATTTCTGTCCTAGTCTGTTTTTCATACTTGAAACAACATTTCCTCTTCTTTTCCCCCCTACCTTTTCACAGTTAAACATAACTTATAATTTTCTGTACTAAAGAAAGTAGCAACACTGAAGAGCTAAACATACATTATGTGTGCTAACTTTAAAAAAACAAAAAAAAAAGCAACAAACCAACAACAATTTAGTGTTCACTCTGCACTACTTTCAGTGGAGCTCGCCTTTGCTGTCTGTTACTGTGGTCTGGTAGAGGCCAAAGAAACTACTTGTACTTGTAATACAAGTTATTTCTCAATATTACTGCAAAAATCCATGGTGCAGCGCTTAGAATTATAATTATCTACATTCAGTTACCATGGAGAGACTCAAACTGACTGAACACACTAGAAGTCATATTGCACTATTCGTATTTTTGCATCTGTACTTTCAGGCTGCTTCAAACACTCCAAAGCCTCCTCACTTTTAATAAAAATATGGTAGAAGCAGCAGCTTACCTTACTCAGGAATAGTTGTAGGTAAAGTCAAGAGAAGTCTTTGTAAAGTTCTGAAAACACTGTGCTTTACAGTCCAGTGACTGGAAGAACTTCGAATCCCACCTTAGAAATCATCATGCCATCCGCCTTAGACACACAGTGGAGTTCTGTGGAATTGCAAGGCAAAACTGTCCTTGGTATCTGTAGATATGAAAAGCACAGCTGGAATCAGTGCAGGATTTAATAGCATTCATCTCCTCTGGCACCCACTGACCAGCCCATCTGGGGCTCTGGGTGCTGCCAGGGTCAGAAATCAAGCACGTTCCCATTATATTCTCATACAGAGGCAAGACTGGGTTTGAAGATGAGATATTGAGCTGTATACTCTGAATAGGCCATCTTCCAGTTCTGGTGCCAGTGTAAAGCTTTGCTTCTCTTGAGGTTCACTTCCTCCCCTCTCCCTTACAAGTTCAATTAAATACGGTATTTTCTGATTCCTTCCGCTGAAGCTGAAAGCTAGAAGAATTCACTTGGATTTGGAGTTGGCTAACGTGCGCCTCATAGGCTGCTGATTACTGGCTCTGCACAGTACTAACCCAAAGTGGAAGTGCAGTCTTGATAGAAACTGTCCATTGAATATGAAATTACATTCCAAGTACTTAACAATAATTTATAATTCTTTGCAATAGAAGCACTAGAGGTACTCATTTTAATGTAAAGCATTATTTTTTTTATGGTGCAATTCAATACTTAATATGCTTTTTGAAGGTAAGTTTATGATTAAAAATCGTATTTCTCACCTTCTTAAGTTTTCCATTTCATCAGATGAGATATCTGGATATTGAAAGAAACACCTTTTTATTTTATGCTAAAAATAAAAAGCATAAATTTAAAATTTTAAAATTTTAAAATTTAAAATTGCTGTTTAGAGGAATCCTGCAAATCTGCAAGGGAAGACCTAAAACCAGTACGCCCATTACAGAAAGGAACAGAAAGCTTACCTCAGCCAACCAAAGGCAAAGAAGATGTTAAGAAGAGAACATCTGAAAAGCGTTCAGAAAATGCAGCACAAAAAGCCAGGATAGAAGGACCTGTAAGTTTAAGACAAGCAACACCACCTCCCACCCCCCACAAATGTAAACTAGAATGAGAGAACTCAGTATTACATTTATATTTTCTACTATTGTAATTTATTTTTAACCAGCATGCAAGCACTGTTGTATGGTATTCAGCAATTCAGTTTTCATGAAGTTCAGATCACCGTTCCTGTGTTAGACTAGAATTCTAGAAGTTAGCATTCAGCCTTTACCCTTGTGGTGATTTCTTAGAACACCACTGTGGCTTGAGATTTCAGCTTGGCTTATGAAAAGAAACTAGTAATTTTAGAGGCAAGATGGTGTAAATGCTTTTATTTCACAAATACATAATGTATATACCAAAAATTAATTTCAAAATGTATTTCGAAAAATCCAGACTTTATCAGAAGAGCAGCAGCTGAAGCAACGGGAGGACTACCTCAAGAAAAAGAGAGATATGCTGATGGCTACAAAGAAGGAGTCAAGAAATAATGTGATTCCACCAAAAAACACTGACCAGAAAGAAAAGGAATTGTCTCCTAAAGAGGTGAAGGATTCAATTATTTTAATCATCCCAACCACTTCATAACAAATAGACAATTTCAGTGAAGATGTGAATGCTGCTGAATACAGTAGCAACATAAAAGGAACAAGCGGTGGGGGTAGAGACAAAGTATTTTCTAATTACTGCTTTTGCAGAAGCATACAGGCCAAAAGTTTAACGATCTTTAGCATTTTTTTCCTACTGTATTGTCAAATCCTCTTGATTAATTTAAATTTACAAGCCACTACATTGCTGGCTTTCTTCTAACCTGTGACCAAGCGTTTGAACTGAAGAACTGAAAGGCAGCAGCATTTGGCTTGTTTCAGTCACAACGTACTTGTTAGTGTTTCAGTGGATTGTCCTCTCACTGCCAAACCATCTTTCTTCCATTCTGCAGCATTGAATTTCTGAAAAATGACAAGCGTTTCTCACAGTGACTAATCTTAAACCTTTTCTGGACAAATTTGCTGATCGTGAGACTGCTTGTCATTTTATTTATAAGTACAGTGCAAGGAGAAACACCTGTGATAATAGCAGATGCTCTTGTGTGTCAAATTCTATTTATACTGAGTTTCCATCGGGCATATTTGAAAATAAAAAAAATAATTAAAGATTTTTACCCAAGTCAGCAGAACAACCTGGTAAGTGCTCTAGCTAATTAGGGGAGAATGTCAGAACCAGGGAGTGTTGCTGGGTTTTTCTTCTCTGACATCATAAAGGCCTGTTCTGCTTTTCAGTCTTTCAGGCAAATACAAAATAAAGTATGGCCACATTTAAAAATACGTAGGTATTCTGGATCATGGAGGGAGCTTAAACTCAATTCACTGACAAATACCTTCGTTAGCTGATACATTCCGTAGCTTATGAGAAGTGCTAAAATCACAAAAATTCTTGCATAATGGGGGTGATAGAAATGTCTAGTATGGGAACAAGAAGTCAATTATACCAAGAAAAAATAAACCATAAAACCAGAATCATGTAACAGGCTAAAGCCAATTAGAAGACATCATAAGAAAAGAAACATCTACCTTTTGTTATTCATTGTTCTGGGTTAACATGAGTGCCACAAATGATAGATGGAAAGAAATGCTTAAAAACTTGCAACATAGATAAGTAAGGTGGTAGAAGACCTTAAAAAACAAACAAAAACCATACAAGTCATTGCATCTGCTAAAAATCAGAGGTTTTGTGTTACCTCAGGAATGCCTCAGAATTGCCTTCCGTTTTATTACATTCAGAACGTACCTAAAGTACTATTGATTGGGGAATTTCTAAAACAGCTAAGCAGCGCCTTTTGAAGATGAGGTTAGTCCTCTTTCAAAAGGACTGGTACAACAGCGCAGGGGGAAGAAGGCAGATTTATGTAAAGAGGCAGTCCTCCGCATCCTGGGATCCACTCCCCAAGAAATAGAGTAACTTTGTAAACCATTCTGGGTTACAAGCAATTTGAAGGCCTGGTCTGCAGCATCAGGTTTGGAAGTGAAGTTACTTGGCTGCTCATTGTTAGAAAAAGTTGTGCACCAGCTACCTGCTGGGGCTTAGGGACCTGGTTAGCATCAAACATCACGATACATACCAAGAAGTCAGGCAGTTTATTGCTATTTTTTTTTCCATTTTGTTTGTAGGAACTCTCAGAAGAGAAGCAAAAGTTACTGCAGAAGAGGAAAGTGCTTGCAGAAAAACTAAAAGAAGAAGTTATTAATAAGCGGTAATGTTAAGAAGCTCATTGCAGGTTTCAATAATAAGCAACTTTAAAAAAAAATAACCAATAATTGAATGGATTTGTTTTCAAATGTTACATTTAGTTTTATAGAACTTTCAGACAAGCAACTGGACTTGTATAAAGTCTTTGAAATTACACTCAAAACAGTGAAAACATATTTTCCAGAATGCTGTAAACTCATTGATTTTCACTGGAAGGTACTCAACAACGAGGCAGTTTAACATTAGCTCAGCACACAGATTGTGTGGACTACTGGCCTCAGTCACTTAATAGAACAAAAGCAAATATTTATATCTGTTAAAATAATAATGTAAACAGTTTTGAATGAGTTATATATATTTTTTTTTTTTAGGATTAGGGAACTTGGTTCTTTTCATTAGAATATTACAAATAAGTTACTATTTTTCAGCTGTAAAGTATAATAAAATTTAAGTTCACAAAGAAATGTTACTATGATTACCTTATTTTTTGAGAAACAGATAACAGCTTGAAGTCAGGAGTCAAGACATCCAGATTGTATTATTTTACATACTTTTGGAGCAGTTTACTAGTGTCTTGGATTCAAGTTTGCTATGAATGCAAGTTGAGAAAAACTTTAGTTGCAAAATAAGAACTAGAGCAAATGAGACCAATTTAGTTCTAAATCAGTTTTTAAACAAAACAAAAATCATTTAAATCTCTCAAAGACAAATGTAAAGTTGTGCAAATTACAGCCTCTGCTGTGCTTCATTTCATTACATCGTTGTCTGTAACAGTAATTCACATTAAAAGAACAACCCAACTACTTCATGTTCCATGTAGCTTTTTATTAAAATAGCATTTATAACTGATACATGTTGGCAGATGTTCTTTGCTTTGTCAAAAAGCCTGGTAGCAGGAGGGCCCCAGGCAGAGGAATGCAGCTGCCCACCAGCAGGACCACGCAGCATGGACCAGGTCAGATGGGGAAGCAGCTGCGGGAGTGGGACTGGGGGGCTACAGCCACAGGCAAGAGCCAGTTAGCGTGCTGCCTGTTGTGTTCTACAGGGATTTAAAAGAAACTGAATGGCACAGCTGGTGCAGCTTCATACAGTTTTTCTAGTAACAATAAAAATTCACCATACTCGTTTTTCATTTTTGAAGACTCCTGTTGGTCTGAATTTATTTTTTTTTTTTTAAGCGCCTGACAGTACTCTAGGAAAGAGCTGGAGTGGTGGGGAACATTGAGCAAGAAATAACATGCTTCTGTCAGACCCTCAGAGAAGTTGCCGTGGGTAGCTGTTAAATGAAAAAGAATCAGGACAGCTTGGGTCCACAGACAAGATGACAATTTTTCAGCCTCGGGTTAGTCAAGGCACATATTGTGCAACTCTGCTGCCTGAGTAGCACATATAGTACTGGAGGAAATTAATCATCTTTACTGATGGAGAGAAAAAATCATCAAGAATTAAAAAACGATGATCGTTAGCAGGAGAGCAAGCACATGCCCGTGACACTGCAGCTACACTTCACCAGCAATTTATTCCTCAGATCTTCTGCAGTTGGAGCTGACCAGGCGCTTCATCATGGGTGAGCAGTGAGGAGTCCCACGCCTGGTTGCCTGGAGCCCACAGGAGGCAACAGCTTCATCCCCAGGTCCACATGCACAAACCGCTGGCCATCAAGAGTGCTTGGGTCTAGCTTACGGGTCAGTAGAAGCACACATGGCCTTGGGGATTTCATCTGGTGGTGTAGAGTTCCTTTTCAAACTGCACAGTAACTAATTTTAAAGAATATTCTAAAATGGCCACATTTAAAATTCTGAGTTAACTTACCATGTACAACAAACCAAACAACAGCAATGGTTATGGAATTACAGGGTCACATTTTAATTCCTGAATTTTACAGTTCAGCATTAATATCACCACATGTATACAAATGGTGTAAAACAAGTACAGTGGTATTTTTAATACAAAATAAACTTCTGTTTTATGGAAAAACTATACTTCATATCTACACAGACAGCCCATCTTTTTCCAAACAATAGCTAAAATTAAAATTAACTACAAAATCTCCAAAACAGAGAAACTGCTTCAGTTTAAACTATTCCAGGAGAAATGGACCCATAACACATTACAAGAGTGATCTATGTGGTGGATTGCAGCTGTTTTCGTATTTTTTTAAAAAACATTTCTGACATCAATTGTTGGGAAATTTCCTCTTTAATTTTTTCATGATCTTAGATCACATATGGGCAAACTAACATTAAAATATTTACAGTTCACTTCCTGCTCTTGAAAATAAAACCTGGACTGTTTGCCTCTATCAACTTACCTATTTTTCTTGCAGTTTGTTTACCTACGTGGAATGTGCTTTTATTTTTAAAAAAGCAGCTTTCATCTTGCACCCAGATTTAGGTGCTGCTTGTTGATTCTGCCTCAACAACTGGTGTCCTGCTAGTAATAATTTCATCTTGGTCCAAAATGAGTTTGATGTTAAACACCACTAAATTCATCACTATTAAAAACCTGTTAGTGTTCCTTATTACCACCTCAGTTATGCGATTTAAACTTGCAAACAGGAAAATCCCTTGCTGCTTTGAGAAGAAACAGCTCATTTTAACAAAGCGGAAAGTGATTCAAATTCGGCACAACAAGAAGCTGACAGCTATTCGAGTGTGCCGTGTAAAGCACCAGTGTGACACAAGCAGTTCCTGGAGATACTTTGGAAGCAGTCATTCCGTGGCATAGATATTACTGGATATCTAATTGAAAAAACAAGCAAAACCATCCATTTTGAATCCAGCTTCCGTTTTCTCCTCTTTAAAAATACAAATTAAAACTTACTTACTTTTTTTAAACTGTTTTAAACAACTCAACATGCACTATAACTGCAGTGTCCCTCCCTCCTACCATGAGAAATTCAATTTGTAATAAATGGTCCCAAAATCTGGATTGTTCTTATGCAAATACAGTTAGTTTTCCCTTTTTTTTTTTATTATTTTTTATTTTTTTTAAAAGAGGCATTGCTAAAAGAACACAACTGACAGCACCATTACAAAATTAAGATTACTGGGTTCAAAATTTAAGCTTGAATTCTTTTTCTTAGTTCTGCTTAACACTGGGGAAACCCTGCAATATTTAAAAAGAAGTTTACCTTACCTTTCCCTCCCCATGCCCTCCCAACACCTGAGACTTTCCTTGCTGAGAAGCCATCATCCAGGTTCTGTGAATACTAACCCACTTTTTTTTTAGTTTTTATTTTTATTTTTTATTGACAGCCTGAATGGCAGCCTCCTTATTTACTAGAAAGATATTAAGTTCCTCAGAAGCCTTGCGTTTACAGAACTAACCCTTTCTAGCTCATATACCGAGTTTCTTTTGCTACTCCTTGTGTTATCTTACATACTCATGGGAGAAAGCTTTCTGAATCAGATTCTTTTTAGCTCTTAAAACAGTTGCAGCATTTGAAACCCCGTAATAAAAGTTTTTATTCCAAAGTTTTGGTTTCTTTTATGAACCCAGACGAGGTCTTTTCCTTGGAGATGTCTCTTCCTCTTCATCATCATCTTCATCATCAGGATAGTCCACTAGACCAACTAGACTTCCCTGCCAATTTAAAAAAAGAAAATCTTGTATTGAAAAAAATACCCAGGAAGGCATAATTTTTAGTATATAACCCCCAATGAGCTTGTCCAGGACACACAAGCCTGCAGGTCAAGTCTGTCTTAGAATAGCACTCAAATCTGCAGTTACTTGTTTTCAGAACTTTTCATAACCAACAAATAATTGCCATCTCTACTACAAGTGTTATTTTTAAGTCAGTGACTACATATTTTAATCCCGAGGGTTAAAAAAGATGTATGGAGCTTCCTTGTTCCTCTGCATCCTGGCCTCAAAATTATTTCAAATCAATTTAAGCTCCCAGCTGGACTGCCACAAAATCTAAAACATACACGTGCATTTTCCTGGTCGGTCTTTCTTACCAAGTCCCTGACAAGGTGCTCCACTAACACAGTTTAGGAAAAAAGCCCAAGCGTATCTCACACAAGCAACTGGACAGTTAAAAGTAAGTTGAGGAAGGAGAGCAGTTGAGTTATGCAGAAGATGAAAGATCAAACGGTGCCCATCACGTTACCAGCAGGTTTCCTTTCCTAATAGTTCTTTAAGCCTTCCCCCACATGAGTAAGGGTTTAACTACACAGGGCTTCGGCTGAACACACGTCAATGAGGCCCTACCCAGAGGCTAACGCTAACCGTACTGCATTGCAGCCCGTAAGATTTCATTATTACTGCTCTGCTCCCCGAAGCTGGGACAGCTGCTTTGTATAAGTTCTCCCACCTTCGTGGCTGTCACGGCTGTGGTCAGGGTTGCGTTCTTTGAAGAGGAGCCATTGGAGCTTGCTGGTGATGTCTGAGCTGCCACAGATTTGCTGTTTGTACTGTTTGCACCGTTGGCTGCGCTGGCTGAGTGGGAAAAAGTGAACTTGAAACCCCCAGCTGAAGTCCTTTTGGGAAGATTCTCTTTGTCTTCACTCTCTTTAGCTGAGGGACAAACATTTTCATGCTTCAGTATCAGCTGTATGCCACAAAGCACAATCCACAGAGCATCACGTGGGGCAAAAGCAGCCTCTTTTAAATTTCAACTTAAACGAAAGCTCGCTCACTGCCCTCATTCAAAGCACAACAGCATTCCAAATGAGAATGGCACAGCTGCTTTGGACATGGGGACACCACCATGCAGTACACACAATTTTGTAGAGATTTGGCTTTGGATACCATTTCAAATTGCCCTAGACGTGTACCTAATTAACTCATTTTAATCCTAGCCTGGCTTACAAAGACAGGTTGGGAATTTGCTACTAGAACACTCTTACTCCTGCTTATAGTGCAGAACACGAGCAACTGGTTTGTTTACGACACTTCACTGATCTGGCATACAACACACCCAGAGATGACAAGCTGAAGTTACATAAATACCTTTTTTAGTTTCCATAAACTTTTCATAGCTATCTGGAAAATCATCCTCAGGTTTTGACTTTTCAACTGGTGGTACGACAGCTTCACCTTCTTCCTCTTCATCTTCATTGAACCACATTTCTTCATCCTCCTCTAAGGCTCTTGCATCTCTGCGAAATCTATTGCTACGCAATATAGATGGAACACTGTAAGAGACACACGACAAGTGATGCAAGTTTTGTGTGCTGCTTCAGAATCAGACAGGATCAGAAATGGCTTTGGTGCTTTAAAGTAAATTCAACGGTTTGGGAAGGCAGCTTAGCTGCCCCTTGTTCTGTCAACGTGAGCTTCACCAAAACCCCAGCTGACAAGAAGGGGGACTGAATTCTAACTCTGAATGAAGAAGATTCTGCTCTTCATAAGCTGAAAGTTTTCCAACTAACATTTAATGTATTCACAAACTGAACTGTGCTAGCTAGAGTAAGCCAATGATGAAAGCCAGATGCAGGTTTATTCTAGTTGACATTTTCATTGTTAATAAAAAAAAAAAATACAAAAAACCCACGGCCTTCTGCTTTTTTTGCCCTCTAGGAAAGATTATAAAAGCAGTAAGGTGATACTACATAACGTTGGAGAAGGCTCAGAATACATAAAATGCTTAGTACCTGTTTAGTTTCTGGTTTTGCCGGTCTTTTTCTTGCTCATATTTTGTCTTCAATCCCTTGAATGTCTGAACGTATTCAATAGATTCAAGTGCATTATAAAAGTTTTCAACTATATGTGCAATAAGTGACTTAATATCTTCCTGTGTAAGAAGAAAATAGTATTTAAGCCTCATATATTAACCTGCAGAAGTTCAGAAAGCTTTAGAGTTGATCAAAGAGTAACTAACTATCCAGAACTAAGACATTATTGTAAAGAACAAAAGTGAAATCTGATTTTTCATAAATAAAGCTGAAGTCTAGAACTATATGGCTAGAATTTCTCATAAACAACCAATATTTTCACTACTGTACCAATCCTACGTGTTTCGTTAAACCATGATGTTTGTTATCTTTACGGTCTAGGCCTTAAGAAAAAATTAGTTGAACCATGCCCAGCTCTCCCCACAAGTTTTAGTTCTCTTTCTAGCGATCAGTAGCTGCACCAGCACACATGGAAACAAGGCACTTTTTGGTCCCCTAAAAGTCTCACCATATCAGGCAAATCCGATAAGCATTAGTTCATATCACAAGGGTATAAGTCATCTGAAAACACAATGCATTTTCCGTTTTGCTGGAAATGATAGCAGCTACAATACCCTAGGACTAAAAAGTGCACTTCATATTCAGAGACCACAAAGATTCCCTGAGAAGACTCCCACACACCAATGTATTTGCCCCAAGTAGCTTAGGAGTTGTTGCAAGTCCCCATTTTCTACCCCAGCAATACCAGAAACTGAGTGCCCCTGTTTGTCCTGTCCACATATACACCATTCCCAACAACGCTGACAGTGAAGAGCTACTGATTCCGAGCTGACACTAAGAAAGCACATGTAAGATTTTCAAGGACAATGATCACTAATTTATAGTCAAATTGTGTATTACCAGATCTGAGACTAGATTTACTCACATATAACACGCTTCACTTAATTCTTCACTTCGAAGTCTGGTCTGAGACAACCCAGTCAGCCACTTCAGAGAATTTCACCCCCAGGATACTGTCTTACACAGACATACACACACAGAGGGCCTCTATGTGCTCTTGGAGGGGATGATCAAGTAAACCAAACAAGCAGCAGCTTACTGGCTCTCTTCTACTTGAATATCTATCTCTGGGATTGTTAGTTTGTGATTTTAATTATTAGCACACTATTTCACATGAAAGGCTTTGTTTTGTTTTTCTACCTGTGATGACACACACACACACACGTAAAAGCAGAAGCAGCTGCTAACGTACCACTCTGATGAATTCAAACAGTTCGATCACAGCAGAATTGAGCAGATTGTACCTAGTTCCATTATCCAACAGAGCATTTATAACTGGTTCGAACAGATTTCCCTTGGTGATATAACGGTTATAAAATTCATCTTTTAGGCCTATTATCCTCCTCATAAAGCGAAGAGCACCTACACGAAGAAAGAAAAGAAAAAAAATCAAATAAGTTAATAATTACATATCAGGACTCCAGTCTACTGCTCTTGGAAAGAGCTGAAAAAACACACACAGAACTGATGCTACAAAGAGAATGAAGTGCCCACAGAACAAAGAGCACTGCAAAGTGCTTTTTCCAAAGTTCTAAATAAACATTTGCAGATAGTTAACTTTTTTTTTCCCTGAATTCTTTGACGTTTCTGTGCACGTGAATTTGATCAGAGCCCATTAAGTTTTGGAAGTATAGCAGCAATAACTTTTAGCAGACATGAAGTTAAATTATGAGTACATTCCCGTGCTTCTGTATCTGCTTTCCAGAACCAGCCACTCTTGCTTAAATACCATGGATCACAAAGTCCATTCACATTCTACAAGAAGCACTACATTTATGAAGTTTTTTGAGATGATCACAAATGATCCCCCCCCACCACATCAAGAGATGCAACCACCTTCCACCAGAAGCTGCATTGGTCCACATTAACAGACACCTGCCAACTTTTTTTCTTTTTTTTTTTTTTCCCCCCAAACTTACTAAGCAGCTAGTCTGCAATAGGAAATTAACACTAATTATGAAGTTAGGTATGCACTTGTATTTGTTACACGTTCCATGCACTACATAAAACACCTTAAGGAGGTAACGACAATTCCATACTCACACAAGGCCAGAAATGTATGTTTTGAATTCATCAAGACCAGTACTCTTCTTAGCAAATCTTTGTTCATAATGTAATTCTTGATGTGATACGTATGGTGTTCCACACAGAAAGTAAGCAGCTCCAAAATTAAGGCAAGTAGTTGTGCCGTTTGATAATTATCTACAAGAAAAAGTCAGGCATTAAGACACACTAAAGAAGGGGGAGAAAAAAGCGCTGTCAGAACAAATCACCACCACCTTCAGTTGCTGTTATGGTTCCTGATGTTTCAGCATCACACTGAAGTGCTTTAGCAAGCAGGACACTACATCAGAACAAAACAAATACTAATTCAGCTTTGTTTTTTTTTCCAGCCATAAAAATCACCCTGTAATGGCAGCAGGGCTTCTTCCACCAGCCAGTTCCTAGTTACAGGTGCCCAAAGTAACAATGCACAGTAGCACTGTTAGTCTTTTCATAATGCTCTTAAAGAACCCTGAACAGAAAAATCCAAACATAAAAGTTCAGCTATAGCTATACTTAGCACATACTCTACTAAGAGTGATTTTTCAGAAGTAAGGTAGACTGGGACAAACAACAACAAGAAAACAACCACAAACCAAACACAACAATCACAAAATTTACTTAGAAGGAGATGAAAATGTTCTTTTAGCTTCCTGCTATCTCAAATGAAACCGAAAGCCACCTATTGCAATAAAAACTTAAAAAAAAAAATAAAAAAATATGGACATGCCTTGTTTTCTATGATGCTATCTTTTTATTTAAAAGAAAAAAGATTCCAAAATTCAAGTTCAATTAAAACTTACCAGGACAAATTGTATTACTCTTAGTGGACCCAACTACTGCATCTGATAAACAGAAAATAAAAGCACTGTAAATATTTAACAGATAGGGACAGATAAATGATTGTACCAAACTTTTCAAACTTTTAATCAACTCAAAACTTTCTATAAGGGAAACTTTCATAAGGGAAACATAAATACAGCAAAAATTATAGCCAGCTGACATTTCATTCAACTTATGTTACAAACTTTAAATGCAACTATGTAAGAATACATAACCTAGTACTTCAGAATTATTCCTACATAGCTAAAAGAAAATGCCTATCCTAATTTCTTCAATGAATACTACCCAGTACTACAAATATTCTTCAAGTTTTATTTTAATACACCTTTTTCTACTTAACGTTGTGAGAACATGGGTAAGATCAAATCAAATGCTTCAATACACATTTGCAAAACCGTTCCTTTCATCCCTTGAAAGAGTACTTAAAAAAAAAAAACAGCCTGACTCAGAGACTGTCGTGATATTACATTTGTTTGTAAAGCATTAAACTAGTGAGTGTTAATTATGTGCCACTTCCTTTACAATTGCCAAGCTAAAGAGAAGAAAAAAGGTAAAGGAGTTCCACATTGTATTTATTTGAAGAGACTTATTTCTGCATTTCTATGCCAAGTGAAAACTAGTCTTTGGGATGGATCACCTGAGCTGCTGATGACTACTGAGTAACATCACAGCATTTTTGCAAACTTCTTTTCTAAAAAACAGCTGGGAACTACAGACACTCTTTGTTTTGCAACAACTATTTTCTTAAACCTTACTGGGAAAAGTGTTTTACGATTAATGATGTAACTATATATCATTATTACATTTTATATATATACACATATATATTGTTATATGATGAAAATATATCTGATATATATCATCATATATATGATGATAATATATCTGATAATGATATATATATATTCATCATCAAATAATGTTTTAGAAAGCACAGCACAGAGGCGTTCTCATTCAAAACCGCAATACAGGGCAAGGCTGCTCACAGAACCCCTACAACAGAAGGAACAATGGATTTCAGGACACATATTCCCAGCTTGCATCACAGCTGTTACCAGTGCTGCAGGTTCAAAATATTACAAGATTTTTAAACCAATAAACAAAAAAACATTACCTTTTTCACATTTATCTTCTGATGTATTAGCCAGAAGTGGTGCGGTAAGAACATGCATACAATGGTTGTAGAAGAAATTGAGAAATTCACTTTTTTCTGTTTTCTAAAACAAACATAACTTTATTAAATACTGGCATCTGTATACAGCCTCTTAAATAAGAAAGGGTGGTAATATAGAAGACATCCTACAGATAATTCTGACTCCCTCTGGGCTGCCTGCACCTTTTTGATTAGACTGCAACATTATCCTCACTCAAAATATATTTCTTCATTTTGGGAAGAGATCTGAGACACCAAACCAACTTAACTAGCACCAAAAACCCACCATGGACGCAAAACATCCTGAAAAGACAGAAGCGACTCAAAGTGCTACACGTTCTTAAAGGCAGTAATTTTACCATAGTCACCTTCACCACTTTACACCAAAACACCTGTCATCTTGTCCTTTTCCCTACATTGCATGTAATACACACCTATCAATACACAAGCAGGATTCCAATGTGCTTTCTTGTGATTTGGCTCAACACTGACCCCCCAGCCTCTCTTCTCCCAGTATTTATCACTCAGCTACCAGGAGTTATGACTGAACTAGTATTATTTCACCAAAGAACGGGACTGCTTGTGTTAATAAATACTTGCACAATGCCACATACACATACCTTTTATTATCAAAAGTTAATGGAATTTTAATTTCAGCTTGTTAAATTTCAGTATCAGACCACACATGACAGTGTCAAAATACCTTTTTTTTTTTTTAAATCCTCTGACCAAAACAACAGTAAGAAAATCACGCTTTCTATTTTGCTGAGACAGTAAAGTGTCTTTACCCCTTTGTATTTTCTTACATTAGCTGTGGCCAACATATTCTCTGGATCTATCAAAGTACGCAACAGCCCCATTAACTGCACGGCTCCCCCAAGCTCCGGATCAGTATCACAGATCATCTGCTCAATGACCACGTTGATGAGGAGGATATCCTGGAAAAAAAAAATTATACATGGAGTTTCAATAGTGGAATGACTTCCCTAGATTCTATATTAGGGTGTTTTGTTTACTATTTAAAGCAAAAATAAAAAACACTGAAATGGGAAAACTGGAAGAGCTGCATTTAAACACTGGAGTTCTGTCAGGCACCACCCACCACACTTAAACGTCCCTGCTAGGCAGAGCTACGATTTTATTACTGTACACACGGGACAGCAACATGCTCAGAAATTTTTATATCAAGTCTAATTCTCCTTATGTTTCTACCATCTACATTTTTGGATTAACTACATACAAAACGCTGAAGAGTTTTTTTTTGTCATTGTTTTGTCTTAAAACTAATATATTCAAGCGCATTCAACAAACTCTAACACACTTTTACTTACGTCGTCACTCTGTTGGGCCTCTTGCATTACAAATTCTCGGACCATAGATGGACTAAATTCTACCAGATAAGAAAATATATCTGTAGCAGCAGATCTAACTTGCAAGTCATCCATCCCCTAGTAAAAATGAGATCAATTTATTGCAGAACCATTTCAAACAGAGTTGCAAAGAGTCAGGGAGTTACAAGTTTTGAGAACATCTTATTACAAAAAAATCTACAAGAGATGCAGTAAACAGTGACAGGAGAAAGACAAAACAGTAAAATGCTTTAAAGGATAAAAATAATGGGGAAAAAGACTGCAAGGATTTCTGTCAACTTGATGAACCAACTACACCAATTAATTTGTCTGAGTGTGAGAAATTTTTGTACAGCAAGAATTATTAATTTTCTTTAAGGTATGTAACTTTTTCCTTCTGGTTAAGTGCACAGTTTCTAAGCCTAGAAAACTGATGTAACAGGTAACACTGAGACTTGTCTAGGCCTGGAAAAGAACCATGAGACTAGAGTTTGTCTAATCAATTAACATTTATATTACTTTTATATTTACATAACAGTCAGTGTCCCTTGGTAACCTCACACATTGTTACTCTAGAATATTAAAAAACCACAACAACAGAATATACAGTTTCTGAACAGCAGCAGCAATAATTTGCAATGGTCAAGCAGCAATAGCTGCTTCAACAAAAGGAGAGAAAAAGCCAGGTTTTCATGTTGCTGATGGGTGATAGATTAAACTGCTTTATACCACTGAAAATGAGATCAGGATCGGACAGGAACAAGTAACAGCCCAAGGTTATCTAAAAATACTATTTTAGCACTGCTCCAATAACAACAACAAAAAACAAATTCCAACATGAAGAATCCTTCCAAATTTTACCCCTGTTATCAAGAGGGCTTCAAAGTAAATGCAAAGTAAAAACAGTAAGAGTGATAAAGTTGAGCAACTTCAGAAAATCGGAGATCTTACGGATTCAGGACGTTACTATAAGCTAAAGCTTTCAGAGGAACAACGTTGTCCCATTAAAGTCACAGAAAGGTGTTTAGCACATCTGAAAATGTGGCTAAATGACTTTGTTTGCTTTTCTGTTTTTGCCTCTTACTAAAATGTCATTTTCACTTACCATTACAATTTCAAGAGCTGGAAGGATTCCCAACTTTGCCAAAGTTTTAAAAAACGCGTCTCTGTTCTGAGGCTGTAATGTCTGAGAAAACGCGCAGAACTCCTTGAAGAAGTTAACCTAGAACAAAGGGAAAAAAACAACACAGGCATTTGATTCAGAACACTCCAGAACACAAGTCAGAAATACCTATGATTTGTATCAGTCTGCGCACCAGTGAGTATATGCCTTCCCGTAAAACAGACTCATCTAGCCTTCTCCCCTCCAACGTGCAACAGCAGTTAGGCAACGTTAAGGGTAGAAGTAAAAGGAAAACAAAGGCAGTTAAAAACAGATGAAAAAAATCCGTTAAGAGGCTGTGATGGACCTCAGAGAAACACAGTCATTTTGTAGCTATTTTATCCCACCTAACATAGGAAAAATTTATACTTCTGTCTGGCGTGCCTTTTGTTTGAAAGAACAAAGATGTTTTCTGCCAGCACACACTCTAGATTTTTATAAGGCAACTTAAGCTGATAACCATATTCAGAGATAAATAACGTTTGTAAAATATACACCAAGGGACTGTTGTTAACTCTCAGTCACAGGACTAAAAGGCCTTGTTGAGTGAGCAAGATACAGTGGGAAAACAAGCACCAATTGGATACAGAACATTAAAGAGTACTTAGAAGAAAGTATGTTTTCAAGCCTAGGACTCGAGCTTAGCACTAGCACTTTCTTAATAGTAAAATAAATTACTTAGAACAAATAAATGAGAGTTTTACCTCACAAGAAATATTGTCCTAGGGAGCACAAAGACTACGCTGCATTAGAAATGACTCTAGCGTTAGGGAAATACCTCAGTGACTGTAGAACCAACAGAACACCTTCAACATTTCTACTTCATGTCTGAAGTCTGAAGCACTCAGCCACCTACTGAGTGCACCAACTCACCAATTCACATCGTTTGTCATCATCTGTAGCTTCATCTGTTAGTTGTGCAAAAACTTCAGACAGAAATTTTTCATCTTCCTATGTAACAAAAGGAAAGTGACTTAGACAGCACATCTTACACATTAAAACTCGTTTTGACAGGCTCTGACACTGTATCAACTCAGACTGAAGTTAACTGCTTACTTCGTAGAACCAAAAATGTGCACCAGTAGATTGGGTAGAAAAGCTTTTTTTTGTTTTTTTTTTTTTTGTTTTTTTTTTTAATAAACACAGTCACCTACATTTTATCACTGAAAAGGAAGTTGCAGCACCCGTTTGAGAGCTGTTTCCAACAGTCTCAGCATCTGTTCCGTATGGCAGGGGCAGCATTACTGGGTCCGGGCCCAGAGAACCTCTGGCACTCGTCCTCCGCCTGACGGCTCGCATGCCTACGGCTCTGCCCTACGACCCGCAGGCTCACTGCGTGGTTTTCACTCACACCCAGGCATCACAACACCATAACCCCATCCATCTGATCCGGGCTCCCTCACCATGGCTTAACACCCGAGAGGAGCACAAAACCCAGGGTGAAGAGCATTGCCTCCCAGCAGCTCAGGCACGTCCTGCTCCCTGCACACCCGTGGAGGAGCGCTGGCATTCCTTCAAATCAAAGTGCCCATCACCTGTTGAACATGGGGCAAATCTCAGAGCCAACAGCAGCATCGTGCTACTACACCACAGAGCTGGGCAGCTCTGCAGAGACTCACTGAAGAAGCACGAAGGGTCGCAGCAGTGGTGATAAGCATCCATGCTACGCTGCATGCTTCAGACAGCAGTTACTTCTATACTTTGCTTCTGCTGTTACTAAATTCAGTGCATTTTATTAAGCTGAAGTACAGAATTATTATTTACTATCACCTGAATGTTGGCCAAAAGGTCACTTTTTTTCCCTGAGTATTTTAAGATGTGAGGAAAAAAAGTGCTTTACAAGCACAGGGTACCTGAACCAGCATCTGACAACGCAGCTTACACAGACCTAATGGTTTACTTTTAGCCTTACTGATTTTAACAGCTAAGTTAAGTCTGTTAAAAAAAACAATCCTAAAAAAAACAAGAGGCCAGAAACTCCCCCCCACAGACTACTTGGCAACAGACAGATCTCTGGCTTGTCTAGAGCTGCAGCCCGGCGCAGCCCTGATGTCCTAAGGCCCAGGGTGGATCTAGGTTTGTTTTCTGGGCTTGCTGCGTTTTCCACACGCCTGCCCTTCCTCCTCAGCAGTGCTGGGTGTGCTGCTCCATGTCACATCCAAAGGGCTTCGCTGCAGTACCGAACAGCCTGGTACTCCTACAAACTGCACTTCCTAGGGAGCTTTACCAAAGTATTTAGGGTAATAAGACCTCTAATTCGTCCACCAAGCCCAAAGGGGCTTTAAGATTCTCGTGCCGCAACAAAAGCTGATTTACACCAGCAGACTGGGAAAGCGGTCCCGAACCTGATGCCCACACTCCAATGTAATTTTCCCCATGCACAGTAGCCAGCAACTTCTCTTCCATGTGTGCTTTCTTTGTCACAAATCCGAGGCAGGTCAACTGATTTAGCTGTCAGTACTACTTGTAAATCAGCACGCTTGTCTCAGTCACAGTCTCAGATCAGACGCACCCGCGTGCCACACGCTCGTCTCAACTATGGCAAGGCCGGCAGCGACCCAACAGCGAAGAACTGACAGAACTTCAGAGCCTGCTCCAGTGAGTGCTACAGGTGAGTCTCACAGAGCCTCTGCTTTCTGCTAAGGTGCAAGTAGGCACGTAGTACAGTAAAACTTTGGTGGAAAATAAAGAACCTTAAAGAAAATATCTCAATGGAAGTCGTTCGTTTTGCTAGCAGGATTTACTTTCTAGTTTCTTGCTGCTACTCAACCGAAGTAAAAAGAAGCCCCAGAGTTTACCCATGTAGTTTTCTGTCTTTTTTTCCCCTTCAGTCCTCTGCTGCAGTCTTATAACAATATTGTTTCTCCACTGCCTATATCTTTCCACAGTATTAATACTCTCTTCTTCACAAGAAAACAGGCATGTTTGTGAAGTTCTGTTTCACGCACACATGCCAGTTCCCCGAGTACACGGACCAGAAACAGAATGAAAACATTTTGGTAGCCATTAGTTTGCACAACAAAATACGAAGTGACAACACCCTTAACGTCAGCTAATGCAGCACAGGGCTCACACCAGGGCTCTTCCCACAGCCTAGCTTCTTCATGACAGTCGGCTACTTTTAAACCTGCTTCTGACTAGGAACCCTTCAGTGAGCTTTTCGATGCTCTGACACAGTAACATTCTGGTTACCTATCATTACTTTGGGTTATCGGTATGAAGAGAAAATGAATTCAAATTAATTCATTAACTACTTTATACTACAACATGAACATTTGAAATTAGTACAGTAAGATAACTGCTTACAATCCATTAAAAAAATCTGTAAATAAACTCACCTGAAATATATCTTTAAAAATCAAAAATAAAATGCAAGTTTCAGAAATAAAGGGAAGCACAATGCAAGTCACAGTGTGCATGATTACTTTAGACAGTGTTACAGAGCCATAATCAATTTAAAAACTACACCTAGATGCATCTATACATAATCCATCTATACCATATTAAAAACCACTTACCTGTAACATACTGACAATCTCAACTTTGTTGAAGAAAATAAAGGAAGTAAGGGTAGAAAGAAAATTCTCTTCAAAAACAGATGGTGTCGGCAAGATGATGTCCTGAATATACTGTACCCTGTAAGTCTGGTGGATTTTTTGCCTGAGTTCAGAGTCTGTTATAGGAATAACCTCCTTAAATTTTGCTGTTTTGGTCAAGAACTCCCTGTGCCGTTTTGGCTGAGCCAAAGAAGGATCATACTCAAGGCATCCAACAACATCCATAATACACTCATCAGAAAACATCACCTCAAACAGAGTTGCTTTATTGAGGAACAAAATTCCTCTAATAATTTCATACAAATGATGCAAGCCTTCTGTGTTCTCTAAATTCTCGCAGACTTGGAAAAGCTGCAATAGTTTTTTAATGTAGCCTTCATTCTCCAAGGCCAGCGCTAGCTTTTCTCTACGGATGGGTGAGGAGAGAACAGAGGTAACTAGGTCAGCAATCTCTTCAAGTTTGTTGAGTTCACAAGAAGGAAGGTCGATCAAAGGACTAGTTTCAGGCATTTCTTCTATGTGTTCCTCTTCGGACTCGATAAGGTCCTGTGTGACTTCCACTGAAGGATCCTTACCCTGAACCTAAGAACAGAGCATGCACAGTTACTGTCTCATCCCAATACATATGCAAGAGTAAATCAAGTCGATAACACATACAGAAATCCTTCCATACCTTCAGTTGCCTGGAAAATACCTAACCATGAAGAGAAGGAGTAAGTTTGCTGCTTGTGAATCCTACAGAAGTCACTACCATTACCTTAATAGGTATTTCTCAAAAAGTGAAAAAAAAAAAAAACACAAACCACCAAAACCTAATGACATCTGTGAAATAAAGTAGTCTGAAGCACCTTGAAGATAAACACAAAACATACTAGGAAAAGAAAAGATGGGCATAACAAAACCTTCTTCCAGGGTCTCAAACAGAAGGGTATGAAGACTTCAAGTCACGATGAGAGCCCACAGGTGTGCTACTGCTACACGAGCCATAACAAAAGGCCCAAGAACAAAAGGCATGAAAGGGTCATGCCCCAACTGAACAGGGGAAAAGGGATGCAATCATCTCATCTCCTGCTCTGCAGCACTTTCCTTCTGCTCTGTATGCCCCTCTCATCTCCTCAGCCTTCTCATGCACCCTATACTTTTTATGCCCTTCACTGATCCAACCCTAAGATTCATAAATTCCCGCTGGACCTCCCTCACCAAGGCTCACCTGCTCAGACAGCAGTCTTGAAGCACCAGGAGTTTTGAAATTCAGTGCAAGAGACTAAGGCGAATGGTTTGCGCTGTCTGACCACAGAGACCTCCCTCTCAGACAGGTGATCAGCTCAACCCCACGTGGGACCAGTGTAAAACCTGGACTATTTATTAGACACATGTACTTGCAATTACTAGCATTGGGTCCTTTCAACAATAGTATCTGAGAACTGGCTGAGAAGACTTATAGCCTAATGAACGCTAAGTTTATGAATACATCTAAATTGCCTAGTTTGTTCAAAGCAAACTGCTAGAAAACCTGAGTTCCAAGTACCTCTAGTTACAGATTTACACTTTTTTTTTTTTTTTTAACACAGTTGTGATATGTCCTGACATGAAAGCCGGGGTTTCTTCTTTTAAGTACACATTGGTACAATTCTACTGACTCATTAATTCCAGAGCTGAAAGTGTAAGATCTGTACTCTGTTTCATAATAATGAAGATTGAAATATCCATAAGACATGGATAATAAGACTCAGGTCACGATGAAAAAATGACCGAGATTTTGAGCTCTGACAGCAATGCCACTCTCACAGAGCAGGATCTGGCTCCTTGTGTGCTACAACAGATTGTTAGTTCCACACTCCAACTAGTTAGCTCCTTGCAGATTGGGAGAAGGACAATTAAAATCTGGCACTCAAAAAAAAAAAAAAGAGAAAAAAGAAAAAGAAAAGCACAGAAAATAGTGATGAACATATGCTTATTTTCCAAATAGATTTTAAAATAACAAACCAAATATGTGAAGCCACAGAAAACACTAAATCATTTGGAAGAAACCGAGTATTAAAATATAACCGTACCTGGCAGATTTTCTCCCAAATTTCATCACAGCCAGCTTTTTCTTGAAAACTCAGTGCTAAATCATAATTTTCTGCTTCTGACCAAACAATCAAGGTGTCCTGTACAAGACAAAAAAAAATAAATTTGTTTGAGACAGTTTAGATCTACACATCTGTAGACCACATCTGTATTCCATTCAGTCATGCCTAAAGAATAAATGATAATTACACTTGTCAAAAGAAGACTATAAGCTACTGAAATATTAAGTTATCTGTTCTGCTGTAAGGGCCATTTCTTTTTTGCTTTACAAACATTCTCTTACATATTATCCATCTATGTATTTTTTCCATACCAGAAACATTTATAATGGCATTTTTCTGCAACCTAATTCCAAGCTGAGGCTCTTGGTTGTGCATGTGAATGCACACATCACAGGAAATTAAGAAAACTTGCAATATAAAAAGTTAAGTTTTCTCATATTTAAGAAGCTGAAAACCAAAGTAAAAGATTAGTGTTTCTTCCTCAGAAAGGGTTTAATACAGCTGTAACAACGTGAGAAGCAAAGCCTCACATATTACAAACACGTGTCTTTTTCCTGAATTCAGACATACACCACGGATTATATAAAACTTGTAAGATACTACTAAAGCAACAAACATCCTGCCAACAGGTATTTTCACTTGAGCAAATTTTCTTTCCCTCCATTCTTTTTGCCTCTATTAATTCAACTTGTACACTCGCACAATACATCTAGGAATTTGTTGGAATTTCTGAACCGACTTTTTTTTTTTTAAATCAAGTATTATTAGGTCACTTGCTGCTCCAAGTTATGCATTTCCTTTCAGCAGATATCTAACAAAATATGATATGACTTATTTCACTATGACACTACTACTATAGAATCTCTTATTCTGAAATACATGTTAACTACCTCATTCAGGTTTGAATACGTCCTAGACGAGGGGATGCAAACACACACTGAATAATGGCATTTGCACAGAAAAACTGTGTGAATGCAACTTAACTGTCTGGCAGTGAACTGCAGTATATCTATTTGTTCTTTCATTTTAACCCTTTCCTTTAAAAGGAACAGAGTCTGCCCTTAGAGGAAAGCCCTGAGCTCACTGCCCTGTGACGTTAATGCTGCTTAACGATTTGTTTCTTTCTGCAAGTGTCCTACACCACACTTACACTTTTGTGCTCCTGCCACAAACATTAATAGGTTAATATTAATAGTCTGCCTGCTCTTGGGCTCTGATTCTCGTGTGCAAGTGGCACAGCTTCATACAGCTGACATTGTTTTGCTTACAGCTGTCCAGCCTCATCTCTGGCTCACAGACAGCTGAACCTGTGGTTACGGCGTGCGATGCTGGAGCGAGCAGTTGAGTTGGCCTTGAAGGAAAAAACAACTGAAAACTGCAGGGACTGAAAAGCCTGATGGGCTCCCTGGCCTCGTTCAGAATGAACTGGCGCAGAAAGCAGATATGAGAAGAGCAGGCCCTCAAGTGCTCACTCGGTATCGCCAAAGGCACTTCTTATTTTGTAAAGCCTGAAAATCAAAACACACAAGTTTTCGCTACTGTATTTTATATAATGTTATTAAGTATTTTGATGTAGGGTTTTTGAAGAAAGCTTTGTATCGTTTCCATTCAAGTCCAGGTACGTTGAGAAATGCCAGTTTGTTACCACTGGAAGACACTCTACAACATAACAGGAACTCAAGTCAACAGCTTAAAACAGCGTGCCCAAATGATTTAAAGATGCTATAAATTAGCAGCATCAACTTGCCTTTCACAAAGCACCCTCTCCAAAAAATGCTCATCTACAGGTTAATCCAAAAATCAGAATTCTTAAGTACAATTTTATGGCAGTTACTCATTTCAGTTTTTTTATTTTTATATCTGAAAACGTTCCATAAAATTATGGATGCTCAGAAAATGGATATGCCTCCAGGTAAGCTAAAAACCAGAGGCATCTCGACAAAGAAAGAAAGACATATACATGAAGAAGTCCTGTTTATAGCCCAGAATCATTCTGCTAACAGGCCTGCTGCAGGAACTCAGATGACTGCGTGCATCCATAGACTGCACTTCAAATTTTTAGTGACAATTCTCGGGTTACTGAGTAGTACTTGTTACAATCTGTACTGCCCACACGAGCAGAAGTTATGTAAGTTTCTCCAAAAATATTTCAGAAGGACTTCTGAAATATAAACTGTCTGAAGTGTCTCCAGTGAACAGGCACAGAGGAACTGCACGGAACATCCAGGATCCTTCCTGCTCCCTTTCAAGCACTTCCGCTCGCTCTTACCAAGCAAGATGCTGCCTATTTAATCATCTTTATTAAAAGGTAGTTTCATTAGAAAATAATTATCTGACACCAATATATTTAGTCAGCCATGCGCTTCCTGCATGTCCCAAGACGACTCAAGATCAGACAGATATCCTCCAGACCTAGCTCCTTCCCAAGACTGCCATTTCGGCCTGCTTAGATCAGCGACAGAAGCGTGCCTTCATTCCCTCACACAACACAAGACAAAACAAAACAAAGATTAATTCAGAACAATTTGAGCTTTAAGAGGGCAGTTCTAACCCCTCCTTCATTGTCAGTACTGGTTTGTACAATGCCTGCTGCTCCCTCTTCTGGTTTGAGCACCAGCCCCTCATCCCCCTCCTATGCCAGCACAGGTGTGCTGTGCAGGGAACCAGAGCGAGGACAAGAGACAAACAGAAATTAAGCCAGCAAGAAGCTGTGTTCCAGTGGGATCAGTTCCTACATCTAACCTGCTGCACGGCTACGTGAAGACTCATGCTGGCACAATGGAGTGAAGCAGCCCCCCAGGTAACTGCTCTGGCTGGTGATAGCAGCACCCCTGGAAGTCTGTAAAATCCCAGCCTCGAGTAACTCCACTGATTTTGCCTGAAGCAAATTGCTCTGTTGTCGCTTGAATGATGGCAACTGTGTTTCAAGAGCACAGGTACACATTCTTCATCTCAGATCTGAAAACAGATAGAGCGTACCTGAAGGAGAGTTAACATCAGAAGGCAGTGTTCCTGATGAGAGTTTCTGTAGCTTTTTACCAGTCTTAAACCCATGCAGCTGGAAATTACCACCCTTGTAACAAAGCTGGAGGAACAAAGCACACCAGTGGATCCATCTGACTTCCACTGAGGCACCCGTACATGCTCCTCTGCCCACATGCTGGGGAACAGCAACATCAAGGAGAGGGCGGAACAAGAGGCGGGTGCGGTAACACCCTGAAAGCGCTCCTGCTGCAGCCTCCAGAAGGTACCTTGGCAGCCACGGCGTGCTCAGCGGAGCCATGCAGTTCTCAAAGCCCGTGCTCAAAATCCAGGGAGCTGCTAAAGCTCTTACACTCCTTGTGTCTCTTTGCATACGCAGCATCAGGAATTCTTTCAGGCTGAGCAGCAGGGCACCCACGTCCAAGTCCTCTTCCTATTGCATGCCTAACACTGACAACACTGAATTCCGCACAAAAGCCAGAGAGCCCACGAACACGATTCAAGAAGGCAGTATGTGCAGTTAATCAATCACTGTAGTACTACTTAGTGCAAATACTGGGAATCATAAACTGATGCACAGCAACTCAATATTGGATATATGTCCTGGTTCCAGTTAGGACAGAGTTAATTTTCTTCCTAGTAGCTGGTAGGGTGCTATGTTTTGGCTTAGGATGAGAAGAGTGCTGATAACATGCTGATGTGTTAATTGTTGCAGAGCAGTGCTTACACCAAGCCAAGGACATTTCAGCTCCTCACTCTGTCCTGCCAGCGGGCAGGCTGGGGGTGCAGCAAGAGCTGGGAGGGGACAGACCCAGGACAGCTGACCCAAACTGGCCAAAGGGGTAGTCCACACATCTGGGGTCGTGATGAGCAATAGATGGGGGTGGCTGGCCACGGGGAGGGGGGCCGGACTGCTCAGGGTTAGGCTGGGCATCGGTCAGCGAGTGGTGAGCAATTGCATTGTGCATCACTTGTTTGTACACATTATAAGTAGTAGCACTATTATCATCAGTATTGTTATTATTATTACTGTTATTATTATTTTTCTGTCTTAATAAACTGTCTTTATCTCAACTCACAGGCTTCACTTTCCCATTTCTCTCCCCCATCCCAGAGAGGGAGGGGGAAGGGTGAACGAACGGCTGTGTGGTGTTTAGCTGCCAGCCAGGTTAAACCACAGCAGTCCTTTTGGTGAGTCCTTGGTGTAAGCACTGCTCTGCAACAATTAACACATCAGCATGTTATCAGCACTCTTCTCATCCCAAGCCAAAACATAGCACCCTACCAGCTACTAGGAAGAAAATTAACTCTGTCCTAACTGAAACCAGGACAGTATTTTTCCACAGAATGATGGTATGCAAATCCAAACTTCAGTGGCAGCTATTCCGTGAGTCAATTCAAGTTATTTTTGAAGAGACAAAATGTGTAGGCAGGGCGTGTTTCCTTTTTGTCAAGCTGCACCATGTTGTGGCTTTCCCCAAACCCAGCACCTTAATAAAAATCTGCACCTACGCTCCGAGAAGTCACTCAGCTACAAAAGCACCTGTCCTGAGCACAGCCTCCAAGCCTGCAGGCTACCTACCGCACAGCAGACTTCAACACTTGACTAGGGACACCGAGACCACCTCTGTTCTTCTCTGGTTAACCAGAATATTTTGTCTAATTCTTTACACCATTTTAAATACCATCTTCTCTGAGGCACCCAGGTGCGAGTACTACAATCTGAGCCAAGGCTGAAGCTTCACAAACCGCAGCACAGGACTGCTACACAAAGTTTTGATCTTTGCTACTCTGCAGCACATCACATTCAAAGACAAAGCACTGTCAACTAAAAGCTGTATGAGCTAAGAAACCAGACAGAGCTAGAACCTGTCTCTGGAAACCATCCATCATTATTCCTCTTAAAAACAATGCAAAACATCTCCAGAAGAGCGAGAAGTGAAGCAAAGATTCAGCCACAAGGACACAAAGTGTTAGGATTGGTAATAAAAGACAACCCAAACAAACTTCAGCCTAAGATAAGGCTTTTGGAACTACAACCTAGAAAGTCTTTCCCACAACAACAACAAAACAACTTAATCAAGCCACATGAAACTGCTCAGTTAAATCAAGAAGGTTTTCAAGTAAGCAGTTGTATGAAGTTTCCAAGTATAAGCTGCAAAAGGAAGCAATTCTAACTTTGCATCAGCACAGTCCATGCTTGTATTTTGTTCCACAGTAGCTTCCTCTACTAAACAGGAAGCAGTTCAAGGCTTTCGCCCTTCAGAACCCTGCACAGCTCCCACAAAGGCCGCCCTCTCCTTCCTCAGCGGCCCACCCAAGAGAAGCCTACAACCATCACCTGACCAAATACACCAGTAGCTACTGAGTAAGAAATGGAAACCACAGAACACAGCCTTCTGAAAAGCTAGGCCCACGACTGACTCACTCCAGCCAACCTGTGCTCAAGAGCTACACGCGTCTCTTTCCCCCAGTTCTCATGACATAGCTTGTCACCTTTCTTTCAAAAAAAAAAAAATCCAAAACAAAACCCTTAATGATTTCTCTCTTCATCATTTAGGAAGAAAAAAAAACCAAACAGTTGTCTAGTGCTGAAACACTTCTGGATACCATAATGATGAAGAGCAGTATGAAACACTGAACAAAAGAAATAGAGAATCTACTGCAGAACAAAGGAAGAGGCAGGGAAAAAAAAACACGTAATAAACCATGAGAACAATGAAGGCAGACACCAGAAATGAATGCAGAAGGGAAAAGCAATAAAAGCAAGAGATTTAGTAAACTAAGTTTTGTAGTGCATTAAGCAAAGATGACCTATTAATGTAGCTCCCAACTGTTTTACTTCTTTGTTCTGCAGAAGCCTTACCCCCAGGAAAGGCAACTATGCAATTAAGCCCCACCATGGCTAGTCACTTTGCTTAGGAGAACAGAAGGTTCCGGGGCTTAAAACAAAAACTAAACAACAATAAGGGAAGTCCCACAAAAACAAATTCCTTCGTATTACTTACAGAGGAAAAAAAACAAAAAACAAAATAAAAAACAACACTCAGGAAGTAAATACAACAGAATAACAGAGCTGGCTGAAATTTTGCCTTCCTGACGCATCGATTATTTCATATGAGCAGCTTTTGTCTCCCACTCAAGGCCATATATGTTTCTAACTAATTTTCATATATATATGTATATATGATTAAGACGAACATGTAGGTTTCTGGAATACAAATTAGTACAGCACCACAGGCTTCTAAGCAAGTTTTTCACCTCGATGAAAAAACAACATTAACAGCTGCATGTCTTGCCACTTAGCCCTTTTTCCAGAAAGCGGTGTAGTCTTAAGCTGGAGAAACTTATGGATCTACAGTGGAGAAACCTACAGTCACTTGGAACATAGGACAACTCCTCAGCATCAGTAATCAGAAAAAGAAGTAAGGCCTAGTAATGATACTTGCCTGCTGCTTTTGATACGCTGTATTTGGATTTATCTTCGATTCTAGCAGTAGCGAACCTGAAAGAGTTATGAAGATATTTACTGAGTTTAACCAGACAAACATTTCCATGGCTCTTAGAGCAGCCGCCCGCGCGCCAGCCAACATGTGCTCAGCCTAATCCGTATCTTCCAGAAAGTCCTGGAGAACGATCTTCTCTAAACGTAACTCCTGACAAACAAGCCAGGTAAAACAAAACCCAACAAAAACACCCACGTAAAGGCGCTTTCCTCTGCTACTTGAGACCAAAATTCTCTGCAGCACAGTTTTTTCCTCATGAAGCCCAGCGTGACAATTAGCTGCTTTAAAGGCCACTGAACGAATCCGTAGCAATTTGCAGCAGGTAGCATCGAGATGTGTTTGCCCACACGAGCCACGTGGGCCATTTGCTTTTATTTCCTTCAACTGTCCTTCAGAAGCGAATCGCCCAGATAGCACGAAGCCAGAGCCTCGACTTTGTGTATGCGAGCAGTGTATGTATCCTGGCAACAGCTCCCGAGCCGTTTGTACCAGTCGGAGGTGGTTTATTTAGCACATTTTAGCACCTGTCGGCTGGCCGAGCGGCAGGCGGGCACCGCGCAAAGAGCAGAGCCCTGAGGTGACTCCAGAGAGCAGCGGGACATAATGGCACAGCATCCGATGCGCCTCGGAACGCGATCGGCAAATTTCTAAGAAAAAAACACCACAAAACCACGGGCAGCAAGCCACCCCCCCGCCGCGACGTTCCTGCGGTGTTAAGGCGAGGAGAGGGGCGCAGACACCCCGCGGCCCGGCCCGGCCCGGCCCTGCCCGGCTGCACCCCCGGCCGGGGCTCCCTCACCGTCCGCCTCGGCGCGCACCAGCAGCGACATCCCCTTGAGGCGCTCCACGTAGGTGGACGAGACGTGCCCGGTGCCCCTGTCGTCCCATTGCCGGTCCTCGTTGAGGGTGTACACCTTCACCCGCCGCCGGGTGTCCGACATGGTGCGGGCCCGGGCCCGGCCCGCGGGGAGGGGGGGGCGGGCGGGCGACGGGGAGGCGGAGGGGAGCGGGGCTCGGGCTCCGCGGGCTCCGCGGGCGCTCAGGGGCTCCGCGGGGCCTCCCCCTTGCCGCTGCCCATGGCCGCCCGCCGGCGAGAGGGCGACGCCGCGCCCCGGCTCGGGCCCCGCTGGCGCCGCTCCGGCAGCTACCGCCGCGCCGCCGCCATCTTGTCGGGCGCCTCCCGCCGCCTTTCTCTTCCTCCCCGCCCGGCCACGGGCTCCCCTCGCAGGGGCTACGGCGGCCGGCAGGAGCCGCGGGGCCGCCGCGGGACGGCGGCAAGGGGCGGGCGGCGGGGCGGGGCCGGCGCCGTGAGGGGAGCGGGGCTCTGAGGGCGTCTCCTCCTCGCAGCCCGCCTCAGGAGCCGGAGCGGCGCTGAGCCCCCCCTCACACGCAGCCTGTACCCAGCTGGGGCCCCCGGGGGGCACGGTCCCGTTCCCGTGTACCACAGCTGAGGCAACCCCCTCACCCCTGTGACAGCTGTGAAGCTCCGTTCTCATGTTACAGCCAGCTCCCCCTTTCCTCTGTCCCAAATAATAATAATAATGGAGTTTAAAGCTTACTTCTGCTGCGCTGCCAGGGGAGCTGCAGCACTGACACAGGGAAGAAGGAGCACGCAGACAGCCGGCAGTGTGAAGGGGCCGCGGGGAGAAGCTCAGAAGCGTCCCACAACATCGGCCGTGCTCTGAAGGGAAGGGAGAGGGCAGAGCCAGTGCTCCCCAGGCCAGGGTGTGTCTCGTTCCCAGACAAAGCGAGGCTCTTTTTGCTCTTGCCTAATTGCAAAAGCAGTCACACCAGTATAGCTCTTACTGAAAAGACTGGCATGTCTCTGGTTTAAGTTCAACCTTGTTCCAAATAAAGAGAAAAAGCAGTTTACTGAAGAATAAGCCACCATACGTAGCCATTTACTACTGTTCCATATATCAAAAAAACCTTCACTGGGCAGACAAGACAATATTGAGAATATTTACATCTACGCAATGATTAAGTCTTGGGTTTGTAACAGGCCTCTAAGATTTACCACCTTTCAGCACCCAGTATTTGACAGCCACCAATCCTTTCTCAGGGCAGCCTTCAGTCAGCAGAACAGCCAAGAAGTGCAGCATTACTCTACCTGCGAGGGAGTGCACCTGAGCACTGGCTCGCCTGCTTATTTACTCTGTGAGAAGAGCCCTTACCAGTGTCCTGGGGAACTAGGGTTCAACCCCAGTCAAACCTGTATTTGTGTCTTTAACAGGGGCCACTGAAGACACAATCATTATCTTTTGCAAAAGATAACAAGATACACCTCTGAGAACAATCACACACGCTTATCTCAAACATACTTTCCGTGTGCATCATATAATTATGGATAACTAAGTCAGTAACTGTACAAAAAAAAGGCCATGTTACCTTTGTAGTTTCACCAGCCATGGTTTGAGGATCACAACAAGCAGATAGGGTCCCAGCTACATTCTTAGTGGTCTTTTCTATATTACATGGTTTGATCCTCTCAAGGTATTACACAAGGACTATTTCTGCACCAGTGAAAGTCCAGTAAGAAGAAGAGAAGCACGTGAAAACAAAAAACACAGCAGCACTGCATACTGCCGCTTCAGGACATCTGCTGCTCTTAAACACCAGCCTTCTTCTGCAAGAGCTCTATGCATACTCTAATTCTTCAAACAAGTGTGTCAACGTGTGACCTCTCCTTCTACAGTTTAAATATGACACTTATCCAGATACACACAATAGCGAGAAACCACACTAGAAGATTCTGGAGCAAATTCTCATTAGTGAACAACTACAAAAGGAATAGGAAAAATGCAAGCCAGAATCAGCACACACAAAAATACTTCTCTGCTTAAACTGCAAAATAAGTCTGTGACCACTCCAGGCATGAAAACAACCTCTGTGGAAAACATCCTGAACAGATGCAGACATTATATTCCCTTGGGCACCGGGCTCCTTTTTGCAGAGAACAGGACTCTGCTGCCTGGGCATGGTTTGGCTGGGGTGTACAAACTGCAACATGACCTTATCTATTCCACTAAAAATCGAGTCAATTGTGGGAAGCTCTGCTTTTAGAAATTATGCAAGCATTAGCCCAGCTGCTTTTATGAATCTGATTTAAAACCAGAGTAAATACAAAACCAGGAAAGTAATACATAGAAGTTCTACATCATGGGGCTCAGAAACAGCAATACAGCACTTTTTAATTGAGTTGTTGTACCTGTCAGTAGCTCACCTACTTGTTATCACAGAGCAATATGCTGTAGCTGTTGGAAGTTCTCCACTCCTTATCAAAACAATAAATTTTGATAGGATGGGCTGCATACAGAGCAAGTCATCAGTTTTGACAACATGCCTCTAATTTCATTTATTCATTCCTACATCACCTAAAAGTTCTTGAAGTTAGACTGCATCGTTCCCTCTAGCACATAAACCCAGAAGTATGATTAGGTCAGTGCTTACATTTTTACTGTACATGTAGTATTTCTTGAAAGCATTTAAAAACACCTCAGCTCCTAAAACTCTGTGTCTATGTGAAAGTTTCAACTTTGCCAAACACAGGTCTAGCCCTCAAGTGTTACAAAGATACAGCACCAGCTTTGGTGTGATAACAAGTTTCCACAGTTTAAACAGGACAGACAACAAGAAATTTTGTTTACATGCAACAATAACAAAAAAGTGATTTTAAAGAGACACTATTACCTTAGTTTCTGTAAACATCACCTGCACTTCTCTACAATGTTCAAACACTGCTCTAACTGCAAGCTCTTCGGAGCAGACCAGTTTTGCTTGTCTGATGGTAGTGCAACGATTTTCCAGATTTCAATATCTTAACACAACAATGCTAAGACATCTCACTTCTCTGAAAGTTTTCACCAGTTGCACAATACAGCTCTGAGGAAAAACAGCCTAGACTCTGCAGACAAACCAATTTAAACAGCATACTTTCACTGAAGTTGCATTGTAAGTCGTTCTCTCCGTGCTGAAGTGTAAGGAAAAAAAAAAAAAGTATTCACAGGGATTTAAGCTTTTTTTTTCCTCTTAGCAGTAACACATTTTTGCTTGCTAAAATATTATTGATTTGGACACTAGCTGGCAATATAAAAATAGACTAGGTAATGTTATTCTTACATTCAGGTGGAACAACAGATATAGAACCAGTTTTCCAGAATTCTCACACAGAGGTTGCACTGATCACTTGCTAGATGCAAGTATTTCCTCACTTTTTTTCCTAAGTATTTTTGATTCTGAGATTTAATGCCAGAAAAATAAGCATCCACAACTTGAACTCTATCTTCTCATATTAGAAGTGCTTAGAAATATATATAAAACTTCCTTTATGATACTATAAAGTTATAATGGTGAACTAGAGAAACTCATTAACATTTATTAATGAAGTTTCACTTATATTCTGTTACCAAGATAGGCTTCTGAAGCCTACCATTTGTTTGGAAGAATGTAGTTTATTTTATTACTAACAGGTAATAATGGGTAACAATTATTTTGAACCTTCAGGATGACAACATCAGCCTTTGAATAAAACATTAAGATTCTGATTTACCATCATAATCAATGCAAAAAGCTCAAGTTAAAAACAAACAAATAAAAACAAAGCAAGAAGACTGCACCAGCCTAGTGCCTGCCTTAAAAAGAGACTATAGTGGTAGCTTTCATTTAGCACAGAAAGAGATATCTCAAATACAACAAGTCTTCCTCTCAGACTTCAGTCAGGAAGCTTATACTCTAACTGGATAACCTTCGTTAAATTGCACCAAGAAATGAAGCTGTAAAATACCAGGCTGCTGCCTGGAATCCTTGTTATGCAATGCTGCTTCACCGAAGTTCGCAGCAGGCAGTGTAATACTGCAGCTGCCCAACTTCATTTTCCATAGCAATTCTCAGTGGCTCCATTTAAAGTGATGGGTCATTACAGAAGCTAATCAGCTACGGCAACAGAGACAAAAATCACTATTTCAAACATGAAGAAATTGCTACAGCAACAGGGCTGAGTTTGCTCTCAAGCACTAGGAACCCACCTGTTCTCCAATTAATGCTGGTAAGCTGAGGAAAGAGTCAAGCATCTCTCACACCATGGCCCAACTTGCTGTTACTGACAGCTCCCAGATGAACCCTGGGTGCCTGACCCCAGCCTGCTGTCCTTCCAGAAAGGTTCTCACTTGCTCGCACTTACTCAATTCCTGGTTCCAGCTGAGCTTCTCTCCTCACAGGTGAGCAGCTGGTTTGTGCTCCTCCCATACAGTTCCCAAACTTATATTCTTCCACCCCTTCCCATAGGGCCTAAAACTTGTTACAAGCGCAGACAGTCAGGTTGACTGTACAGGTTCCACCACAGGAACACACAAGTATTGTCCCCCCGCTATGCAAAAATCCTCCAGCACCCCTAACAGCTTAGTTAGCAAGATCACCACCTATCACACAGCCTAACAAATCATCAATACTGCTGTTACTATGAGTGAGAAATTACAACTTGTATTAAACATTTGAATCTGAAAATTAAGAGACCAAAGAATCTAAATGCAACCATGTGCCAGCTAAAAAGCTCCTAGCATTAGTATTTTAGTAACTATGACACCCTTCTGTTTACTATGAAAAGAAGCTTTACAGAAAATTGTCTATAATAAAAATAAGCTAAGCCTTGGAAAACCAATTAAGATTGCAAAAGTCAATTTCTGAAAACGGTTCTGAGAAATGAAAATATTTCTGAGCTTCCGTTCAGAAATTTTAACATTTACCACTATTTCATTAACAGTATCCAGGATGATAGGGAGCAACCAGGATACCAGCCATTTAAGTTAACTCACAGGAACTCAACTCAAGGACATTAGAATTCTTAGTAAGAAATACAAGGCTACAGTTCTCACAGAAGAACAAAGATTGTTAAGGAAAAATTTTTCCATTTTACATAATAAAAGACAGACAACAACAAAGAAGGGGAGCAGTTTTTTTTTTTTTTTAAATATTTTAGGTCAGAATAAAAAAGACAAAATAGTTTTTACTATACGTTCACATTTCTCTTCTTCACAGTTATTGTTTTTTTTTTTTTTTCTTTTTCTTTCAGGAGGTCCAGAGCTGACTTGCCATTAGAAACTTGATTTTCCTACAAATTTGGGTATGCCAGAAGGGATACCTCACTGATTTTTAAGGTCTGGAATTCCGAGACTCTTAATGAGGAAGTTTTGGCGGAAAGAAACATCACATCATTTGTTTATTGTAAAACAACTATTTTAATGTTTTTATTATTTATCTTAAAACTCAGTATTAATGAACCCAGATAAGTGATGTTGCTTCAGGATGTTTCTTCATTTTTGTCCCCCTTCTGCTCAGATACCTTAGCAAGTCTGAACCCTATGGCAGTTATTATGTATTTATCTGAAAGAGTGCCCATCATGATACAGGTGATAATTTGTAAAGTTTCCACATTTTGCTCAAGATTTAAGTCTTAGACACTGAAAAGCCAGTAAAACTTGGACTGGCCAAGTACGCCTCTCAACCACTGTCATACTTCATCAACCACATACAGAGGAGAACTCCTTCTCCCAGGATGTACCTCTAAGTACTTGCCTTCCATCTTTGCATTTTTATCCTGAGATGGCAGCAGGAAGAATCTTAAGCACTGAAATGACTTGAAGTAGTCTGCTCTTCAGTCTATGCAATTCCACATTCTTAGATTCGCACCCATGCTACACAATGTAAGAATATTGGTTGTTCCTGTTTCTTCTGAACAATGCTTTAACCAGTTTGAATACTTTTAAGTTCTACATCACCTTTAAGTGTGAATACCATCTATTTTAAAAATATGATTCACTACCATCCACATACAGATTCTTGTGAAGACATCTGCAGATTCAAGCAAAGGTGGCTCATGTTTCCATGAACTACCAGGCCTTTTTTCCTGAAAGAGAAAGAAAATACTGTAACAAGCTAATATCAATACATTAAATTCAGAAACACTTTTTGAAAGACTGTAATTTTCTTCACTGAATTTTAATTTCTTCTAGCATTGTGAATCATTTGTAGAAGATTGCCACAGATCGCCTTAAGTTATCATGGGTGCATTTGCAACTCTATTTGCCAACCTCGTTGCACAATTACTCTTAATCTTATGATCAGATACCTTCCAGCTCTAGCAGCTTCCTAAGGAAAACAGAATACACACAATAGATTTGGGAAAAGTTGAGACAAATCTATCATCAAATGCATGCTTGGAAACTAGTTCTAGAGGAGAGCTTTTGGCACTCCAGTAAGTGAGTTTCAGTTTCAAGAAAACTGAAAAACAAAACAAAACAAACAAGAACCTCACCTTCCTCTACCCTGCCCTTCCCTCTACCCCAATATAAAGAATGGTGGTAGGGTAGAGAAGACAGAATATTTAACAGGTATTCTAGATTAACAGGTATGTTGGTTTTGGAGAAAGTTCACTCTCTAGAATGACTGAAACTGTCAAGAAATTTGTGTTCTTTTTACAGCATCAAGCTCTTCAGAACTAAATGATACGGAAGGCAAGGTGCTACCTTATGATAAATTGTAACAATTGGCAAGCAGCATTCACATAACACTGAACATCAGCTCTACAGTACAAGAAACAGACTGATAGTCCTATACAACAGTTGTAAAGAAGGCACAGTACTGAGCTGTCAAATGTTTTCCTGTGGCCTTACCAGTCATTGAGATGAAGTAGACGACTGTGGAACACTACCTCCCATCACAATGCTGTTTTTGTCTGTGAGGGTTTTAAGCACAGTTGTGGCTGGTGACTGCAGAATTTTACGTGAAAGCCTCATTCTACCATCAGTTGGATCACGTCCGAAGTATTTAACCTGTTAAGAAAACTTACCACTTTAAGCCCACCATACCGCTTTCAGATCTGATAAAGTTATGTTAAATCACCATATGAGACTGATCAACTTAAAGATAGAATTAGCTTCAAAAAAAGAGAGGAAAATGCTTAAAAGAAAACAAAAAAAATATGCAAAACCACATACAATAGACACTGTTTGGTCTATGCTGCTTGGTCAGGTCAACATGGTACCTAAGATAGCAAGGGTATGACGCTAAGAACTCTGATTGGAGGTGATCAGGCATTTAGGCAGCACAGAAAAGCAATCTCATATAGCAAAGTATTTCCGTCAGAAACACAAAACAACAAAAAAAATCAAAAGTACTAAAATATGAACAGCAGTTTGTTATCATTTTAAAGTTCAAAAAATTTACCTGAATTTCTTGTCCAACTTCTAATCCCAGGGCACTAGGATGTTTAATCTAGAACAGATAATTTTTCAGAAAAACTCAGTTTTCAGGAGGGAAACAAACAAACAAACAAACAAACAAACAAACCATACAGATGTCTTCTTGCTACATCTCAAGCAACCACGCATGGACTAAAGTGGCTCAATGAACTAGTCAACTAATGAACTACAGACTTCTACATTACATAGAAAGGGTATTAGACCAAAAGATGTGATTTCCATAAAACAACACGATGATAGCAAGCATACAGCGAGACTCCTTGCAACTCTAAACACAGGGCAAGCAAAGGTTAAACAAGAAAATGCTGCTAGTCTAAGACAGCTTTTTGTGTTACAAAAATAGACTCTAGACTCTAGTATGTGTGTTATAGCTGATGGAGACTAGGTTAGTTAAGAATTCATTTAAAAACAAAAAAAAAGTGTTTTAGAATCTCTAGTTTACACTTGTTTAAGGATGCATTACCTTTCTTTGATCAAGCTGTGAATTATGAAGTAACACCGGTGTCATGTTTGGATACAATTTTATCATCACTCCAGAATCTCTGGAAAACAGCACAACAGTCATTTCAAAAATACACCGATAGAAGTCTGTATATAACTTGTGTTGCAAATTTATTCCAAACACAAGCATCATCCTTTTTTTAAATTCTCCTCTCAACCATGGCTATGCATTTCTCCTTAATCTAAAGCGGATGGAAACTACACTGTCCTAACTATTTTAAAATACAAAGTACATCCAAGAAGTGCTTGCCATTTCAATTCAAGATTTGTCCTTTCAAAAAAGTGAAAGCAAATTCCAATCATCTCTCTCTGATACAAAGATGAAAAAAGACCTTCAAGTTTGTAATTAAAGGAGATATTCTAATAACTAAATAGCAAAAAGCCTTATTAAGAGAATGCTTTCAATACAGCAAAATACTAGGAATAATGCAGGTGCCAACATCACCATCAGAAGTTTGGCTTTAAAAAACAATTTTATAATCCTATCAGAAATATATCTATGTAAATAAATTCAATTCAATTTCAGAGCACTTTTCGTACCTAATTTCAGTAATTGTGGCTGTATAAACTGCACCAAATTCCAAATTAACTTCCTGCTGTAGGGAAAAGAGGAAAAAAACAGTAAGACACATACTCAGAAACTGCAAACCGAAACAGCTAACAAAAAGTCTGTCCTTACGTCATCTTTGCAGATTTCACGGATGAACTCTCTTGCTTCATGCATAGCACTAGGTGTGGGAGCAAACACAGAATACGTCTCTTCATCCAGCTGACTTAAAGTTACACCTTAGAAATAGAATATATTAATGAAAGAATCCTCACTGAACACTCCTATTTTTTCAGCAAGCAGAAAATTTGCACGTGGTAAAGACTTGCATAGAGCAAAGTGGTTTTGCATAGTCTGACAAAGATCTCGAGTCATCATTTCAAATATTCTTCAGATTAGGCACTGGACAGCTCTACATACAACTGTATAGAAACCATGTCACAGGTATACATGCCAAAACCTGGACGAACTTGTGTTCCACATGCAACCATCTACATTTGCACAATCGTTGCTTACTACAACCCTGCTATAAGTGGAAAAAATCTTGAGAGCTTAATTTAATCTTAGCTTTTTTTTATTAATGTTCATGAATTATTAAACTGTAACTTTCATTAATAGCTGATGGAAATTAAAGTTTTTCAGAGCTAGAACATAGTAAGGTTGCACAGTAAAATTCTTCACACCTCTCGACTAGTTTTCCATCCAACAGGCCACATATGCTTGCAGTCAAAGTAGCATAATCTCTTTTCTCCAACCCAGTCCCCTAACAAGCTCTACCCGAGCCAGCTAGATTATTAAAAGAGTTCCAAGTCCAAAGCAGCTGAAGCAGAACATCTACTTGATACGCTATGAACATCAAACATTTTAAAAATTCAGTTCTCTAAAAATAGGGAATGTGTGAAATCTTGCTATATTAACCAACGAAAGAAAGAACCTGTACTTACAGATAAGTGCTCAGAAAAATCTGATATATTTAATGGTATCACAGCAGAAACACCTCTGTCATGGCTGAACAGTGGCTGATTATTAGCTTCATCATGTTGGCGAAGTGTAAAGTTTGGATTAAGTCTAGCTTCACTGGTTTGAAAGTAACAAACAAAGCGCAGCCTCTCAAATACCTAAAGTTCTTAACGCTTTAAAAATTCTGCCCACTAACTTCTGAGGCCAACTACAGCTATTGGTCTAATTTTGACCAACCTCTACCAAAGCATCAGCTGCCCTATTTGGGAAATGGCAATACAGAACTTTGAATTTGGCACCTAATGTCGAGCAGAACAATTTTTTTTTCCAAGAAATGTAACGAGGTCACTAAACTTCTCCCACACTACTCGTTACTAGTTTAAGCCCCAGTACACATCACTCCTGTAATGTGATAGTGAGCTCTATTTCTAACATTTCCCAGCATGTTAAGAGCAGATACAAACTCCTCACAGAGTCCTAAGAATGCAGGGCAAGAGCACCATAGAAAAGAGCTCAGTACCTCTTCCTAATCAAAAAGCTTGAGTCTACAGGCAGAAAGGCTACATATATTTGATCTATACTGCAACATGTTCATAACATATCAGACCTGCTTGGCTTCACCACACTTCTGGAAATTCCTGCTGCAAGAAAACCTACAAGCACTTCTGCAGAGAATCTATACAACAGAATAGCCAAAATGAGCTTTATCTATTTGAAACACTGGAATCTCTTTATTTATTGAGCCTTTACTGTATGTTGATCTGTACTGAGTATTGGAATGGCTAAACATACTAGTCTAAACACTGTTAGGCTGCAGTATAAAGCGCCTTCTACACTTAATATTTCTTCCTATATAACCTGCTAGGATGTTTCTACCGAAGCACAAATGGCCTCAGGTGTTAAACAGAGGTGTTCTACAAAACAATTTGTAAAGTTTAAGCTTACCTTTGTCTAGGTTCTGAAAGGACATGAAAGGTAGTATTAACACTTAAATTACTAGCACAGCTACTGTTATGTGCTACCAAGTTCCACTAATTAAAACCCCATACTAGTGATTTTTGTACAGGGAAGAGAAGCTATTAACACATAAGGATAAACAATCACAGGAAAACAAAGATGTCTTACCTGTCTGTGCTTGAAGTTTTTTCAAATTATAGGCCCCAGGACCAATGAACCTTAACCTTTTTGATAATGGCACATGGATAGTTTCTGAAAGAACACATAAATATACTTTGAAATGCTAAGTATGATGATCCTGAATACCATCACAAAAGTCCTTTTTTTTTTTTTTAAACGACTAGTTATTATATGCTGAACACTGATGAAATTATGTTTAAGTATTAGAATCAATGAAAACTTAGAACGTAAGTAATTTGAGTGTAAATTACCTTAAGCCATTCCAATGCTTGCATCTATCCCTATTCTCATTTTGTGAGTTCCACACAACTTCAGCTTATTCTGCTTTCTAACGTGCAATGAATTAGTACAGTATTGCCCCACAGGGCAATAAAAAAATAACAACTCCCCTCAGAAATCACGGAAGACAGAAAAATACGATACGTTCATTAAAAAAGCTGCTTTAAACAGTAACTTATTGTTATAAACTATAAAAAGACATCAATTCATATCAACATGCAACTAATAATTACCTACAACTGGTCCATTTTCTTTTCTGTTAGGTCTGGGTTTTGCCAGTGTTTGGTTCATAATTTGCAAAATCTCCCTCTTTGCAGCTGTAGAGGTTAGGGAAAAGGAAGAAGAGGGAAAAGTTTTGCATAAGACTATAACAAAAGCAACATAAATTTATATTAAAGTAGATAACTTCCATTCATGAAATCTACCTCTTGCCTAATTTAACAATATATCACAGTAATATGACACATTTTAGGTAGTGTACCTTTGTTGGAGTAGGACCTTCTGCTCTGTGTACTAGTTCTACACCTTCAGCACATGTATTGACTTTATGCAGACCAAAATGTTAACAACGAAGCACAGAACTGTATGCTGTTATTTAAATAAATTAGAGATGATGAGAGCAACAGGGTGTAGTTTTGATTAGCTAAGTTATGATATACTGGCCTGAAACTTTAACTGATCCTCTTGAAGTGATACACCTTTGAACAGGAATTACTAGTTCTTCTATTTTAATAAATGTTTTCTTGTTAAAGTGTTGCCACTACAATTGAGTGGAAATTTCTTACAACTAGAGAAATCCTTAATAACGCTTGTACCTTCAGTTTTCATATGGTTCAATAATATTTTAGCTGTACATGCCAGAATACAAACAGCAGTAAGTTTCAATAGTAGATATATTTGAATTTATGATATGCAAGAAACAGTTTGCTGCTGTTTTTGATAGCATTATTCTGTTGGATTTAAAACAAACATGGAATAGAGTGTTTGTTAACTGTATTAAGAACAACAAATACTTTAAAAAGCAACTAGGTGACTCTTGCCTCTCCAAACTTTCACCTATCAAAAGCAATCCAATTTCACTGCCCAAAGCTGCACTTCAGCCTTCGTTACCCGTATTATTTAAGGAGTACTGAGCTACTACATGTTAATGATGAACTCCCTGAGATGTCAAGGACTTTTACCCTACCTATCTTCCCCCCTCCTGTTTGCTCTACCACAAGTTTCACCGCATTTTTTTCCAGAAGTTATACATTGATCTAAATAGGTCATCATTAGAATCATACCACGTGCATTAAGTATTTTTTTGTTCTCTTAACAAGAACGTAAACCTCTAGGAGCAGCACACACTTTCACGTACACTATGTACAACCATATGGAACATAACCATGCTGGGAAGATTATTTTTTTTCTTTCTTGAAGACTAAATGCTCTCAAACACATAAGTTCGTTCTGTATCAAGTACTAATATTAAAGCATTGCATACAACACTGAACTTTTTTTTTTTAAATCCCCATGCCTGCCTTAGCCCCTCACCCCTCCCCCCAAATAAAATATTTAAATAAATAATTTAATACATTTTAGAACTTAATATAATGGGTGCAAATCTTAACATGGACTTACCAGTGCCTTGCTGAATAGCTTCCATGACAACTTTTATTGGTATTCCTGGTAGTTTTAGATCAACCTAATGTATACAGAGTTAAAGTAGTGAGTTAAGTAGCATCAATATACAGGGAAAGCGTTTTTAGACAGACATTCCTGAAGACTGATAAAATGAATCTTTCATGTTACAATACCTGCAAGGCAGTTATCCCTTTATTAGTACCCGCCATTTTGAAATCCATATCACCATAGTAATCTTCAATTCCCTGTCAGTACATGGAGAAAGAGAAATTGGAGTAACTATGTCTCAGTACCAGTTCTCATTACACCAAAAGTGCATTCTAGGCTTCAGTAAGCCAAAGTAGACTAGGAGCCCCTTGCAGACTTGGTGTCACTTCAGATTTGTATCTTTTTTTTCCCACCCTTACTTCACCATTCCTGATTAACACAGTTCCTTTCAGTTCTTATAAGCTGAGAGCTTTCGTGTTTGTGGACTAGTTTTTGAATAAATCCCCAGTTTACTTGGTATGATCACCAGCTGCCACAGGAAGCAGCAGCATGATCACGTGCATTTTTCCTCCCCAGCAACCTTGCCAACTGCTCTCCTTCCAATATACCGTGCTTTTCACTAAACTACTGATTCCAATCATTCTGACCCTTTCTTTCATTAGAGACAAAATTTGGAATAGTACACTTATCAGAGCTTTTAAGTAACAACTGAGTAGTTACACAAAATTAACATGACTAGACATTTTATAGATTTTTTTAAATGGAGGCAGCTGCAAGACAAAACAGAAGACAAAACTACTAATATGTCCAGTAGTGTATGTTCTAGAATTAAGTGGGTAAAAATAATGTTACAAAAAGGATGTAGAGGTATTTTACAGAATTGAACATCAATAGAAACCACTGTGCTAGCAAAACTCACCAGGATGTCTGTCAGCAAACGATAGTCCTCAAGATCTCCTTTTTCTGGACTGTATTTGGTAACGAGACCCACTGCTACACCTGCCACTGCACTTGATACTGGAACTCCTAATAGTGGTAATTAAATGTAATTTTTTTTTTTGTTTTAAATAAGCTTTGGTTACTTCCAAATCCTTTAACACACTATCATATCCAGTTCATCCTTTTTGTACCTGCATCCATTAATGCCAAACTCCCACCACATGCAGAAGCCATTGAAGATGACCCTACAGAGTTAGAATATAGGAGAAAAATAGTATTAAACCCTGGTAAGAAGCATTCGAAACGAGACTAGCTGGTAATACTGTTCAATGACTGTTGGAAAATTAATGTTCTGGTAACCAGAAGATACCATGCAGCCATATACATACTACAATAAATAATTTTACCAGACAGTTTCTGTAGCAAAAGCACTTTAGTAAGAAACTGGTAATAGTTTGAATCTTTTGTGATACTGAGTAAAAAATGATCATCAAGCTGGGGAGTTTGTCAGCTGCAAATGGGACTCATTCCCTTTCCTCAGTAACTCCTTCTCCCAGACACCAAATCTCACTATACTGCTAGGAAATTGCAGGTTGCTCTCATGGAACTCCTGTCCACAAAGCAGAACCTGCAGAAAGGTGAAATCAATAGCTTCCTCCCAAAACGGGGAGATAAAGAAAACAGGAATTATCTGTAAGTCGGGAAGGTTACCAGCTGTGGTTAAATAATGAAGAATAGATTTCAGTACATGTTAACATATTCTTCACTCTGGAGCCACCAAGATTAAAAAGCTTAAAACTGAAATCTGTTGTCTACAAAAACATCTATATGTAGTTTGTCAAAGTTGTTTTTTGTTTAAGAACAAATTATCTCTTGTTTCTCGAAGAACAAGAAAGCCATAATACCATTTGACTCTAAGACTTCAGAAGTAACTCGTATTGTGAAAGGGAAATCCTGAGGAATAATTGGTTTCAGTGCTCGCTCTGCCAGTGCACCTGATAAAATACAAATAAAAGCCATAAATAAAAGACAATCAAAATATTAGAGGTTACAGCGTAAAACAACTTTTGTAGTTTTAACCTACCATGTCCAAGTTCTCTTCTGTTTACACCAGTAACTTTACCAATCTCATTTGTTGCGTAAGGAGGAAACTATAGAGCAAAAAAATAGAAGTACACATAGAGGAGATTAACTTGTTTCTATCTCATTTCAAAACAAACACTTTGAAAAAGTCTCTTTGAAGTTTTGGTGCATCTCAAGGTAAAAACAACAACAACTAAATATTAAACAACCATACAACTTCTACCAGTCACTTAGTTTGCAAGTCAGGATTAGTTGACAGCGTTTATTTAGTTCATGCTTTAATTCCCCATACAAAAGAGAATAAAGCAGCTGCAAGGTAGCCAAGGAATAGGACAACAGGCTTACTCTAATTAAACTTGTCAAACCACATATCAGAAATCTTGCTTCTGTCATACAGATGACACAAATACATCTCTTGCCTGTACAAAATACTTTGGGCAAGTTCCAAAGGCTGACTAAGACTGGAGATGTTAAAGCACTTATTAACTATTAGTGTAGCATGTCAGCTGCACACATTAATTTACTAAAAGTAATTGAGCAGGTTAATCCTGCCTGCAGTAGTAACCTGTCTTTAAGAAACTAACCTGATGTTAAACTATTAGAAAGGCTGCATAAAATAGCAGCTTATAAATTATGTCGTGCTTTTTAGGAAACCAGCATTTCTGTTGATAAACTACAGGATAAATTCATATATAAATTGTAATTAGCAAAACCTAGCAGATCAAGAGATAATTCATATTCTTGGAATTAAACAATTTCAATTCTGAAAGCAAGAGCTGAAGCCCTTATATAAATCACGCAGAAAGCTGTGGAAACTCACCTCATAATGCAGCATGAAGTTTTTATCTTTAACTCCACTGTTAAAAAAAACAAGACCATGTCAAAAAGATCAACCAAACATGTCCTAAATATTATATGTAGTAAGATTATATTCAACTCTACCTAGAAATTGACCAAGTAAATCCTGCAGATCTGCTGATTCATTAACACCCACCCTCATTTTTTCATTTTATTTTATTTTTTAAGTAAATGAGTTAAAAAACATGGTCTCAGTTAACATGCCATGTTTGAGTTAACATATGAGGGTTGTATCTTTGTAGACATTTAAGCAGCTTTCCTAGCTGTCAGGAATAGAACAGGCACTTATCAATGCTTTATGCCAATTTTGATGCAACATACAGCAGACAAACCTCAAGAATGTCAGCACCTTACTGCACACACTGCAGTACACTCCAACCTCACACACGTCAATGGAATTAATGTATTCTTATTAACAGCAACTTTTATAAAATGCGTTTAAGTGCTCACCCTCTGTTAGTACCACTGACAGAAAACCATAAAGATACACATACCTCACAGCTGTTGAAATAAGATCTGATTTTACACTTGATTCTATGGAGTCAAATGTAACTGTACAGAGAACCTAGAATAAGGGATACACAAGCAGCTCTTAGACACTTTTACGTTTTACAACTTTTCATACTGATAATGAAGAATAAAAAAAATGATTTCAGCAACAAACATGATACCATCATCACTTCTGAAAATCTTATTCTCTCAAATACTCATGATTTATAAAGATTATACAATCTTACAAGTGATCACATTTAAAAATACTGATTTTATGCCTCCTACCCTGTCAGTAGCAGTTTGTTCACTAAAACTGAATAAACTCATTTAAAAACCAGGGATCTTAATTATGCAGACAATACTGTGTGAAATATAATATGTGAAATATGAATTATGCACACAATACTGTGTGCAAGCCTGTTTATTACACAGACTTCCAGCACACATTATTCTTATCAGGATAAAATAAGGAAATTTCATGTTTAAATGAAAAGTACAAGCCTTTTGGCTTCTGATACATTATATTTAGAACTTAAATAATTTAATAATACTACCTGTGTTTGACCTCTCTGAAATAAGGCTGATCCATGAAGCATTTTAAACATATTCACTTCACATTTAATATCTCTGAGGGAAGTCAAATCTCTTCCATCACATCTAAAGTTAGGAGCAGAAATTATGAAATCAATGAAACTATAGTCTTGGAGAAAAAAAATGACAGAAATAATTATACAGTAAGGATTTGACATACTTACCTTCTATATTCATTCAGAATAAGATTTCTAAAAATATCCTTAGAGACCACATTGAAAGATTCCATGATTTCATATGGCTCAGCCTCTGGAAATTTTTCTGGGTATAAAAAAAAGAAACCGTAACTGAAATTAGGAAATGAATCTCAGAGAACTTCTAAAATAGCATGGCCAACAAACAGCACACTGTAATTTTAAGTACCACTAGTTTGATATAAGCATTTTCTAAATACTAAGAAAACATAAAATACCTTTCAGCTGCTCTTCTGTTTCAAGCCTTATTTTGTTAATTGCTTCATCTCTAGAAATCTAGAAGACAGGATTTGCAACCAGTTAACTCTACAGAGTGGAATAACAGAAGAAGCTTGGGTTGTTGGGTTTGTTGTAAAGTTCTGTAAGACCCAAAGAAAAATAGGACTTCCACACAATTTCAAAAAGATCAATTACGTATCACAAGAAATTAGTTTTGGCAGATAAGAATTGACAAGACAATTCATTACTCTTACACATACATTCAGATGAGAAGAGGTTAGCATAAAGAAATTAAGTCTTACTACAATTTCATTATATTAAATCAAATCACATTTGAATTGATTACTTACTTTATCATGGCTAGTATCCGTGAACACTGTGTAGATCTTGTTAAAAGCAAGTCTTTTGGAAGAAAAGAAAGAAATTTCAGAAATGCAATTACACAAATAGTATCTTTTGAAGACTAGATGTTTGTTTTTTGAATGAAAGCACCAGACTGCCATTTACAAACACTAGTCTCAGCTGTCCATCCTGCCTGCTGCTCTCCTACTCCCCATCACCTCCATGACAAAATTCATGAAAGCCAACATAACCCTGGCTCCTCGTGTCACCATTCCACAAGAATGGCACATGAGCTTGCAATGCTTCTACTGTTTTTGCACCACTTATTTTGCCCTGTCCTTCCCACTAAGCATAAAAGGAGAGCTGAAGGCAGTGTCCCTAAATTTCTACGGAAAATGTAGCAAGAAATTCTAAACATTGAAAACATTTTCTTGAACAAGATCCCAAACATTTTAATCACAAATGATTAAATAATCATTAATAAGTATTTCTGAATCACTTAACAGAAATTAGGTCAAAATTGTTCGTTCTGAACTTACTTCTTTGCACATTCCACAATCTCCTCAGGAGCAACAAATAACTTCTGAACAGTTCTCTTGACAACACCTTGTTCTTTCACTAGCTGTTGAATTCCTTGAATTATGTGCTGGGTATGCTTCACCCCTACTTTGATGGCATGACAGAAATCTTGTTGCAATATATTCTCAGCAGTTGCTTCCAACATAACTACCAATGGAAAGTCAGAAACCAGATTAATTACTATTTTATTTTTCAATAGCAATCTACAACTCAACCAAGACAATATAGGTTACCTTTAAACTGCATAACAATGGAATTTACTCTACCCCAAAGTTATCTAGCAATATTGTTCATTCCTACTATTGCCTAGAAACAGAAGTTTCAAAGATTTAAAAAAATATCTGTAACAAGTGGCCTACAATTTTCAAACTGAGCACCCAACAGGTATTGATAGTTAACCCACTTACCAACTTGATTTTGTGGGGCTCCAGCAACAACTAAATTTAAAATGCTAGAAGACATTTGTTTTCGGGTTGGATTGATAACAGTTTCTCCATCGATTAGTCCTACCCTTACTGCACCTAGAAACAAACTCCAGAAAATTATTATTATAATAGAAGTTCTTCTAAAGGTATCATTTGACTCTGTCAATTATACATCTAAAAGCAATAATTAAGGTAAGGATTTGTTTTAAAATATTAGCATGTCAGCTATACATTAAAAACAACTCTATAAAGCAAGATTATTCATTCTTCAATTTCTCTTTGGCAGTATCACTGTGAAGCACTTATGTTCTTTATAAAAGATTTGCAGTGACACAGTTCTCATAACACATTTGCAACGGCAAAGCTCTTCTTGAGCTCCCGGAGAAACAGTATTCTTATAAAGCATTGTGGAAAAAGTAGCTGTAAGTTGCTTTAAAAGACAAAATTCAAGGAGCCGCTGACCATTGTATTACATTATTTCTGGATTATAAATCCTTATATAAGCGTATTTAGACCAGAAAAAAATGCTGCTGTGAAGCACAACAATTCTATGCATCATAAAGTGAATTTCAGCACATTAAACAAAAGATAGCGGCCTTTAGACTCCAATTCTTCTTAGAAGTAAGAAAATGTTGTCTAATTTGCCTATTATATTCAAGATTTCAGAATATGTACTTACCTATAGGACCATTCCATGGAATATCAGATAAGGCAAGAGCTGCAGAAGCTAGAATTGAGATATAAATCTATTAGCAAAAATGAATTATATTAAAATCACACAAGCAATAATTTTGAGTTTTCTTACCTCCATTAATTGCCAGAATGTCAGGATCATTGACACCGTCTACTGCTAAAAGATTACAAAGGATCTGGCATAAGATAAAAGACAGTGAATAATTTTGACCTATAAATTTTTATTAACTGTCAATAGAAAGCTCAGGACAATAAAACAAAAACATTCCACATTTTTATAAGCTAAAAAGGAAAGCTGGTTCAGGTGCTTAAGCCAGAAGGCTTACGAAAACACATGTGAAAAATATAACATGTAACACTTATTAACCTTTTCTCTCCCCTGTTGTAACAGAGCACTTTTGAATTTTCTCTCTGTATCTCTGCAATACATTTTGAGAACTAGCACGTAATAAAAACATTGTAAGACATGCAAATGAGAAACTAAAAAGTAGAATTACAGAATTAGACTTCTTCAAACTGTAAAGCCATGCTGGATGCTAATAAAAATTGCTTTTCTATCACTTATAATTTTCACTGGATATGCCCAAATCTTCCACTCTAAAGGTAGCTGCAGTTAAGGACAGTCAGCACGACCTACCTGTGTATCATAGAAGTAGCCTACTGGAAAGAGGGGTCTGATTGACCTATCTGCAAAAGAAACATTCAGAGTGTAAGCATTCAACAAGCAGTCATTATCCGGTTTATCTTCTAATAAACCCCACAAGAAACTGACAAGATAGTTTAAATGAACAACCCGAACAAATGAGAAGAGAAATTTTAGCACGAGATGTAATCAACTCTAAAATTCCACCAGCACTCAGAGAAAAATAAGAGGTTTATATGGGTGAGTACATCAATCGTCTCGTAACACAGAGTAACGAGCATTAAAAAAAGTCTTCTACCGTTTAAGATACAAATGGTCTATTAAATAGTATTTTACCAGAAATGCCTCCAATGAAGAGACATAAAAGACAGGAATGCTTTTACTGATTTTCTTTGAGGACTGTGTGCTACTTCTAAGGTGTCTGGATTTACCCCTAACTTTATTTGTCTGAAGTGTGTAGAACTCTGACAACCCAGGCCTTAAAGGATGTTCTCTCTCAACTCGTTTCATGCAGTCTTAAAACGTTGACTTATTTGACATCAGCTTCATGTACACATTGAACCTCAAAAGCTGTTATCTTAATCGTGAAAGTCTTAAGCCATGGTAGAGAGGCTAAGCCATGGTTAAATCGGTTCTTTCTTCCGCCTCTCCAGGCAGATATGGAACTGCAAAAGTGACATCTCATGAAGGTGCAATCTTAGATACACTAAGGTGACATGGAAGTTCTTGAGACCCAGACACATACATAAAGGACTACGCATACAGCCCCAGATGACTGAAGTTTTTACAATTAGCCCCTATAAACCTCAAAAACAAAGTGCAAGGTACGTTTTCCCTGACATTGCTGCAGAAACAATCAACCTTGCAAGCAACAGTTGCAAGTTACTACCTCTTCGCAGAGGCTCATGAGGTATTATGTAATATTTTTAAAATATCATAAATAAAATGATTCAGCCTACCTATTACTCTGCTTGTAAGAATTTCTTTGTCAGTAGTACCAAGTTCTCTTCTTAAATAGTTTGTAGGAATTCTTCCTGCTGCCGCAGCTTTCTGACGATAGTCAACCTTTTAAAAAACAAAACCAGGATTCCTAAGGACAACAGATCAGTAATTACAAAGCCACGGAATTGTTCAAGTTGGAGAGGACACCTCAGGTCTATACTCTAATCTCTGACTCAGAGCAAGGTCTATGCTGAATCAACTGTGCCCTGCATGTTGACCAAAAATTCCATGTCACTGACACAAGTATTAATCGGGCAATGTCCCAGGACAGACCCTCTGAGAAAACCACTATTATTCAGTCTTAAGGTAGAATAGGAATCGATAATCCTTAACACTTGTAAACCCTTTGAGCATAACACTGAGGCCATTTTTTCCACACAACTAAAATACAATGTCTGAAACTTGGATGCTGTGGGAGACGTCCAAGTTCACAAAGCTCTCAGTAGAGAGCATACCCACTGACACCACTTCAGAACAGATACAGCAATGAGAACACCACACTAGAGAACACCACTTCATCCACAGATACAGTGATGCTCTCACAGAACATCTGCTGTTCTGAGGTCCAAGCTCTGTACTCTGCTGCTCGCCTTCCTCTCTCCCCTCAGCATCTTGAGCTCTGCTATTTTATAATTAGCACAGCAAAGGCTGTCACTAATTATCACAAAGCAAGTTTTGTCATTAGGACTTACCACTAGTGGCATGAACTGAGATGTAGAAGGCTTGGTTTTACTGACTGCTGTGACCATTACTGCTGTGTCACCTAGCTAGATCAAGAGGAAAAAAAAAAAGAAAAAAGATTATCTGCAACCAAAGTATTAACTGAAGTCCTACACATATTCATATATTAATACTCCAGTTCCCAATACTCTCTGCAGAAAAGCAACCGCAAAATTCTCTGATTTAGGCGAGTTGTTGGAAAAAAAGCCTGTCATTGCCCCTAACAGATAGCTGCACTTTCATTAGGGATTAAATTGCTACTTGAGACTTGGCACAACTTTTTTACAGGCTAGAACACATCAATGATGGCTGCTCACACCCAAAACCTGTGAAGTTCCACAAACTCTAGGCTTTTTTTTTTAATTATTATTATTATTTATTACCTGAACAACAGCAGACCCATCAGCAAACCTAGCGAGCTTTCCAGAAGACAGCTCCATCTTCCTGCGGGAGAGAAACCATCCGTTACCCACAGCGATGCCAACTCTCCATTGCCTCCCACGCTCCCCCCCAGCACCCATCCTACAGGGCAGCGGCTGCACCTCAGGGCAGCTGTGCAAACCCCCATGACACACGGAAGGAGGGAGCTCCACCCACACAAGCAACTCCGAGGGGGTTTCGCCCCATGGTTCCCGATCCCCTCAGCTCGGGGGAAGCCTCCAGCCCCACACACGGTGCCCGCCAGCCCCACAGGCGAGGCGCCGCCTCTGGGCGCCGTGCAGGCGCTGCCGATCCCCGCTCCCTCCCGGCCTCTCGGTGCCACTGCAGCCGCTCACCTGCCCCCCACCTCCACCGCCACGGCCCGGCCGGGCCCGGGCTGCGCCGCCAGGCCGCGGGCAGGAGCCATTCGCGGCCCGCAGCCTCCCGGCAGCGCCAGGGCGCCGCCATCTCGCCGCGACCCGGCCGCCAACGGCCCCCAGGGGCAGGGCGCCCAGCGCGGCCCAGCGGCGGCTCGTGGCGGCGGCCATGGCGCTGGGACGGGGCGGGCACAGCGGCGGCCGCCGCGCCCCCGGTGGCTGAGGCGTCAGCGCGGCCCGGAGCCCCCCGGCGCCCCCTGGCGGGGCTCCGCCGCCCGACGGCCGCGCTAAAACGGCCGCCATGGGCCGGGCCGTGGGGGCCGTGAGGGGAGCGGTGGGGCCGAGGTGGGGTCGCACCTCCCAGCCCCGGCACCCAAGGTGTTTTGTCAGCATTTGTAAAAATCACACCCGCGGGCCTTGGGGACAGCCCGAGGAAGAGTTCTCCTGCTGTGCCCACGAGTTGCTGATCTTTCTGGCAAGGCAGAGCAGAAATAAAATGATCTAGAAAGTCGGGGGTTGGCCTGGGTAGGGCTAAGAGCTTCAGCCAGACCCGGAGTTCGCTGCTGCGGTTTTATTTGGGTGCAGAAATACATCAGGTGGCAGATGAAGAACGTTCACCAGGCTTTCGGCATTCCTGTCTGCTCTGCTGCGGACATCCTGGAAAGATTTGTGTGTCACTTGATTAAAATCCTGAATGCCCACTTGCCGTGAGCTAGAAAGCTCTATGTTATAATAATGCATTTGATTTTGTGAGAGGAGAGAAAGGAGTACTTGGAAACACTCACAGAATGCAAAGGTCACAAGTACCACAATCACATCTTCAGCTGTTAAGCATAGGAGACAGTTAGTTAGGGCTTTTAAAGCTTAAAGGAGAGGGAAGCCAACACACTTAAAGCAGAGAAGTGCATGTTACAAGTGACAGGCACAGAAAAGACAGCAGGGTAGCATTTCACGGGAGGTGAACATAAAGCAGGAGTCTGTTGAGGTTGAACAGAACGATGTTGGAGAATTGGGGAAGAAGCATCATGAAGGCCTGGAGCAGAAATGTGTAAGGATGATTTAAAAGCAATCTAGAAATTAAGCTCTTCTAGAAGGCACCATCCATCCCACACAGGGAGCAAACCCACACAAAATTAGTGTGAAGCGTTTCTCATGAACGCTTTACTTGTCAAGAGTAACCAGCATACAACAAACATTTCCATTAGCTCCAGATGCCTGACGCTTCATCTCAATAACTTGTATGTAAAAGAAACTGTGACATCCTGTTCTTCTAACTTCGGTGATCAATAATGCTTAATAGTCAAAACTTGTATTCTGACATTGTTCTGAAATCTTTCTTACAGAAATGCCGTCACTTTCAAACTAAGAAGTGGTCATGCAAAATGTATGCTTCAGGAAGAAAAAAAAAATGTAATTCATCCACATTACTTGTACCAAAGAATGAATTGTATAGCTGAGATTATGTATGGTTGTAAAAAGAATCCAGAATAAACATTAGAAAAACTATTTTTCAGATGATGCTTTTGAGAAGTAATGATCAACCTTGTCATTTTTTCCATTTGAAAATGCATTAGAAGACTTAAACAGTTCACAAACAACAGTAAGCATTGAAAACAGATCTTTTGACTTAAACCAAAATTATTAGATAGCTTTTTCCACACTCACCAAAATGAGAAGCCTTAGGTTTACGGGCCTCATAACAGTCATGGGCTAACACGTTAAGGCCATACCACTAAAACAGAAAAAGGACAAGAATTCAGAGTTACTTCAAGATAGTAGAAAGCAAAGAAAATTCATGCTTGATCACGTGAAAAAGCAAGAGTACAATTCACTTATTCAACACTTTGCCTACATTTTATTTAAATATTTTCCTCTGGTAAATATTCTTTAATATTCTATAAATTTCCTCTGGCCACACCTGAAAAGCATCTTTTTTGAATTGGTAAGCTTATTTAAGTAGGATTTGTAGCTCTCAACCTAGCTTTCTAAAACAGCCTTAGAAGAATACATCGAAATAAGCTTTTACAACAACTTATTTTCTCTTTTACTTGGTCTCTCTTCCCCCCCCCTTTTTTTTTGGTCATGGTTATATCTTCTTTAATACCGTACCATTTCTTTTCTGATAGCTTTAATGTGCTGCTAGTTTTCCTTAGTTTGCATTAACTGCAATAATTGCTGGAGTAAATCTCCCTACTGTTTTCAGAAAACTTACTTGGATGGGCTTTGTAATCAATCCTTCCATAGCAGATGGATGCTGCTCTTCTTGGGAAAGCAGTGTGTTGCTTTGGTACTTGGGTGCCTTCATTCCAGGAGCAGCAGATGGTTGCAAACAGGAGATGTGGGTAACTGCTTCAGCTCTGCAGTCCTTGGGCATCTCTATTACCAAGTAATCCTCTTAGGTGAAGGTTGAGCACAGAAGAAACAGTTGAGAATGTGTATCTCTCTTTCCTGAATTAATGCTGTGATTTCTGAAATGAGGTACACATTTCTTTTGTTCCTGTTTGTTTGAGCCTTGAGGACCCTATGAAGCATCAGTAACACAGAGGATGGAATGGTTGCCAGAGGAAATCTCTTTTGTTTCTTCTAGTTGTTTCTTTTTGTTTCTTCACTACTTCTAGTGTTAAGAAGTAGTTGTGTTTCATTTTGAGGTGATGGATAAAATGTGATTGCTACATGTATATTTACTTAAAGTGTGTAGGCCCAGTAAATCCTTCATTTAGCATTTGAGCTTCTGTAAAGATTTCTATTAAATAGTTGTAGATTCTTAAATTTGCTAAATGTGCTTTGGAGGTGGGTCCTGAGCTGGAGAGGGATGTTCATGGGATTGGGCAGAGCACAGCACTGAGTAGGTGGACCTAGAATACTTGTTTTTCATTTGTTGCATTGTCATAAATGAGGGCATTCTGGTTGGAAAAAGGAGGTATGGGGATAAATATTGTTGTAATAAATGTTGTAACTTGTGAAATCTGAGCAACTAACATTAGATGTGAATGTGGGAGCACAGTTGCCTTGAGCTGAGAGGCAGCAGCTGATGGAGTTGGAAATAAAATACTGAGAGGAAAGAGGGCTTTCTTGAAGAAATTCTTGCAAGCAGGGGTGAGGATCATCTATCAGCTCACAGTGGCTGTGGCCTCATAGGTCTGGGTTTATGCCATTGTGTGTTTTGCAAGTCCCCTTCCATTGCTATCCCAAATTCTGGCTGAGGGGATGCTCCTCAGAGCTCAGAGAAAGGCTTTGAAAACCACTTTTTGTGGTGAGAATGTTTCTTTTTCCTTAAGATGTCATTTATCCACGGTGAAGAAATTGAGAGTACCCTGTGAAAACTTGCAGAAAGCTCCCTGAAGGGAGGAACATCCTACAATAAGCTATTTCGTACACCTTTGCCTATTTAATCTTCTGCCATGCGATGGCACTGGTTAGCTGACCAGGGGAGATGGTGGTGCGGGCCAGGCCAAAGCAAGTCCTGCACAGCGTGGCTTCTGCCCACACGCCCCCACTGCAGCTTGCTTGGAAATTTGATGTGTGTGTGCACCGAATATTTGTGGAATAATAGAAACCAACAGTTTGCTTTTCATTACATACTGCTTCGTAGGGCTCTAATCCTAGAGATGAATCCACAGCGTGCCTATTTGGTGTCATCAAGCAAAATCCTCATGGGTAATTTTTAACTTGTGGGGATGAATGAGTGGCACGGGAGAAAAATAAAAGTTTTATTTACTTGGAGAGAAAGGGAACATTGGGAGAAATGAGGAAAATTTACAATTTATTTACAAGAGATTATTAGTTGACACTTGCGTGTGCACAGTGGGAATACTAAGGAGCTGTTAAACCCATAGCTTAAAAAGGAGGACCCTGAAGTACAATTTTAAGCCTTTCCAGGCATTTAAATGAACTCTGAGCATTCAATGCTTTCTTAAACAAAAACAAACAAACAAAGCAAAACACACACACAAAAAGAAAAATAAAAGAAAACCAGGGAAAAAGTAGTTTAACAGAAGTATAAAAGCCCTGTGGCTGTATGGGATGATTTTAGTTCTCTTCCCAAAACTGAATTAACACTGCTTCTGATACCATGTAAGACTTCTGTATTCACACCCAATGGATGAGTGAAAGATGTGGTAATTAAACAAGCTGAGGGGGATGGAGGAGGGCAGCAATGAGGACTGATGGTGTGGCTCAAGTGGGCAGTGGAGTGTAGGTGAAATGTGATTCATCTGTACATCAGATCTTGATAGGAAAAAAATTGAAAAGATAAACTTGGAGCTTTTCTAGTCTATTGAAAAGCTACTTATGACTATGTACTGTGGATAAGGCATTTTGGAAAAGCTATTTAATGATCAATTAAGCTTTCATATAAGAAGAGTGCTTGAACTTGGTGTCTTATTTTTTTAAACACACTTTAACAGTTAAATCATTTTTATATTTGCTGTCCGTGAAATGCAAGGCAAGTCTTTATTTTTTTTAACTGGCTAGATCGAAACTTTGGACACTGACAAACTTGGAGTGTGCATCAACTCTATGGGCATGACGGAAGGCACGCTTGAAATAAAGCAGCAGCCTTATCCATTCCCTCTCTTTCCAGTTTGGCATGATGGTTTGCATTTTTCTCCTTAATTTCAAAGTAAAACTATAAATAGGAGTTGGAAACCGTGTGGATGTGGTGATTGATATGGGTTTTGTTTACTGTTCTCATCCACTTGCCTTAAAAAGAAGGTCTAAGCTTAAATTAAGAGCTAATGATCCAGCAGTTTGTCATCCAGTGCTGTATCCTTGATCCATTTCCAGCATGTCGGCTCTATCCTCTCACTATGACATGTCATTGATTTTGGCAGGGCTGGGTCAAGCAAGTGTAAGGAGCTTTCTCATTTTACTACACAGAAATATGATTTGGAATAATATAGTTTGAAATATGATTTGGAATAACCTTATTTCTTCAAAATGACTCCTGGGAGTCCCTACTTGTTTATGTTCACTTTCAATGTATTTTTCTTAGGTGAAAAATCTCAGTGTTAGCTTTTGGGGTATAAAAAAAACAACACTACAATTTCATCTAGGTCTCCTGATTAGGAGATAACATGTACTTCTATAAAAAGGATGAAAAAAGGCAGTTTAAGGTTAATTTCTTGGGGAAAAAATTGTCAGGACTCAGTTATAAATCCCATCATCACTTACTATAGTTATACTTGCATGTTACTGCATTGTTGAAAGCAAGGTTTGTAAAGGAGTTAGGTATGTGCTGTTCAGTTCTTGTGGTTACTTACACAAGCTGCAACTAGCTCAAAATGCCAGAATTGTTAGTAAAAGTAGTAGAGTGATAACTGTTGATAGTCATAAGGTTTTCTGCTCTTTAAAACTAAGAATAGTCAACTGCATTTTGGGATCTGAATGTGTAGAAGGATATATGAAGTTTTTAAACACAGCAGTAGCAATTGCAGCAGTCGAAGTACAGGAAGGACTTTGGATGGAGAAAAAAAAAAAAAAAGCCCTGTTCTTAGAGCACCCTGAAAGCCCCCATGTAACCCTTGTATGCTGTTTGCAATTCTCCTTATAGTGGGTATAAGGAACATCTGAAGGAAAAGCAGAAGTTTGTTCATGGTGTGATGATTCTTTGATCTGTGGTGCTGGACTGATTTCTAAAACAGCTCTGAGGTGATATTCCCAGGATAGGTTATACTCTATCCCTCTGCCCTTGGTTTCAGAGTCTACAGCCCAGCTTTGAAGAAATGCCTATCATTAAGTGATTTTTAATTGTTACTGCTATTTCAGGATACTTAAATGGCCATGTACAGGCATGTATAACCACATGCACGCAAGCTCACAGCAGCCATATTCAGGACGTTGTCAGTAATGTGTTCTCATTTAATTCAGCTTCCCACATTGTTTTTTCCTTTAGGAAAATCATCAGGTGTGATTTTTTTTTTTTTTGACCTTTGGAAGGATTTAAAGCCTGGGTGAGGCAGAGAAGGATAAAACAATTTTTTGACTAATGCTGCCAGGTCTGGATATTGTTGGCCTCCATAGCCAGGCCCGTGTCTCGGTGCCTTGCTGCTGTGGGATATGCTGTTGGATTGCAGTTTAAAAAGCAGAAAACAAACAAAAAAACTGCTGCAGGTATATTTGGGGTGTCTGTTCAGCATCTGCTTCTTCCAAGGGTGTGGGTTGGTGTGTCCTGGAGGGGATTTCTCCTGTGGCTGCTGATGGCAGCCCTTGGGCAGGCCCAAGAGGCTGGGCCGGGCCCTGGTGAAGTCCTGAGGTGGCAGGGGGCTGTGTGTCCCCTGGCCAGGCTACTTACCAGCATGCTTCCCTCATCAGCTGTCCTGCTCCCCCCAAATCCCCTAGATGACATGAAAATGTGCTTTTTGTTCACATTTTGTCCCAGTCAGAGGTGGGTGAGGTGAAGCCTGCCTACAATAGTGCTGTGGGAGTTTGAGTTGTGTCTTGTGGTGATGAACTCTGCCACACAATATGGAGTTTTAATGCTCCTGTCTTCATGAAGCTGCTTAAAAACCTTCAGCACCTTCTTGCTGGTTTCTGAGATCTTCAGAAGTCCAGGAGTGGAATTTCATTGTATTTGATGATCAAGGTGCTAGAGATGTGTGTGAACCGGTGATGTGTATAGTTATTGTACAGGTTGACATGCAGATATTTTACAAAGCCTTCTGGAGCGGCTGCTGTGGAGCCAGTGCCTCTGGTCTCACAGACCCAGCCAGTCAGCTCTTTTGTGTGGAGGAATTGATTGCAGTTCCAAAGCTTTCTCGTAACTTTTAAAATACATTTCTAACACCCATCAGATGCAGATTCAATTATAAATGCTTATGCATTTAGAGGGAGGTTTTTTCTGTGTTACAGGTAGACAACAGCCTCTAGCGGATCCAAGGTGCAGCTTGGTATGAACTGGTTGTGTGGGCAACATCTGTAAATAATTGCTGCTGTCTTCCTAATTTTTTGTTTCCAATCTTTGTCTGGATCCCAGCAAACAGTGTTTGAGTTTCAAAGCCGTGCTTGGAGCTTCTTTAACGGTGTTGCTTCAGCTGGTGTTTCAGTTCATGGCTTTGGAGCTCTAGCTCCATGTTGTGGTACATTGTGAGCTGCCTTGTGAGTTCCTGTGCACACCAGTACTGTCCATTTATGCCTGCTCATCTTCTTGGTGCATTCAGAAATGTACAGAGTAAAAGAGATCTCCTTGAAATATATTTACTACTCTGGCTAGGCAAAAATGTGTGTTTAATTGTTTGCAGTTTGAACATGACTAGTCACACTGGTAACTGGTTTCCCCATAGCGGTAACTAGTGACAACCAGAGGCATTGATCTTTATATTTGATCTAATTTTTGGCAAAACTTAAAAAACTGGCTGATACCTATGTAGCATTCAAGGTCAACTGTTGACAGAGCAGACTTGGGAATGAGGTCTGGCACCTGAGCAGGCCTGCTAGACTGAAATTGTGTGCAGTCAAATAAGTAAACAAATAAGAAATTTTGAGACTTTCAAAAATATTGGGCTTTTTCATCTGGTATCTGTCTTTCATGTGGAGCTGACCAAAATGGTCTTCAAATTTATGCTTTTAAGATTAACAGCTCATTTATTTATTTCTAGGATATGTTATTTGCACTTTTAATAAACAAGTGGGATTTAATGAACCCAGAAGTGTCTCAAAAGGTTAAGAAGCATGTTGTGGAGTGATGGATGCATCTGAGCAAACAAGATCCTATGTGCTTTGAGCTGAGCTGCTTGGCACTGAGGGCTTCATTTTGCATGTGGGTGAGGTGCTATTTTGCTGAGTGATCCTTTTGATATTTTGGAGCCCTGGGGAGAAGCGTGTGAGCTTGTAAATGTGAACAGGTGCACTTGAAGGGGGTGAAATGAGGTGAGCAGGAAAAAAGGCAGCGCATGAGCTGCAAAATGTCAGAAATGCTCAAAACCTCCCATGTGTAAACTGAAGTGGCCTCAAGGTGGCTTAATCTTGTATGGGAGGAACTGGTGTAATTTAGAAACCGAGCAGCAGCTGGCCTTGGCAGCTGCGGTGCCCTTGGGACAGGCTGGTCTGTGCAGTGCTCAGGGAGCTCCAGCCTGTTTCACCGCTGACCTGGGGGACATGTCTCAGTACTATCCCCTCCTGGTGTCACTCTCATGGCCATCCTGAGCTGTGCTCAGTGCTGAGCTGGCCTTGGGAAACCAACCTGCGAATCCCCATGCTCAAGTGGACCTGAATGTTTTAGCCTCTTGGGGAGCTTGTGATATTTTCCTGCTGGGGTGCTGTGGTGGGGTTTTGGGGGCAGAGTTGGAATCGTTGTTCTGCATGGGTTTTGGTGCTGAGGAAACCTGGAGCTCTTGCAAAATGTTCCTCATCCCTGCATTAAACACTGCTGTAGCATCAGACCTCACTGGATTTTTGGCTCCAGGCGCGCATCCGGAAGTATTAAAAAGCTTGTGTTAGGCAGGAATGTTACCCTCAATATAAATTTCCATATAAAAACCTCTACTTGTCTTTTCTCTATGCGTTCTCCCTGTTTGTCTCACTCTTATATTTTTTTATTGCTCTTTCTGCTTGGCAGCCATGATCCTCACTGTGTCAGCCTTTGAGGCAGCTGCTGTGGGGCAACGCAGAGTGAGCTTTCCTTAAGAAAATGTTTGTAGGCTTCCTGTGAGCTCTCTGGGGCTTTTTGCCCGCTTGCCTGTGCCTGGTGAAGGAAATACGTGAGCAGTGGGATGGGGCTGTGGTGGGGGAGTGACAAAGGACATGAGGGGGGGCCCCGGTGCCCTGTCCCCCCCTCGGTCTCCCGGCCTTTCCCTGGTCCCCCCGTGGTGGCATTTACACCTCCCAAAGCTCGCGGGCTGTGCGCTGTCGAAGGGCCGTGTGGTTGTTGGCTCTGGCCTCTGCGCTCCAGGGCATGGTTTCAACCATGTCTATGGAGACCAATTTTCAACATCAAAACAAACCAGTCTAAGTGGAATTTATATTACCTTTTAAAAGTGCGAGTCAACAGAGCGGAGGGCTCTGCTTCGAGGAAGCCTCTTGGGTTTGTTCAGGGAATTACTACAAATATTTTACATCCTTTCTAGGACTCCAGGCAACCTCAGGAAGCGGCTGTCAAAATGCCCCAGTTTGTGTGGCTGATCCAGGGTGATTTTGGGGCCTGTGGCATGAGAAAGACCCCTGCCACCAACTATCCCACATTGCCTGAAAGCATCATCTAATTTTCAGAGCGAGGCTGATCTTTCTAAACATCTAGACAGTATATTTTCACCCTGAAGCACTGGTTTTGGCTTGGGTGATGGTGGTGGAGAGCAAAAAACAAAACCCTTCATCCCAAATGTGTGCAAATTTGGGTAATGCTAAAGGCTAACACTTCTTTTGTTCTGCTCCATAGAAACATCCCAGCTGTCCCGAGATGGAGATGATCCCTGTAGCTGTGTGACAGCAGTGGAGGGACTGAGTTCAGGTAAGAGAAGGCTGCAGCAGAGGGTGTGGTGGAGGGTCTGCAGCCCATGGCGGAGGCAGCTCAGAGATAGGTGATGCTGGGCTGGGGTGCTTTGTCCCCCCCAAAAAATGTGCCTCGGATTATTTGAAGAGATACGTAGCAACTTCACTGCTAGTTCTTGATAGGAGAAGGCCAGGCCAGCAAGCTTAGATATACAAGCTTGTATATATAACATCTTTCAGGGAGGCTTTATCCCTTCTGCCATGATGTGAGCGTGGTGCCTCTGTTTGTAACTTTGCGTTGTTTGCATGCGAGCAGGTTTTGTGCAAACCACAAGTTGAAGTTGTATTAGTGCCATGTCATCACTGCAGCCTCATTTTAATTTCTGCTACCTCCAGAAATGGAGGGGGAATCCTAAACTGAGCAAGGAAACATTCCTGAAAAATGTCTGGGATGGAATTTAGCAAGTTTCAAGCTTCTGTGAAGTGAATTGTAGCAGCCAGCAATGCCTGTGCTTCACAGAGGGGAAGAAAGGGCTGTAGGAGGGGGCAGCTTCCTAATGCCAGCAGGAGCTGGGCTGCAGATGGAGCAGGCTCACAAAGCACTGCTCCTGCAGAAGTTTCAATGCAGGTTTGTCTCTTTCCCAGTGCTAGTGGGGAAAATGATGCACGAGTCTGGTTTGCACTAGGACATAGGCATCTGTCAACTTGATCCACTCCATGTTTGCAGAGAACAGAAGAAACTGCGGCCTTTGTGCAGTAGAGGGACTATCCAACGGTAGTCGTTTCTAATGAAATCTTAGTGCTCTCCTGGAGATGTTCACCGTATAATTTGGGTCTTCCCTCCCCAGCATACCAGAGCAGAGGCAGAAATCTTCTGACCCGGCTGAGGTCTCACATTACCATGTTGATCCTTGGGGTTTGGTTTGCAATACAAACGTGCTGACCTCGCAGCAAGCGCTAGACACAGTGCTTCATGCTCCCCCCTGCCCGCCCACCTCTGCCAGCTCCTAAAGCTCTCGTGAAACACAGCAGCCCCAGGAAGCACTGGGGGCAGGCGTTTTTCTGTGGGGAAAGGCAGTAAGGCAGTGAGGAGGGGACGGGTGCTGGGGTGAATGTGGGTATTTGTTCCCCAGGAGCTGTACAATATTGCAGTTGGCTCTTTTCCGTTAACTGGAAATGTCTGAAAAATAAGCAGATATTAATGTGAAAATCTTTAGCAATTGTGGGAAATGTTTTTTATCCCCCCATTGATACCTCTGCAGGAGCTAAGCCTGTTCTTTAATTACTGCCTTGAAGTCCAATTGTGTTGAATCAAGATCTTGGTACACTGTATTTCCTCCTTTAAATTCAGAGCAGATTAAAATTTTCTCAGTTTCACATCGTTGGGAGCCTGGGGGAGAGACAGGGGGAGAGAGCAGCAAATGTAAGCTTTCAGTGTCAGGCTCTGAATCACTTTGAGGGTCAATTTGTGTCTAACGAGTGTATCCAGAGGTGCCTTTCCTAGAAACACCATAATTTGCAGTGCTCTGGCTCCTGCTGCCTTCCCGCAGGCACTGCCTCTCAGCTGGGCTGAATTTTCCTCTTGAAGCTGCTGTTGTGGAGGAGTCGATTCGCTGTTCCTTCTGTGCAAAATGCCTTTCTGCTTTCCTGCCTCGAAGGAGCACTTTTGTTTCCCTTCTTTAAAATGGTGGTTCTGGGGGGAAGCGACAGCCCCTGCAGAGTACGATCTGAGTTGGCTTAATGCTTTTGTGGCTTTGGCTGAGCTGGGAGCGACCGCTGCTCCCCAAACGTGGTGCTGATGCGGATGATGGATGTGGCACCCCCTGCTAGTCCTGGTGCTGCTTTTTGAAGCTGTGGTTTCCACCGAGCTGTTGAAGCTTGGTGCTGGCCTCCCAGGCTGCTGTGGCCAGCTCAGGCTCCTCCACTGCCCACCGAAAGCTGGGGTGGCTTTCCTCATGTGCATCGCGTTACATTTATCCCCTTTGGCTTTGTCTGGGGCTTATTCCTTGCTCTGTGGGAGCTTTCCCAGGCTGTGTTTCCAGGTGTGCTCCCCCTGCCCCAAGCAGCTGGATGTCACTGGTGGGACTCGCTGCTCCCCTTCTTGCATCAGCTGCCGGGTTGGCAGCAGGTCCACTGGTGCGCTGCCTGCGGGAACAGCTCTGGCACAGCGGCGTTGCCCAGGTTCCTCCTTCAGGAACACGATGCAGCTTCAATTTGGTTTTCTGCTCCGGTGTTGTCTTTTTTTCTGATCAGCCACCTCTTGGCCTCCCGGGAGGCTCCTTACCTCTGCTGTGCCTGGACAAGGCTGAGTTTGCCAGTCCAGGCACTGGTGAGTCGTTCCTTTGGCCTCCTGTTTTTTTCTCATTCATACACAGCCTCGACTTCGCAGAGGATGACTTATTGATTTTAATAATGCCTTTTACCCTGCTGCTTTGGTATGTTGGCTTCCCCTCTGCAGCCCTTGCTCTGAGCTTCCAAAATCTGTTTGTTTTCCTAGTTTCCATGCCGCCTGCGAGGATTTTGCTCTCTTGACTTCCCACTTGGGTGTTTGTTATATATGTTCTGTATAGGAAACATTCCTATATGTTGCACGTGGATACTACAGAAACATTCAAAGCGCAAGAAAATGTGACCCTCAAGAGGAGGTGGTTGCAAATTCAGATGTTTCTTGAGTTGCACCAGCAGGATTTAGACCTTGAGGTGCCTGTGCAACTTCCATGGTTGTGGTTTCAGAGTTTAAAAGCATAAATATGTTCCCGTTGTCCACCCAGCAGGCAGCCTGTTAAATTTGAAAGCCTTTCTGTGTCTTTGTGTGGATGGGGATGGTGGATCCTCGGTAGAGTTTTTCTGGACCAGAGTTGCGGAGGCTTTAGGTGATACCTCTTGGCTGGGAGGAGGTAGAGGGGTAGAACAGGTGGTTCATTAAGCTGGGTGACAAAATGCAACAGAGCGTGCTTTTTGGGCAGAGGCTGTTTGGCTGGTGCTGCTGCAGTGCTGCGGCTGTGCCTGCGAGGATGGGACGGAGGCTGGGGCTTGCTGAGAGCCGCTCCTGTCATTTCTGGGCTCTGGGCTGAAGCATGCTGAGGAGATGCAGGGCACTGGTGTCTTTTCTGGGACTGTTGGGGTTTGGGATCAGGAAGAATAATTTCCAGCTCAAGCGAGAGCAGTCTGTGTGTGTGTGTGTGTTACAAACAAACCCTGGAGCGTGTCTGAATCCAGGTCTGTAGGATGCAGAGTGCTGTGTCCCATCCACAGGGCCCCTAATCCTGCTACCGAGGTGTTTGCTGAGATAGCAGGGGACACCTTTCCTGCCTCTTTCTCATACTGGTGCTGTACAGCGGTTGCTGTAATTCTTGCAGCTTTTTCTACCGAGTGAATATATGCAGTGAATCATGATTTAGTAAGAGTTAACGGAGAGCTTATTTCTTTTAAAAAAGATCACTTGCTCAACGTATGCAGCCTCTATCAATATAAAATAGGAGTGTATTTTTTCCCCATGCAAAAATAACAAGAGCTGTTGCACTCTGTCCTTCAAATTTGCTTTGGCAACTCTAAGCCATCTCCATTTTATTAAACAGCTCTCTTTCCTCCTAATATATACAGAAATGTTTGCTGTATAAACAACTTAACTAGACAGCTGCCTCTCCCCAGATACAAGATGCAGTTAACTTTTTGCCCTGTTTCTGTTCACCGGGGCTGATAACTTTCTGCTGGCCAGATGAAATAAAATTGGGTTTCGTACCAGATGTGGTGGAGCTCAGTGCTGTATTACGCAGGTGTTCCCCCAGCTGGGGAGGGTGGAAGCGTGCCATTTTGCTGAGATGATGGTGAGGTTTAGAAATGTGAGGGCGTTAAAAATAATTCTCCGTGTTAACAGTGGGCTTTGTCCCTGGTGGGCTCCATATGCCGAACAGCTGACTGGGGCAGCAGCTGTTCTATATTTTAATAGGAGAGTTATAAAGTTAGAAACATGGATGATCATTCAAAACATAAGCAACTCTTCGCAGTCATGGAAACGAGATTCAACAATAAACTCGCATTTGTGAGCCTTCCAAGCAAAATAATCCCACTGCTCTGCGTTCAGGTGGTCTCAGGGAAGTGAATGAACTGTTTTCTGTTTCCCTGAAGTTCTGTTTACTCAGTCCTATTTCTTTAAAACTTCTTCCTCCCTCTTTTCTATTTCTGAGGAGATATTAAACTTTGCATGTGATCCCGATTTAAGTTCTTCTCCAAGTGACAGCAGATTTATATGAGAAACTTTCCTGAAGCGTGTTACTGATAACGGTACTGCTGTAGCAAAGGCTGAGTGCCTTCCCTTCAGGTCCCTCCTTGGGATTTCTCTGTTCCTTTCAACCCAAGCAGTTATTTAAGCTCTTGTAGCAGTTTTGCTGGGACTCCACAGCCTTAGGATGGGATGAACCTGTTAACCACACGCACGTTTTCTGGCACAGCGCTGCGCACAAACGCTCTCCTTGCTCAGGCACCTTCTGCTTTTGCTTATGGGCTTTTTGGATATGCGTAGGCTCCATCACACACCACATGCCTATCTGAAACAACACCAGTTGCCCTCTCCCAGCTCCTCAGTCCTGCCCCAGTTTTGTTTTGGAGGGGCTGCTGCTGTTCCTGTTCCTGTGGGAGTGCCGTGGTTCCTGTTGCATGGCTCAGCGGGGCGCACACCCAGCGGCTGTGTCCTGGGCTCAGCAGGCCCACATCCAAGTGCTGGTGAGCAGCTGGATCCGTGCTCCTGAGCTGCGTGGTAGCCCCTGGCTTGGCTGCTTTGGGTTGCAAGCTGTCTTGTATTGACCTGAATATTGCAAACAGATGGGGAGCAGGGTAGTTGGCCGGGCGGTTTGTGCAGAAATAAGTGGTTTATGTCAAGGCCATGAGCATGATGAGATGTGGAGGAATGGGCAGGCTGGACTTGCAACTGCCTTTGTTTTTATGCCATTGGATGCACGTGATACGAAGCTAAGAACGTACATGTATGTGGTTCCTGCAGTATGTACAAGCTTCCTCGGTTTACCAGGAAATCCAGGTAAATTGCCTGGATTTGGGTATTATCCACCGAAGTATGTTGTATTTATGTACACATACAAAAATGATCAATCTGGGGTCATTGTCTGAGAAGCAGAGATTCAAAAGGGAAATTACTCAAGCGCCTGGTGTGCTGATGGCATTCTAAAGGCCCTGTGGATTTGCAGCCGAGCAAAAGCAGCGTGCTCGGGCTGGTGGAGCTGCAAACTGGAGCGGATACAGCAGCCGTGGTCCTGGCCAGACCTCTCACTGCTACAGGACGGCGTGGTTGTGGGGCTGCCACAAATGCTTCTCTGCCTTCCCAGTGATTGCAAGTGAGTGCTGGTGATAAAACTGGTGTAAATAAGCAGCCTGTTTGTGTTGGCGGAGCTTGAAGGCAGAGTGAGTCCTTGGGGCAGAGCCTGGCAGTGAGGGGCACGCCAGGGATGGTTTGTGGCTCTTGAGCTCGCAGCAGGGGCTGGCCCCGCACTCTGTGGGTCCCAGGGCTTAAGGAGGTGAAGCCATCTCGGCTCTGCTGGATGTGGGAAAATAGGCCTTTTTTAAATCTAGAAAACAATAAAACTAATTCTTTCTTGGAGTGGGTGATGCTGTATTATGCTAGTGTGGAATTTAAATACCTGAGGTGTCTGCCTTCCCACTGGGGTGGGGTAGGGAGCTACCTGTCAGACCCAGCAGGTTTGGAGAGATGAGTGGGGAGAGGAGGGAGCCTCCTGTGAGCCAAACTCTGCATGTCGGAGGGCATGGTGAGTGTGTTTGCTGTGGAAAACTGATTAAATGCCTCCATCTGGCTCGGTCTTGGTGAGCTCCTCTCTGTGGAGGAGGTTGAAGGCTACCTGTGGTCTCACCCCACAGCCCCGGGGCCCCAGGCAATGACAGCATGACCCTGTGCCAGCGCTATTTATTTTTCTGGCCTGTGCCACAGCCGTGTGCTCTGACCCTGTTGGCAGCCAGAATATTTGCTTAAAGCCACAAATGAGTGCCTGAAGGAACGATTGCTGGGTAATAGGGTCCTGCTCTGCAATTTGTCTGAGCGTGGGGGACGTGTTGCCCCAAACCGGAGCGGTTGTGGCTGATTCCAAGTTGTATCCTGGAGCGTGGTTTGCTGTGCGTCCTGGGACCTCTGGATGCCAGATCCTCCAGCCACATTCGGTGCGTCTCTTTGGGCACAGCCCCTGGAAGCCCTCACCGCGGGTGACTCAGTCACTCAGTAAATCTGAATCCCTGGGTCTCCACCACAAGCGGGTTTTGTGTGTGTAATGTATCCATTATTCGAGTATCTTCTACAGAAAATGAACTTCAAGTAGAATGGAGGTTCCTTCCTTTAGACCACCAGCTAACTAGTGACACGTGTATCTTGGTATGTTTTTCTTTTTAATGGCATTAAAACTCAGTAGGTAAAGTTTGTCCTTCCACAAAGGCGTTGCAGGACTCGGGGGCCTTTGCTGACTTCCACAGTAGCTGAATATTCACCCCTCTAATGTGGTTATGATTTGGTAAGACAAACAAAAAGGAGGAAATACATTACGGTAAGAGATCTTTATTAAAAATTTTGTACATCGAAGGATTAACTGCTACATTTTAAACAAGAAATAAGATTTTACATATTACAAAAGATGCTATTAGTTCTTGAATTAGAAATAAATTTTATGAACACTGTACATGATGCATCCAAATCATAAGAGCAGGAATAGGACAGTGCCTGAAAATATATGATATAACTTAAGCAAATGCACGTAATTTGTAGAATGCAACATATTTCTGGAAAAACGGCATGTTAACTTCTGTCTGAAAGTGCTGTATCCCTCTAACCAGTAACCACCAGCAGTGTTCTTGGGAGCAAGCACTGACGCAAGTGCCCAGCGTGCTGTTTTTCCATTTGGAGTTTTTCGTTGTCGGAGAAACTTTCTTACTATGGTCTGTTTGTCTTGGAGACAGCAGAATGGCACGGTTAACACAATCTGCATATAAAAACCCGATGCAAAACACTTACAACATAACTTTACCCCCAACCCAGATTAGAAAAACCAACTGATAGCACATAAATGTCTACAGAAATAGATTTTTATTGACTTATTTTTGTTACAAAGTTAGTTAAAAAGAAATATATTTTAGCTTATCAGATAACCGTTACTTTGTGTATCATTCATACTATATTTTTTTCCTCTTGAGATTGTCAGTAGCTGCATTAGAATTTAAAATAAAAACAACAAAAGATCACCTTTAATTGCATGACCTATTTGGCTAGGAAGGGTGTGAAGTTTTACAGGAGAGTACGAACATACAGTTCTCATATGAAAGTGTAGTATGTATCTAGGCCAAGTAAGGTAATAAAAAAGATTGAAATCTTTATACAGAAAGTGACAATGCCCATGTTATACTATGGAACACATCTACTAATTTTGAATTACACGTGTAATGTGTGGATTAAAGATATCACTTTACTAAACAAATAAAAAAAAGAGCAAAATCTATAAATAAAATAGTAAGTGCTTTCTTTAAGATAATATTCTTTGGCTGCTTTAAGTGCCAGTGGAGGGTTACTGGAACCCCCTAAAATGCGTAAGGTCCCACTATTATCGTTAGCCTCAACACCGAGCTTGTACGGTAATTCAAGCTGTTGACTGTTAGCATCTCCAGATCCACGATGTGTTCTCTTGGTCCCGATAGGGATTTCACCAGCACCAGCATTGCACTTACGGCACTTGTTTGCTGAAAGAAAGGAGGGAAAAAGTTTAATTCAAATTTAAAAAGATTCCCTAGCTGTATCAAGGGACTGCTTGTGTGTAACTGCGCCACAAAAATGCTCTGTCTCAGCACAAGGATGCACAATGTAAGTATTATTTAACATTTTTAAATGGTCATGACTAATCTCACACCTGGCTTTGCTGGAGGGGAAGCTTTACCTGACTAGGGCTCAGAGGAATAAACTGCGCTGCAAAATCTGTTCCTGGTTATACTGACTCTCCTAAAGGATCTGAAAAGTGGTAATCTATCCCAGGATGTTTTTTTGTTTTATCCCCATCTATCAGCTTTTAAAATACATGAAGAATAACTAGACCAAGAGAAACCTAATGTATTTAACAGTGATGTAGCTTGTTCAGGGGAGGAAACTCTAAGTCCATGCCATGGCTCATACTCCAGAAGCTGTTTTCCCTGAAAAACTGGGAATTCTTGCAACTTCTGTGCCTGTTGCTGTCCTTCTTGTAGCCCCCTGAGGCTCTTTCCAGGCTGGGGTTGTGCTGCTGGTGCTGTGACGTGACTGAAAGATGGCATGTCACTGGCTTGTAAAAAGGCTTCAAAATGTACAGATGATAAAAAGGGTACACATCTCTCCCTTTACCTGTGATAATTTTTTCCCTATGTGGACTGAGTAGGTTAAACAAAGGAATCCACGTCCAGAGACCTCGCTCAGACTTGACTCAAACAATGGGAATAATTTCTAGGCAAGCCTTCCTTTACTGCGGTGCTTTGGCAGGAATAAACACATGCTTTCTTATTTAAGGCCTGTGATTGCTTGTTGGGTGGCAACAGAAGGTTGGAATTGTCAGTCTAAAAGTCAGTCTGGAGGCTGGGTTGGAGTCCTACCCTACCTAGAGCTGGAGTGAACTTGTTCTTAAGAGCTGTCGACTTTAAATAACAGTTGGTGCTTTGGGAGTAGGCATGGGGTTTTGATGTGCAATAAATCCAGGGAAGAGCACTGGCTTACAGGCAGTACCAGAACAAGTCAGACAAGTAAGGAGTTCCTTGCTCCCATCTTGGGAAGACTTGGTGTAAATAGGCAATGCCATATCTTGGTTTACTTTTCTATTGTACTATTAAAATACTGAAATCTTTGGATTTGTAGAAAAAAATAGATAAATGAAAACTTTCTAACTAATAACAGTTTTAAATTTTCTGGGCTGTTTCCGTTTTACTGAGTGTAAAGCCACACAAAACAAAGGATTTTCCAGGAATTGGTCCATATTAATCTTCCAAAAATCTGATTTCAAAAATCTTAAGGTAGATGTTACAGACAGTTTCATTCATGTGTATCTACTCACATTTGTTGTACCAGCAGGAAATACTGCTGCCATAAGTCACTTGAACTTCTGGTTTTCTGAAACTGCTGCAGCACTGAAGAAAAAGTTCTCGCTCAACACAGTCTTGGTTGCAAGTTTGTCTGAATTCATCATTTGAAATCAGCACTCCATCCCAACCTATTCCTGACTTAATTTCTTTTTTTGTGTATGGGGAATTAAAAATGTACAAAGAATCTTTCTATGACCCTCTTCTAAATACATACAAATGGGACATTAGTGCAAGGTGAAGAGCAGAGCTGTTGTGATTGCTAAATATTCATGATTGTTACTGGTGTTCCTCTCAAGTGACTACAATGGGTTGATTCTCAGTTTATAGAGTTATTGGGCAGAGCAGGTAAAAGCTTTTAGAAGTCTGTAAACCAAGTCCATTCAATAAGGAAATATTAAAAAGCTGATAAACTTTCTATGCTGTATTTCTCTTACAGGAACACTTGATGGAGTTGTCAAAATGGCAAGGCACTCTAACACCTCGGCAGCACCAGTGGTTTTATAGCCCGCTCAGGGTCTGACTTCAACCAATACTCACTCTCAGGTAAAATTCTCCATTTTCATTTCCAGACTTGATCCGGAATGTGTTAATAGTATTAGGATAAATAGTGGTTGCCTGAATCTGGAAGATATCAGAGGGCACTGTTCTGTCTGAACGGATGCTCATGTATTTGTACACAACAGAGTAAGGCAGCTCTCGGCAAATGGCATTTGATACGGGGCAGACACAGCGGCTGAAAAACAAAAATGGATAAACTTGATACTTGAAAACATGATTTCTGTTGTATTTGATTGTGTTGCCTGTTGAGAATAACCCTAAAAAAGCTGTCTGGCTTTCTCTTACTTCTCAGATGTTAGGACATAAGGTTCTTGACAAGGATTTCTTGGGTAACAACGAAATCCTCCATGGTAATTCCAGCAAATTTCATCCTCTCTGCATTCATTAGTAGTCTCACACTCATTTATGTCTATGAGGAAGAAAAAGGAACTGTTAAAGCAGATTTAAATTGAGTTTGCTATGAAAAACAACAACAACAACAACAAAAAAAACACCACTACCAAGCCACCTGCTTGTCTACTGAAACTCAACAGATGTCTATGTTATTTTTTACCTGCTTTTCCAAGGCCTTGCTATAAAGGATTTGGAACAGTAGAAATGGAACAAATTTGTTTACCACATCTTAATCAAGACTGAAGATCTTTAGTTGACTGAAGAAACACATTAGTCATAGTACATGTAATGCAACTGTAGAAACCCTGAGTTCCTAGTTGGCAATGAATCATTTTCTAGCACAAGGTATCTTACAGGCAGAGGAAAGAGGCTTTGAGAAAGAAGTGTGATTTCATGCTTTTTGCAGGATCTCACTTAATTGCTTAGGTTTCATGGTCTAACTAAATGCTTAGTTAATATTTATAGCTGTAGTTAAACTAAAGTAGCTTTGGAAGAAATCATGATGTGTTTATTTTTGTGTGAAGTAGAGCTTCCTTTTCTTTTTTTTTCTTTTTTTTCTTTTTTTTTTTCTTTTTACCCTGGGAAAATGACCTTGAATGGAAATGGGGCTGTCAGCTTTGTGTAGTATTGATGCTCTGTTATCCTGGCAGTGCCAGACCCAACCCCCTGTCTATCCCTATGCTTGCCTGAAACTAACCCAGCCCCAGAAAGGATTTATTCAAACGTAAGCTCTGGGAAGGCCCGAACAGATTCATTTATTTTTTTAGGTGGTCAAACTACCCACCCCAAGATACTCAGTATCAGTTGCTATTCTTAAGAGTGATAAGAATCTACAGTGATTTCTCAAAAAGAGCCACCATTACACAACGCTTCCATAAACAATTTATTTCCTCATCCCTTTCTGACAATAATTAGCACACCTATTTCTAAAAATAAAGATTGTGAAATCAGGTTCTGGATTACTAAGAGAATGATTCTGGCACTTTTTCTGTAACTGTAAAGAGACGTTTAGCACCAGTGAGAAAAATAAACTTTGCAGCTGTGATCCTGGTATTTGGTGGCACCTAGCTGTAACTGAACAGCTGACCAGAATGTTTATTTTCCAAACACAATATAAATAATCTGTTCAAAATTCTTGCTTTTTTTCGTCCTGTTATCAGAAAGAACATATCTTTCATTTCTGCTCTGGCTGCGCTTAGAAACCTCTATAAAAAGAAACAGATACAAAGCAATGCCCAATGTCTGTAATAAATGATCTGATTTTTTTCTGAGATATTTATCTCTGGAACTTAGACTCACCACCTAGACATCCAAGATCAGCTTTACTTAAGGATTACGAAAGTTGAAAATTTTATCCTAAGCATCTGAAAAACTTAGAGTTTGAGCTGAGAGATTCAAATAAAAGGAATTAATATAAAATATACCATCAATCATCAAATGCATCAACATCTTTTGCTAGCCTAACACTATCATGAAGAATAAACACTTAGATAAGCATTCTTAGGCTTGTGTGAAATGGTGTTACCAGTAAAGCAATATTGGGACTGTCAAGATGGGGCTCTTACCTTGACATGTTCTGCCTCCTACTACCTGGTAACCTTCAGGGCAGACACATGAGAATTTTCCTGGTTCGTTGACACACTGATATTGACATATGTAACTGGAAGTTCTGCATTCATCAGTATCTGCAGAGAGAAGAACTTAAGCTGGTTGTACTTTTCAATTGTTTTTAATGATAAATTTTAAATTTTAAAAGATGAGAAATGCATTTATTTGAGGAAGTAGAAGGTAAATTAAGACTTCTGAACAAGTTTGGGAAAATCTCTGTAGAGAAAATCCATAGTTTTAGTATTCTAGAAGTGATTACTTCCACGGAAGAGTAGACGTGAGATTAGCTAATGTAGCAAAACTATTGTCTTTGTGCGCTAATGGAGCAGCTCTTTGGGAAGGAGGCTAAAGTCTCTTTTTAGTCTTCAAATATTATTTGATATATGCTTTTCTTGTTCTTAATCCTTGTGTAACCATCATCCCTTTGCCAGAGATTTGTAGCACAAACCTGATTTTAACACTGTTGTTACGCAGAAATTAAATTAAACCAATGAAAACTAGAGAATGGCTTGGAAAACAGTGTACCGCCCTGCTAGTACCTCTGAGCCTTGAGCCCAGCTCTTGATTTTTGTCAGAGATTATACTGAAGGCTGCATAGTTGCTACTCCCTGTTCTGTTTGCTTGCAAGTAGGATTAGCTTAAGAAGCTTGGAGAGGGAGCATCTGTAATAGCTCTGCTGGCTTGTTCGGGAGGGCAGTGGTAAACCAAAAAGACCTCTTTGGCTCAAAGACTGGTAGAAGGGATATGGGCTTTACGGGTGAGATCATCATGTCCAAAGGGAGATTAGAGGAATCCTGTGGAGGCACTGGCAGAGGAAATAAAGTGTTGATTGTATAATCATCAGGAGACATGCTGTTTGTATACACAGGCTTGAAAGCACCTCAAAAGCACAATTGTTGTTTCCTTACAATCAAATTTAAGGTCTTTATTTTCAGATGAACCTAACAGCACACAGAATTTCACTTGTCTTTTGGTTTGCATTCCTTTCCAATTCATTTAATGGTCATCAGCATTAGACCACACACAATTCAAGTGTTTGAAGTAAATATTCAGAAGCCTTATTCTCTCTCATTCCCTCTCCATTCTCTAGTAACGTCTGTCCTGTTTTGTACTTACAGTTAATGAGACACCTGAATGCAGCTGCAGCTACTAAGGTGTGTTATCAGCAATGGTATTTGCAACATTAAAATAAAATTAAAAAGCCTTATTTCTTTTTTTTTGGCTACAACTCACTCCCACATTGTGATTCCACTTGAATTGTATCCCCTAGTTCACAGAGGCTTCTGGGAAAATAAATCAAAAATGGGTGCTCTTCTAAGACAAATAATTGCTTACCTTCACAGTTGATTCTGTCACTGCTTAACTCAAATCCTGGGTTACACTGACAAATGAAAGAACCCAGTATATTGTAACACTGCTGTGCACACGGGTTATTGGCATCGCATTCATTTATGTCTGAAAAGAAAAATTACAGATCTTTATCTTTTGCACCTAGTAATTAGGCTGATTAAGTGGATTAAGTCTGGGCCTAGTGCTTAGCAGAAACTCGGTTGACTATATCAATACAGGTCTGCAGTCACTGGAACAATGTCAGATCTATGCTTTACATTCCATGTAGAAAAAGTATTTTTCCAGGAATGAGAGTTATTCTAATGTGTAATGAATTCTTCCAATAATGTTTAGTGTGGCTATTAAACCTCACATTCCAGCGTCTTTTTTCAGGTACGAAATGCCAAGTCTATAAATAATTGATATAAGGAACACATACAGATAAGACCTCTCAGCATGCAGCGGTTAAGATCTGAGCTATTTATTACTCCTAAAATTTGTTCTTTTAAATTCCATTACAATTATAACATGAGCCTTTTAAGCCAGTATAGTTTTGCAATGCTGCAAGGCCTAGACCATACAGGGGGGGAGGCAGGTTTCTGTGCTAGATTTTTCATCGTGTGCCATCCGAAGAACATATGTGAGAACACGGCAAAATAAGAGAAGCAATTTTAATGCAAGGTTTATGTAAGTGTAATCACCTCTGCGATTTACAGTGCTTATTTTTATAGGCTGCTAATTATTGCTCCTTTGTCATACGCTAAAATCTACAGCGAATTTTCCCTTGTGTGCCTTCCCTGCATATTTTCCATTCATTTGTGTTCATCAGCTATACTCATTAGTAGAGAGCTGCATGTTAAATAATTTTTGAATTCATAGCTTTTGCAAGTACGTATAAATGTCAGCGACACTTTTATCTACAGATACAACTTTTAAAACTGACAAAGATGACTAAGATTTGGCATTCACAAGAACTAAGCCAACAAGGAGGATATTAATTATCTCTGTGATCCTTCTCTTTATGATGAATGGTAATAGGGGAGAAATGATTACCAAGCATTTTTCGTTCTTTTAGTTGAATTCTGGCAATGGTGTGAAGAATGTACATCATGACAACGCTACCAGAAGGAATAATAAGCTGGCCAAAGCCACAATTCTGTTTGTTACCCTTCCAAGAAATATTGACCCACTTTCAATATGTGCAAAAGTTGTAACAAATGTAATCGGTACAGCTGTGAAGTATGACTTCTGCCAGATGACTGTTGCAGATGTGAAAGTCTGTCTTGATGCAGCAGTCGCTCTTTTACAGATTTTTGTGTGAAGATTTACTTTACCTTTTATGGTGGGAGTGTGACTTGCTGGGCTGGGAGGCCAGCAGGAGTCAGAAGGGATTTCTTGGTGAAGCACCTAGCGAACTTGGAGCTTCATATGGAAGTGTAATTGAAAGAAAGCACCTTACATTTGAGCCATGGGAAGGGGCAAATGACAGAACTCATCACACAGTTACAGAGTCCACATGCAGTATTTCACCTGTTTGGTGAAAAACAACAAACGCCTGTCAGCACAGTGCTATGTAGTGTGCCTGCCTGTGTATATATAGCCATAGAGAACTCGCAGCCATCTCCATCACCAGTCTCTTGATTTAACGTGGCCACTCTCC